CTTTTTAAGCTCAAACAGTTTTGGTTGTGATTTAAACTCACAATTATTTATGGCTGCTTCACCTTCCTGACTAATTCATTGCAACAAAAAAAAACTTGCTGCATATAGTTTAAGTGGCCAGTGAGATGATATAATGTATCTTAAACGATCTGATGTGTCTCACATGGTTGATTGACACAACGTTTCTATATGTAGGTCTGTGTGCTTAGGTCTATGTGGAATCTGTTCTCCACATTTTTCTCCCTCAGGGAATTAAAAAGTCGAGTTTGACAATAAGAGCCAAAGAATGACAGTCGGTGGAATAACATGAAACACTTGGAGAAAGTGTGTCATCCATGTTATTTGTCAGTAGAAGATAGAAACAAAACAGGGAGCAGATAACAAAAGCACTGCTCTTGGCTGTAACACTTACAGAAAATGACTTTAGTAATGTGTGATTTAATGTAAAATGAATAAAAAAAAATATACTGGATAATGATGGTCATGATCCAGTATCAAGGTAATACTTTCTGTGCTTTTAAGCTGTCACAGTTTGGCCTTGTAGTGCTGACAGGAATAAGAAGTGGTAATTTGAACAGTTAGCCAATCTTAACATTGAAAGAAGCATTTTGACTTACAGATTGTAACAAAACCATGAGATGCAGTTTCAAGCATCAAAAGGGATAAATGGAAGGGGTCGGACCTTGAGCTAAGATAGTCTTAATAATAGATCTGTCCTTAATGCTAGTTTTGATTGAACAGTACTGACAGTTTGCCTCCATCTAAAGACATATTTACAAGGTGTTTACATGCAATATTGCGTTTCAAAAGTAATCTGGCACGAAGGCCATCATCTGGCCTGTAAAAGTTATTACTGCAGTATTTTCAAACATGCAGAGTTCAAGCCAGACATAATAAAAAAAAATACCCTGAGCTATGTAGCAATTTCTGCAGACCTTGAGGGATCAAATATAGATGCAGATGCTTGCCTTGAGAATAAGCTACGATAACTAATGTCTGCACAGGAACCACAATCCAAAATAAATGATGACTTTACACTCTCACATGCGTCCAGAGCATGTACAGCACACCCGCCTGTGTGTCAATGTTCTGGCAGTCTTAATTACACCTACGTTGATGTGCATTGTAAACCGTAAGAGTATTATTTTGCCATCCATCTCTGTTGGTGACATGCACTTAAAAGCCATAAACTATTCAGTTAACAGCCCACCTGCAGAGCTGACGTGGACTGAGTGGGACAGAGTTTATTGGACTTCTCAACATCAACTTCAGGAGATTGATCCAAACTTTTAGAAACCACTCTTGTAAAAACTCTCCACTGCATTACCTTAATGCATTAAAGGCACTTTAGCCCCTACTTTTATATCATGACGTGCTTTAAGCGAAGGAGAAAATAAGAGCACGGGCTGTGGTGTGTACTTACTGCGGGTATGAAGAAGGGATATGAATGATATCAATCAGAGAAATACCCTGCATCAGCTAGAGGGTGTCCTTCCTCACTGACAAGATTATAGAGGAGCTTTGAAGCTGCTTTTATTGGTTCCTCCACTTCATTTGGGTTTACTTAACACATGGGAGCTTTCATACCAGCACACTGCTGTGCTAAAGCACTATTTACAGCCTCATGCACTTTTTTTTTTATACTTATTTATTTCCCCCCTTCCCCGTCAGCCATTCCTATATTCCTGGATGTGTGATTGATTTGATGGTCTGAGGTTCAGGACAGGTAAGGAGGATGTTTTTAACGGCCACCGAGGAACATAATGAAGGGGCTTCTTACAATGGCCGCCCTGCTGTTTGGAATCAGCCGTCTAAATCAAATCTTGAGCCCCTCTCTCACATGCTGACCACCTCTCGGGCAGTTTAAACGAGCTATTTTGGCTCATTTGGGATTTGATTGATAGACGGAGGCGGGGTTGTTAGAGCAGCAGAAGGGCATCTTGGTGATAAAGACAGGGTCATCACTGAACTAAAGGGGGCAGCACTAACAAGCACTTGGATGGCTGCGTTGGAAGCCCGGCCACCTGAGAGTAGCAGAAGGAGGAATAAATAAGGGTAATATGGAGAGAGGGTTATGAACGAGGAGAGGCGATTGGAGGGGGAGTGAGGGGCTGGGAGTGTCTGAGGGTGAGCAATAGGGGGTCAAAATGTGAGAGCTGCCCCTGTGGTGAGAATCTACTCTCCTTTCAGGGGCTTGTGATGAGAAAAAGATGGAGAATATGGGATGTGGGGGGGGGGGGGGGGGGGGAAGAGGAAAGAGGAGACACCCCGAGCTTTGCGGGTCACGCGCCCATGCCGTGTGACAACGGCGTACACCACCTGCCTCTATCACCACGCCTGCCCCCGTCCTATTCCCAACCCCCTGCTGTCTGATGGAACTCTTCCCATTTTCAAAACCGGCAACAGCTTGTGCATTTGTGAAAATCAGCCCACATTATGGACTAGGATGTGGAGGCGAGCACAGAAAACGGCCTCTGTGCTTCGGCCCTGCAAAGCTGGATTGATGAGGCTCAACTTAAATGATGCAGGATCACATGCTACACCAGGATCGGTGTGTGTGTGTGTGTGGGGGGGGGGGGGGGGGGACAAACATGTGGTGGGATAGTGACGAGAAAAGAAAACAGAGAAGACAGTCCTTAATTGCCTTTTCAGTCATTAACAGGGTCCCACACCTCATGAAACATTAATTACACAGAGCGCTGCGGAGATAGGGACGCTTAATTAGAAATTATTCACCGCGTGGCGAGAACCGAGCGGCAGCATTTCAGCAGTGTATAAATTGTACGTGTGAGGTCTAAAATAAGAACAAAAATCAGCGTAGTCGTCACGCTTATCTGGCCTCCTCTCACTTGTCTGTCTTGTGAAGTGAGATTCCCTTTTTACCTGATAGTACAGTGAGTGAAGTGGGACATGTGTTAACCCTCTGTTCTCCTCCTCCTGTTTAGTGCTTTGTCCCTTCCCCCCCCCACCCCGCCCTCTCTCCAACGGCTCGTACCTATCCAACACCTCCTCTGAGGTTCATAAATAATTTACACCACTCTACTCGTCCCCCTACAGACAGGATGTAATTGACACAGAGGATCTGTCAATTACCCTAACATCTGGGAGGGACTGATTGCTACATCGCTCTAGCCCTTCTCCTCTCAACTCTCCCTCGCTCTTCCCCCCTTTTTTTTTTTTTCTTCTGCTCTATCTACAAAGAGACAGTAGCCAATGACATGACATTAACGCTCTTGATGTGAAATACCCTTGACACGGTTGCCCCCTCTATGCTGCTCCCTAATCCCGGCACAACTTTAAAAATAGTCCGCTCCACCCCTTGTCCCAGGTGTATTGATCTTTCTCTCCCAACGATTGCCACCACATATTCCTGTCGAGTGTGTGTGGCTCTCGTGTGCCGCTGGAACGTCCTTTTCACTCAGAAGAACTCACAAAAGAGAGGTAATAATGTCAGCAGACTGTACCTAAGCTAATGGATGGGCCTAAATGTTACATGCAGGGCTCGGGGGCGTGAGCGCCGGCTTAGGGAAATGTCAAATGAACACCAGAGAGTGGACCCAAGTACTAAGAGTTAAGGGCAGAGGATATATGTGATGGAGATGTGACAAAACAAATCAAGCGACATGGACAAAGGCTGCTACAGCTGTGCATAAAGACACGGATAGTGAAAAGAGAATTTATGGGTCGGTAGAGAAACTAATTTGAGCTTGAGATAATGGTGAAAGACCCTGGATACTAATCTGACACCCACAGACCTTACTTCCTTCACATATGCCTTATATAAGGGTCGTTTCATGTAAAATCAATACAGTAATGTTAATGATGCTAAGCTAAAGTAACATTTTTAACTAAGTAGACTATAATGTATGTGGGTTTAGCGAGGCAGGCAGACAAACAAGTTTCAAAGCATATAAAGTATGTGGGAGTGATATTGAAGGAATGTAAAGATGCATTTACATGTAGGAGTAAACACTAACTTGTCTTCCTTTAAACACATTTAATGAATATCCCTCGCATGTCTGAATGCTAAATTTAAAGCTAGAACAAGCTACTAGTTAGCCTGAAGGCCATGAAAAGCCATGTTCCATTTTTAAGGCCTTTATGCTAAGCTAAGCTAATTCGCTTTTGTACCTAGCTTAGTGAATTATCTACATTGTTTTAAAGGTTCTCTACGTGATGCTAAATCTGAAGCTACAGCAGGCTACTAGTTAGCTTAGCCTTGGGACTGGAAATGGGGCAACGCAACTACCCGATGTCCTAAAATAAAGGATATACAGTAGTCAGGAGAATTCACCTGAGTGGGAGGGGGTGGGGACATCTAGTCAGGTGCAACCTGGACGATCTCTGAGTATGTAATTAAATTGTTTTCAGTTTGCCAGTATGTTTGTTGGTATTGTGATTCTGTCAGGACTACACTTTGGTATGAAGGAAAATATTCTCATTGTGGCGTCATATCTATAAATCCTCTTCAGTTGGTCTTTTTACAACATGTCTTGCCACAGGAGACCCCCCCCCCCCCCCCCGGCTCCCATTCCCGTCTGACCTGTATAGTCTCCCACTGTGAGGTGCATATGTGAACAACCAGATCAGGAGGATTTTAGGAGCAGTCCTCCTTATATTCTCTAGAATTTTTAGAAGAGTGCATACGTGAAAGCGGCTTTATAACGATATTGATCAAAGTGGTTGTGTGTATGCTAGGTCCCACTGGTAGCTTCCCACTTCTTTAAAGCATCTCCAAAGAGTCCTTCTGAGCTGCGACAATAAATGATAAAAGAACTAGACTTTCCAGTTTTCCTTGAAAAAACTTCTGAAACTTTATTAAAACTAAATCTTATTTTTATTCATGATGTGGTCTTACGTTATTTATATAGGGTGTATAAATAACCCAGCACATCAGTGGGAGCCAGGGAGTTCTTTCATCTCAATTCAAGGAGCTTCAAAGATGCGTTTCATTGTACACTTGGTCTAACGCACTCGATGGGAGAAAGAAAGACCCTCACCTGTTCTTAAGATGCTGAATGCTTCCGAAACATTTGAAGCGTCCGTTCACCATGATGGCCATGCGTGTGCACAGTGCCTCACACTCCTCCATGCTGTTGAAAGAAAGAGAAGCAATAAAAACCAGAACCCTTGGTCTATTTGGTCTAATTCAGGTATGTTTTGACGTTTGTCCTCCTGAATTCTTCCCCAAATATGAAAATGTTCACGTCAGGCAAATAGTTTTTCATAACAAAATGATTTCCTGAGACCATCTCTTCACATTTACAGTTAAAGTTTGGTTTAGAGAATTTTTTAAATGTCCACTTTGACACATTAAAAGGACGACAAATCTGGTAATTAGAGGGGGAGGAAGGGACCATCTGTAGCTCTTATCAGCTCATTTTTTCGTCTTTCGGTGCAGGCCTGTAGCAGGAGTCATTTGTAGTTGAGGCAAAACCTGTGAAGCCTTTCTGAGGAATGATGCAATTAGGATTATGACTTTGTAAAACCTGGTGAATCTGCCACTTAACAAAACACAACCACCTGGTCAGGCCATGGACGATTGGATGCAGCTCAGCCACATTGCCTGGGACAACAACAAATGCTTTTATTTCTCCATGAAGGGAACACATGTTATGAGAATTATCTAGTCCAAATGAATGAGATTATTCACAGGCACTGCCAGGAGCTCAAACAATTGAAACCCCCCCCCAAAAAAAACGGGCAATTTGAGATGAAATGAAAAAGGCATGTGATTGTAAAACGCTCCACAACTTACACCATCAAGTTTATTTTCTCACAAAAAGTTTGGCTCTATTTTATTTTCTTCTCACTTCAAACCATGTCCAAAACTAGCTAACACTACAGAAGAAAAAGTTGGGAAAGCTAACTCTGCTTCAGGAAGTGTTGGATAATGAAAAGACTCCAGCGCTGTTATTGACAGTTTCTCTTTTCATGGAAGAAAAAAAAACAAGTGCCAGGCAGTCAATTTGCCCTCGCGCTTCATGAAAGCTTTAGAGCAGCCCCGGTGTTTTTCTGGCAGCCGATATTAACTGCAGTGCAGGAAACAATACCTCCCAAATAAAGTGCAAGCCCAATCAATTATAATTACAATACTTAGCGCTCATGTTCATTTTATGGACAATTTGGCTGATGTGCTTTCTCAGCTGAAGAGTCAAAATATTTGGGCTTGATCTTAGCGAGTGAATCCGTCAGAGGAAATGAATAGGTAAAGACTGTTTGTTGCACCTGTGGGATGTGAGAACAACTGAGCGTCCCTCTTTGATGATACTCAGGATGCAGTCCCAAAGGAAGCGCCGGGCTTTGGGGTCCATCCCAGTAGTGGGCTCATCCTGAAAATAAACACAGGCGCTTTAAAACAGTTCCCATTATATTCCTCCTCACCTCACCTCGGCATCTCAAAAGGAAATAGATAAACGGCAAAGAACACAAACAAATCGTGGCAAAAATGTGCTTTCATTAGATGATTTTGAGCAATTTCTGAGTGTTTTAAAGCCACATCACTGATTTTTTTCTCTCTATACCATTTAACCAGACAACAGGCTATGGTCAGGTAGCAATCTAAAGTTAGCTTCAGCTAGTCTCACAGCTGCAAAAGTCCCAATAAGGAGTATCACTGACTAATCATTTGATCTGTTAGTTTTAGAGGGAACAAGAACCCTGTCGTTGATGCGGCTCACAATGAAAACCTTGGTAAAACAAAAAAAAAAAAAAAGGAGATATGCTAATGTAAACAAATGAAACGCTAAGACACAAGCTAGCACCAGCTCAGCTCATTTCTCTGGAGACCGATGGAGAGACAGTGATTTCAACATTAAACTGCTTCAATGAGTGTTTTCTTTTACAAGTTCTAATAATCAGGTCTGTTTCTTTTGGAGAGAAGGGGCTTTTGTGAATATTTCATCTCTATGGTAAAGTATTTGTGTGTGATTTAATCTGCTCTGTGTACAATCACGGGGCAGCAAAAATAAAGTGCAAAGATTCAACAGACAAAATGCATGTGTGTTGATGTAACACATATAAGTAAATGAGACACAGACATGTCTGGCAAAAGTAGGACATTTAGAAAACCCAGACAGACATGGGTTAAGTCTGGGTAAATTCTGTGTATAAACATTTCTACATAACGTCGACACATACTGTAGCATTCTCCAAAACAGCACAACACACACTCGGTCTCAGTGACCTGCTGTTTCTTTTCCTCGGGGCTATTCTGTCAATGCATGATTAGAGAGTGACAGTACTCAGTCCACTGGCTGGTTTCGTTCCAGGCCTGTTTCCCCCTTGCTTGCAGAGTCTTACAAATCCCAAGGGCTATTTCCATCACCGTGCCCAATGTGTCCCTGTGCAGACCCTATGTGGCACTGCCTCAAGGCTGCCTGAGCTCCCCAGGCTAGTACACAATACTGAAACTGACACACACACACACTGACAACACATTATCCCTCTGCCTCGGAGTGAGGGCTAGCCTGGCTAAGGCAAGTAAATAAGGAGGTTTGGAACATGTTAGCTCGGTGGGCTCCTCACTGATCCAGTAAACAGAAAGCTTATTCTGTAAATGTAATTTATTATGGATTATCATTACCTGGCTGATTCGTCATTACAATGAATTAGCAGCATAATCTGACTGATGGCTTCAAATCATGCAAAGTAATGCATTTACTACAGCTAATTAAATTGCATGAACTGAAATTGAAATGTATCTATATAAGCCATTATTTCTCCTTTCTTAGGCCATGTGACGTGGTGGGTGGGATATAGGAAAACAAGCATGATTTGCAATTATTTGAATGGACATTTATGCTTTGTTTAGCCCCCCCCCCACCCTTAAGGAGCCTCAAAGTCCAATTAAAGGTGAATGAAGTTTGTCCCTCACGGTAAGAGGGACATGAATTCCTAATGCATATTAAAGCAGCTGAACTGAAAGAATGAGAAGCGGCGTATTCTGAGTCATACCTTCATTAATCTTCCATCAGAGAGAAAATGCATTTGCGCTCAGTTTTAAGTCCTGATGAATGGGTTTTTAATGCGTGCAAACACAGTCCAGTGTGCTCTAGGTTCTTCTGAAGGAATTGGTCCTTCCTGCATAAAAATTAACTCGAGTATGACCGGTGAGGGACCACAGATAAAACTCCTTTCTCATCTATGACTAATGTACTTATAATCCCGTTAGAAAATTCAGTAAAGCATCACAAGATTGATCGCCTTTTTTCCAAGTCCTCTCTCTTTTTTTTTTTAAATACATGACCCTAAACTCCTACATGATATCATCTTCTCACTACAGTCAAGACTCAGTGTGCCTGTAAACAGAGAAAAATGGATGTAATCCAAACATCAGCTCAGCATCAATATTGATCTAAAGTGTTACACTCTTAAGGCTTAATAAAACAGCAGCGTATCACATTCACACACAATGTACAAAGGAGCTGCAACGATGTAGCTTACCAGGAAAATCACTTGGGGACATCCGATCAGAGCCATCGCTGTGGAAAGCTTGCGTTTGTTCCCGCCGCTGTATGTTCCTGCTGACTTGTTGGAATATTTGACAAGTCCCAGTTTCTGGATCCCCCATTCGGCAACCTTTTTGAAGGAAGAAATCAAAGTGACCAAAGCATTTACGGCATCAAGAGAAGTGTTCAAACACCCTGTCATCACACTCTTCATGATGGATGATATTTTGGCTTGGATCTGTAATGTATTTATGCTCTGTGGTTTTCAAGGACGAGACATGACAGCTGGCATCACTGTTAAGACCCTAATCACTAACTGCAGAAGCACTTCACCATTCTCCTTGTTTTCATAAACAACATCTAGTCACAATTTGGCGCACAATATCTCCAAATCGCAAATTACATGTTAAGGTGTCAGAATAAAGGATGTTGTGTTTGACAAATACAGCATATTTACGATCACAACAGGTCAGTTTGGATGGAGAATGGCCGCAGTAAGCCACATCACAATGGGCCAGAGGAAAATTAAAGTTATGCTTGCAGCACAGTACTGAGTCCCCATACACTGGAGCTAAGAGATCAAAGTCCTGGCGCCAGGTTTGAGGGCCTATGGTCCCCACCAGCCCCTCGTCCTCTTTTGATCTCACTGTTGGAGGAGAGGGAGGTGCAAGAGGAGTGCAGGGAGGCCGCACAGGGCCAGCCACACCACCGGGCATGGTGAATAATGTAGTGCCATAACCCACAGCTGCTGCTTTTTCTACCACCGGCCATTTTTTATAATGTATGGCTTTGACAATCGAGGGAATCTATCACTGTGAGTGCGATGTGAAACTCGCCCTGCATGCATTCTAGTTGAACAGTATATTGATGGTAAAAATAAAATGGGAAACCAGCCAACAGGACATACATTTGTCTCGCAATATTGCGAATTCCAAATGTAAAAGCCTGACAAATAATCTACGCCAGCTATCCATTGTGCTTTCCAACATTAGCTTTGCATGACAACAAGTGACAATTTCTTTGTTGCACAAGGACAAACAGTGTGAATGGATGCAGTGGTTACCATAGTGACTTCTTTCTCCGGTACCCCTCGTAACCTGGCGTAAAACTCCAGATGCTCTCGCCCAGTCAGCAGCTCATCAATGGCATCAAACTGGGGACAATAGCCCAAGTTCTGGTGCACGTCCCTCATTGCTGTTCGTATGCTTGGAAAAGAGAAGATGACAAAGATTGGCAAACGGACGTCGTTCATGTTTCATGATGCAGATCTAAAGATGTCATGTAATTCCTTTAAAGGCAGATAATATCAAATGAGCAATGAGAACAGTTTGAAGGCCATAAAGCAGACACTTGTGTTGCAAAATACTTTCCAAAGGGATTTGAGTTTAACATTGATTTGCTTGGAAAGATGAATCACGTATCGACACAATCTTGATTAGAGAGAGAAAATCAGAGCCGAGAGAGCAAAGGCCTGTGTCTCTTTTTGAAACACTGCCAAGCTGATGAAGAGCAGCAGAGAGGTTCATTTCTCATTCTCTACTCATGGACTAAAGCAAGTGTCCCCGCAATCTCTTCTCCATTTAAACCAAAAAAGGAAACAAGCGAAAAACAATCAAAAAAAAAAAAATATGCCATACATATACTTCCAGACACAACAACATGTATCCACTAGAATGACAGCAGTAGTTTATTTGCAGTCATGCCATTCCATAGTCCACAACAGTAATACTTTCACCACCAGCAGGCAACTAGACATTACAGTTTTTTCTTCTTCTTTTCACAGCTGCTTTGTTTTCTTTACAGATAATCTCGAGCCCATTTATTTCCTGTTATTTTCCACAAGCAATGGTAAGCCCAGGGGAAGCTAAATGTGATTTGATGTGTCGAGAGGCTGCTGGATCTGAAAACAGAAACAGTGAGCTGAAAGTTTTACATTCTGTTTTCTTTTTCAGCTAAGATAAGATTGGTGATAACATCAGTTTTTAAAGTATTCAATGTAGTAGCCACTAATCCAGCTCTACTGTACTGCTACTTGATTGGCTAGAACTGTTGTTCAGTGATTGGCTGGTATTCATCACCTCAAAGTAAAGCCTGGAACTGAGGAGCTACAGGTACTCTTGAGGTTAACAAAAACATGACACTACCGTATGTTACGAGCATAGATTTAGAACACACGGTCGTGTTATTAGGCTTTACATAAACTCTGAACAGAAATGATTCTTTAAAAGGAAGATTTGGGCTTTTCTCATTTCCTTTCTTGATGGCAGCCGCATGAACAAGAGGTAGGAGCTCCGTAGAGAGCTAGACTTGCTCTGTCCAACAGAAAAGCAAACGGTGGCAGCACTTTAAAAGCTAATTAATAGAACTAATTAACTTACAAATGTATTGAATACAAACAAAAACCAAAGAGTAAAAACGACAGTATTGACTTTATTAGGAGTGGCTTTAATGAGGGTTTATGTGCTGTGATATGTTAATTAGGGAGGTTTTATGGCGCTGGTGGGCGGATTGGTCTTATTTTTTGACAAGGCTTGTTTTCCTTAAGCTACGTTAAGCTTATTGCCAGCTAGGTTTGGCCCCATACCAAGTGTAGAAAGACAACAATGGTAATAAAGACAAGGGATGTGTCTTTTCTAAACTGCTAAACTTCTCAAGTTCATGTTGGAAATAATTTGTGGTAAACTTGTAACAGAAGCAGGGAGGCCCCATACGCACGCAAATCTTTTTTATTTTTAATTTTTAAAGATTTATTTTTGGGCTTTTGTGCCGTTTTTAGCGAGAAAGGACAGTGGGTAGAGATGGAAATCAGGGAAAGAGAGAGTGGGGAATGACATGCGGGAAAGGAGCCACATGTTGGATTCGAACCTGGGCCGCCCGCTTGGAGGAGTTAAGCCTAATGCACACAACCAATTACGCCACCAGCGCCCCCCACAAATCTTTTTTTTTTTAACATTTATACGATTACATCTGATGAGGTTGACTGATACTGTCAGTTTGTTCTTTCTTCTTCCACAACAAGAGTCTTCTGATAAACCACTGCTGGCTGTCGGTTGTTAGCCGTGCAGCTAATGCAAGCTACAGCTACAGTGTGTTGTGACAATCACAACACAATCACAGAAAAGAGACGTAATTGTTTGGAGATAACTTCTTTTTAAGAGCTGCTGCTTCCTCTCTTCTGCCGATCTTTTTTTTATGCCAATGCACAGAGATGATAATGAGCTGAAAACAGAAGCGTGGGTGTTTTCACATCTGTTTCTCTCTCTTTTCAGTTTTATTGTTTCCCCTAAAGGTCTCTCGGATCTTCCTTTGATCTCTTTTACTTGCATTAATCAACATTATCACTGCTGTGTTAGGCCTCGCTCTATACAGCTCTTGTTCTTTGTCGAACACAAAGTCAATTAGCAGATGTACAAATGGACACCTAATAGCATCCGCTGCAGTGTGAAACCAACCACAGCTTTCACTCGACCAGGCTCAGACGTGTTGCCTTGTAGTTTGTGCCTAAAAATAAAGGAGGGAAAAGCATTCTCGCTCAGGTGCCTGAGTCTCTTCTTGTTGGTGTCAATGCATTTTTTTTCTGGCATGTACAAAGATTTCCTCTGACTGATTCTGTGAGGCAGAGACACAAAACAGAGCAAGGTACAGGGGCTGAGGATGTGGAAAAGGGAATGGAATATGTGAAAGAGGCAGAAAGACAGCGAGAGCAGAGTCTCCAGCGTTTCTGAGAATATCGCAGAGAGGAGACATGAGAGAAGCAGGAGTTGAAAAAGGCAGAGAATGTATAAGAGATATCGAAACTACCTAGCCAAGAAAAAAAAAAAAAAAACGAAAGCCTGAGAGTTCACAGGATGGAGAAATAGAAAGCTGTGTTACAAAGAAGAAGAGAAAGAGAGTGAGCTATAAAAAAAAATCAAAAAAAAAAAACACAACCCCTCAGCTTGATCCCCATCTGAGCAGCCATGTTGGGTGGCTAATTATGACAAGTTACCCGGGGCTCTAGTGGGAGTTAGCGCCTCACCTGTATCCATTTAGGAAGGCCTCTCCACTGGAGACTGGGATGTCTCCTGTCAGCATCTTAAACGTGGTGGTTTTTCCAGCCCCGTTGATTCCCAGCAAGCCGAAACACTGAAAGAGAATTTAAGAAGGGGGGGGGGGAGGGGCTCCATTTAGAAAACAGTGATTTGTATATGCAAGCCTTACTGACAAAAAACAGACAGGAGACATGATGCTTGACATTTCAAATCATCTTTATGCATATGATAGAAACCATTAACCTCTTAAATGAAGCTAATCTATACAAAGTGTACATATATGGGCAGTGATGTACAAACAAACATTGAAGCAAGTGTTTATGCATGACTAGCCTAGTGCTGTAAATTAAAATTGATATATTTCTGTGCACAAACAAAACAACGAAACACTAAATCAACATGGCAGGCACGCAGGAATAAACACTGTAAAAACAAGACCATTCCCAAAAGCATTTCTTTCTTGCGTCTGTAAAATTTCTACAGCAAACACCATCCTCTCGCCGCAGTTTCTCCCTGATGCTGCTGATTTTTTACTTCCCTCCCGAGGGCATGTGCATCAGGAAGAGGAAGTCATCTCTGCAGAGCCCCGTGGTCATGTGACCCGCCTTAGGTGCTCCGGCTCCGGCATAAATATTTGATTTCTGTCATTCATTGATCCCTTGCTTGTTTGTGACCTGCGCTTGTGAATGCATAGAGGAGGGGCAAAGCCGGATGTAAATAATGCATGGAAATGCAGTGTGTGATCAGCAGAGCCCCCATGAATGACAATATATTTGGGTGGCATTTACATTGGGCTTTGAGTAAACAGCGGCAGGGAGGATGGATACTAACGCAAAGCCCAGCGAGCACGGACGACTGTCAGCATTTGAGATTATGTTGAAATCAGGCTTTCAGCGGTGTGAGTGTATAGGTTTGTGCGATGAGCATGGATGCTTTACACGGACAGTGCATCACTTTTTCACAAAGGTCCATTAGTCCAAAACTGTGTGAAAGTTTCCTCTGCTGTATATAGCCAATTCGGTCTCCCACTGATAATCCCTGCTTTAAACATCGTTGGTCTTCCACCAGTGTGCCTGTGTGTATTTTCCACACACACACACACACACATGCTTGGCAGTAGCATAATGGCAGAAAACAAGCCCCGATAAGCAGATTAGTGTTCCTCCCAACGCCTTCTCTAAGCAGCCTTTGGAAGATACTTTGATTTCACTTGGAAAAAAAAGCAGGACACAGCCAAATCAAATCTTCGAGAAATAACTGTAAACTGCAAATCGAAAAAAACCCAGAGAGGGAGAATCTCAGCAAATGTCCCCGCTTTAAAACATCAATATTTTGTAAATATTGTCATTAATATTCAAATATGAGTATGATGTGTATTATTAAGCCAAGTTATAATTATCACAAACAACACAAAGATGTTTTCCAATGTTGGTGTTCCTGGTTATTTCTGAAAAAGTATTCAACATGCAAATAGTGAGAAAGTCCTCTGGTAGCAGCGGAAGCAAACACACCACAGGCTTGAAAAGGTTCTCGTGTGATGCAGCAACATTTGGCTCACCTCTGCGGCAGGTACGCCTACACATAGCCTGTCCACAGCAGGGGTGCTCTTCCGGGGGTACACCTGCAGAGAGCAGACGATAAAAATGAATCAAGCAGCCAGCCGGAGAACGAGAGAAAGAGGAAGAGAGCGAGGTAGGGGGGGAGGGGGGGGGGGGGAGGAAAGATGGAAGAGAGGATAGCTGGAGAAAATATGGAGCGCTCGACCAGAGCAGCAGGGAGGAAGAAAAGATAGAAGAAGCAGGCGGGGGGAAAAAGGAGGGGGAAAGAAGAAGTGAAATTTTAACAAGAAGGCATCATTTGCAACATTTAGAGCAGCCAGATGGGGAAAAGGTAATAAAAATACATTTGCACAGGGGGTAGAAGAGGCAGGAACATTAGTATTTGTGGGTGCAGTGAAGGCATTCATGAGGAAATCTTCCCCCAATCTGAGTGCCACCTCAGTACAAGACGGCCAATAATCAAGTAAACCAGGTAGAAGTCTAGACATCTGCAGAACACAAAGGACAGTGTTATGTTCATCACAAACCAGGAGACCTACTTGGATTCTGACGACTATAGGGCTCCTCGGTTCAGCTGTGCTTTGAGCTGAATTATATCATAATGTTTGTAATTCTAACATGCTCGCTGTTAGCACTTTAAAATGACATGCTGCTGATGTATTATCAGACATTTTTGGACACTTTTTGGGACAATCGACTTGTATCATCAGGGAAGAGCAGTCGAAAAAAGATGCATCTAGAGTCCAACCAAAACAACAAAATCCACAAACCAGCATTACAAATGTAATAAGACTAAACTGAAGTTGAAAACACAAAGCCAGAATGAAATAGAAACTATAAATAAAAGACTCAAACTATCATCACCTGGGGCGCCTGATAGCCCAGTGGGTTTGTCGTGCGCCCCATGTGTGGAGGTTGTAGTCCTCGTCCTCAAAACTGACCTCATCCCTTTCTCTCTCTCCTTCCAACATTTCCTCTCTCTCTCTCTCTCTTCAGCTCTCCTATCTAATAAAGGCAAGAAAAGACCCCAAAAATATCTTAAAAAAACCAAACCAAAAAACTATTTTAACCTTTGGTCACTGTTGGGCAAATCAGACGTGGTTTCAAACAATAGGACCAGAGCTGGATGGTAAAATGAGGTGAAGGATGCAGAGACTGCAGGGTGGATATAAAGAGGGGTAACGGTAGACAGCAATGCTGACCCACGTTTTTACGTCTATTCTCTCTGCATCCTCAGCAACAATCCTACCTACCATCATTTAAAAGGTAGCCCTCTCTCACACACACACACACACACACACACACACACACACGAGGAGAAAACAGGAGTGATCTGGACAAAGAAGCGCATCATTTTGCAGTCCTACGTTCCATTGGATAGTTTATTTCATGACATCGTCAGGGCGCTGTTAAAAACCCTAAAGCTCCTACTATTGCCTGAAAGTGAACTGCATGAAATTCACTCGAGGTGAATAATCTTTTCTCAGGACAAATAGCTCTCACGTTCTGATTGTGAGTCAGTATCCGGCTAAGATCTTGCTGTGTCACTGGAAATGACAAGCCGGTTGTTGGTGTTTTTTTCACATTTTCTTTGAAAGCTCTCCATGCTGAATCCAAACGCTCCCCCGCTGACCGGACTGATGCATTCCTATTTGAATTTAAGGTGTGTCGTCTGAAAATCTCCCCAGAGGCGGTAAAGAAACACACACTTGAGGTGTTCCTGATTTGTTACTTACTGAGAAAAAAAAACAAACAAAAAAAACACTCGATACAGAAAGAACAAATTCGACAAAATGAGGTGTTTAGCGATTGCGGCGCTATTCCACACCCGAGACTATGTGAGAGTTTGATATGTTTTTTCAAAGTTGTTAAAAAGAAGCGTTGTCTTGCTCGAGCAAGACAGACACGACAAGGCCTTTTGTTGTTGTTGCTGAGTGTGACAGTGAAGACACTCAGCATTCAAAATCAAGGACACTGCTGTGCCCCATTGAGTTATGAAGAAGAGACAACTCTTGGCTATATTTCTGTGTTTAAAAAAGTTGAAAACACAGTTCTCCATGAATGCTGCAAGTGTTTTTGTGTGACTGTCAGGGGTCTGAAACAGTGAACGATCATTAAAAAAAACCCAGAAAAGTGACAGCAAAGAATGTATGAAGGACGCGTTTCCATTACAGATCCTCCACCATTAAAAACAGTCATCTATCCCCCCTCTGTATTCAGAAGGCTAGCAGGCAAATGTAAATTTATAACTGCACTTCAAGCCTGACAAACAATGACACTGCATTTATTTCGCAGTTGGCACATCAAAAGCTCGTGATAAAAGCAGGAGCTGCATAGATCCGCCATTCTCCGGTGCCATCTGGCAGCAGCACTCAGTACTTATCAACCTGGATTACACATACTACTTTTTAGTGATATTTTGCAGCGCTGAAGCTACATCAAAGCAGGCGATACATGTAAGGAGGAAGGCAATTAAAGGATAATTCCCCTCCGACTGGAGCACCACAGCAGCTGTCATGATAAGCAGGCCGACGTCTAATCAGACGAGACAGCTCCCGAGGATGTGATGGCGGCAGTTTTGCAAACCTAAAATATAGATTTGCATTGCAAAACAAAACCCGCTTCAAACTCTGAATAATAGCTCTGGTCGTAAACAATCATACAGACACTGCTCTGTTAAGAAGGTCTTGTTAACATGTGGTTCTGCCAATAGGTGTCCATCCTTTCCACACATTAAAAGTATTTCAGTTTTAAGGTGCTATGCTAAGGTGCTCATCTGAAGAAAGAAATCATCATTGCCGACCTGCCACCCGTCCAGGACTTATACCGGTCCATGGTCAGGTAGCATCACTGCAGACTCCTCACACCCCGGACACAATCTGTTCAAACTCCTCCCCTCCGGTAGGCGTTAAAGATCACCGCAGGGCCGACATCAGCTGAACCTGTCTCATCTGAACCTGCTTTAACACACTATCATATGGGCATACTCTTAGTATTTCAAGGTGCCATTCATCATTCATTACTGTACTAACGTCAAACAGCTGCCACAAGGTTCATTTAAACTTTCTCTGTCAACTTATCGAGCAACAGGAAGGTTAAACTGACAGCGCTGTGCCGGCAGAACTCTCACAGACGGACACACTTCCATTACAGTCTCCATCGATTACAGCGCAGACGATAACGCAGCAGCTAAGTGGAGGCGAGCAGGTGGGGTGCATGGCAACTTGTTTAGAGCATCAGGAAAAGGAAGGGGGCGGAGCAGGGATCTGACACATGATTGATGGCCTGTCGATCGCTTCAGAGGCGTGCTTGGATTTATGACAGGGGCTCAGCCTGTGGCGCATGGCCACCGAAGCTGCGCACGCTCATTGATCAATTTGTTATCTACACCCCCAAATGGATGGGGCACAGCTGTGGTGGGAGTCAATGCAGGATGAATCCCGATGTCTTCTGCCACTGCGCTGCTGTGATGGGCCACTGTGTTTTCATCTCAGAGAAAAGAAAAAATCAACCAGGAAGGAGTTTTTGAACAGTGACTGCTTGCCAAAACTGAATGTTTGAATTATTTGAACTGGATAAAGTAAGCTTCGTAGGAGAGGTTAATCGTTATCAAAGGCAAACAGACATATAAGAAGTTATCTTCAAGTTTTGCCTAAAAACCCCCCCCCCCAAAAAAAAAACCTCTCCACCTTGCAGGTTGATTTGCGATACATTAACCACCCAGATGTTTTTACCTTGCACTTGTTCGGTAATTACCCTCGGGAGTGTGGCGACGGCTGCGTCACAATGAGTGAAAGATTAAATGTAGTGAAACTGAGAAGCCGCGGGAGTAAAGGAGCAAAGAAGGCTGCTAAAGAAAGATGCTAGATCGTCCAGCTGTCGGCAACCGAAGCTGCTGTGGCGACACTTCCTGCTGCCGCACTGCCCGCAGGGAGGGAACATCTGCCGAGGGATGGAGCGTTAATCTCTGTGGTGTCGAGGTACGCACCGGTGCAGCACGCTCGACTTCACCTGCTGCAAGGAGGCGAGGTCAGAATCAGAATCAGAAATACTTTATTAATCCCTGGGGGAAATTCGGTCGAGAGCAGTATAGGAGCCTAGACCTTTACACCCCCCAAGATGCAATGCTTTTTGCCTCTCATGCCCACTTATGATGGTGGTGAGCGTCCACAGCTGCAGCAGAGCAATCTGCCTTTTCCATTTGCCCTGCAAACTGAAAAACGCAGGTGCAAGCGGAAAATATTCAATATATATTATATTCAAGCATTCCTGCAACTAATATTCAAGCATTCCTGCAACCCACACACATTCACATTAACATGCATGTAGAGTAGATGCATGCTATTAAAAAAAAAAGGTCATGGTGTAGGTTGTCACTGTATAACGTCAGAGAGGTTAACGTGGAGAGGGATAAACTGTGTTTACCTCTCTTGTGAAATCTGGACCAGAGTCCTGCATGAGTCCAATTTTCCAAACCTGCATCTTACTGTACCTGGAAAGTTCACTACTGAAACCCAGCCAGTTACCTGCAAATATCCTAATGTCAATTCTGTACCCTCCTGGACCTGAACATTTGAGAACCGCAACCCGACACAAACTACACACCTGCTACACCTGCGTCTCGTCTCTATGACAACAGTCTCTCAAAAACGGCCGCTGTATGACCGACACAGCTCCGTTGCATTTTACGACATGTTTTATATTTGAGGTTGTTTTTTTCCCCTTCACTATGACAGTGCTTTATGCTCAATGCTTTCCCTACTACTTTGTCCGCGTGATGCGCTTAATGATACTGACTTGACCCGCTATCACGGCTTTGACCAGACGCAGAGCTGTGGACTTTGCTGAACACAATGGAAACCAACAGGCAGGAGGAGAGTTTAAAACTCTTTTCCTCTGGGAGACCCTAAAAAACATGACTGCGTCTGTTTGAGTCTTATATAAAGGTGAGACTTATATTCAGGATATTCTGGTATAATCTATAACATTGTACTTATAAAGGCCTGAATGAGGAGTTGAACATTAGTGACGGCTATACACTCTCTGTGCAGCTAAGTGTTACATGCTCTGTATTGGAACACATTTTGATTGCACATTAAATAAAATACATTCAAATTATAATCATTCATGGCATTGTCACCTGGTGTATAGGTGTTGTGTGCTTTTTTACAAGAGGCAAAAGTGTAAAATTTACAAAATAAAGTTCAAATGTCATATTCAGGGCAGATGATTCACAAAGGGCAAGATGTCAGGGACTTTTAGGGGTCAGAAGATACAGTTAAGTAGACTGATGAACAAAGGAGAAGCTGTTTGAGTCTCAGACATGCCCAGACATGAAAGAAGAGACTCACAAAGTAGTAGAAAGCGTTTCATATAACGGACACGGCACCTTAGTGAGGTCACAGATCTGCAGGAGGTCGTTCTGGGCCCGCCCATCATACACCCGCTCACGTTCCCGGGCTACATCGATGTCCTCTTCCTCTTCGGATAATGACTTCGCTGTAATGAGCCTGGCAACGAGAAGTCAACCACAGTTAACACAACACCCCTCATTAAAATTAACATGAACTCGCCTGACAAATTATCTCGGTCAAAGTTTAAGCACGGTGAAACTATCTCTGCAATTTTCATAAATAGTAGAAGCTGCGGGCATTAGTAACCACAGCAACCAAGCTTTTAAAGTAAGTAAACACTGGAGCGGGCAGTGTTTGCTGAACAGATTCAAGATGCAACAGATGTTTTACATTAACTAAACATGCAGGACATTACTGACTCAAATGGAGGAACTAGGAGGGAAAATACTTACCTTTATTGAGAACATGGACAAGAGTTACAACAGCGTGAGCAAGCGTTGCCAGGCCACTTTCACATTTACAAACATAATGGGATTTTCCATTTTTTCAACTAACACTTATGAGTTCATTCACAATGGATAAAGAGCTGTTGATGATGTCATACCCTGAGTGCCTTTCCATTTGCTTTTTAATTGATCATTCATGCACTTTTTATTATTTGTTGTCTTATCGCCCCCCCCCCACACACACACACACTTTACTCTCCCCTCAATTCATAAATACCATTTCCTTTTCTCATTTAAAAAATATGCTCACAACAATTATTCATGACATACTGCTTACTTCATTTCCCCCCCAATTCTTTAACTCTTTAAAACAAAATTACCTGCTGTTGATAACTCATTCACTTGCACTATATAAATCTGGTATATACATTTTTCTCTAATTATTGTGGTCTTAAATATTGTGTCTTTATGCATTTTGCTGTTGTCTTTGCAAAGGATTTTGTTGAAGATTGGATATAAGCAATCTTTTTTTTTTTTTTAAAGATTGAAGATATTTGGGGCTTTTTCTGCCCTCATTGGAGAGACAGAACAGTGGATAGAGTCTGAAATCAGGGAGGGAGAGAGAGCAGGAAAGGAGTCACAGATTGGATTCGAACCTGGGCTGCCCGCTTGGAGGACTACAACCACTGCGCCACCAGCGCTCCCATTAGTCATCTTTTTTATTAATCATTCCTGTACAGCACTCACTTCTTCCAATAATGATAATAATAATAAAACAGTTGGAACTGTCAGTTTCACCTGGGTTTGCAGAAGAACTTGTACTGGATGAGGATTGTGAGGGTGAACATGATGACTCCCTGGATGGACATGGCCAAAAGGTTCTTTCCGACCATATCCCAACTGAGTGGGTCCTTGAAACGGTCTTCTCCTGAAAAGAAGATAGAAAAATAATTAAAAAAGATCTGGCATTAAAGTCAATACACACAGAGAAAGGTAAGTCATTAAACACATCATTACTGTGTGTCATTTCCTGTTAATTTCAAGTCCTTATCTACGAGCTCAGAAGACGATTTAGCAGAATCTTTGTCAAAACAAAAAGGAATTAGCAGATGTGCGTTCTCTTTCATTGCCAGCCAAATACATCTTTGTCAAAAGTTTGAGCTGGTATTTGTCGGCACTTTGAAGTGTTTTTGGAGACATACTCATTGGTGAGAGCAAGCAGTTAAGATGCCACTTAGCCTTCAAATGCAAAGTGTAAAAAAAAAGAAAAAGAAGAAAATAAATTGCTGTCACAAATGTCGTGAGAAAATCACCGGTGTCCTGTACTGTCTATGTAAAAGCCTGTCGCGGCTAATTAACACGCAAGTGAACTGGTGACAGCCCCACCGCACTTTAATCATCGTCAACGCGCCTCTTTCAGCTTCTACAACCCTCGAGCCCGAGGGGGCAGAGTAAGAACCCCCCCCCCCCCTCTAAAAAAAAAAAAAAAGAAGAAGAGCGCTTTTATTCTCATTCTCTGGTAAATAGCCCCCTCTCCACGCTGGCCCTTTTAGCTTGTGATTGCTTTTCTCTTCCTGCTCTCCGACGCCACCGCAAATGATTCCTCAAAAACGCTATTTCCTGCTCCATCTCTCCACGGGTAAGACTCTTCTTCCTCTTTCATGTGGCTCTTTTGCCTCTTGACGGACCTCTCAACCCCCCCCCCTCCCCCCTACCCCCCCGACTCCACGTCTGCAACCCGGCCGCCCCCTTTCTCCTGACTGAATTCAACCCACGTAGAGTGAAGAGCTCTAGAGCTCTAGAGTTTTGGGGCTTTGAATTACTGGCAGAACATGCTTGTGGGATAAAGAAACCAGCATTTTAAACAGAACTGTATAGTGTTACTTTGAATAAAAAAGGCATGTTCTTTAAGTGTTTTTAAAGGTCTCACAGATGGGCAAAGGGAATGCAAATAAGCATGCATATGCACATTCAAATATGTTACTTTATCCAGTGTTCTACCATTATACTGCTAATCCTGTGTGCGTCAGAGTGAGCCAAGGAAATATATTCACCAATGAGATCTTCCAGGTAACACTGAATGTAGGAGAAGTGTGTTTAAAAAGAAACATTAAAGCTTGTTAAAATCATGTTAATATAACAGACTTCTTGTCTCCTCATAACAATGAAGCACATCGATTGAGTTAGACTTTTTGGATAATAATATTTGGACCATGAATATCTTAAAAGGTAGCAGAATACTCGTAATTTGAAGTGTTACCACAAATGCAGTCCACATTGTACCTCCTCAGTTTGGCAGACCTTATCCTTGTTTGAGGAAAATATAATCTCACAAAATGAATCATTAAGAGAGAAGATTCCCCCCCCCAAGAGGATTAGTGTTGCTGATAGTGTCGGTGGACTCTTACCAAAACTACTGAAGAGTGTGCCCATGGCCTGGTTCTTGGCCATGTCGATTAGCCCTCTGCCCAGACAGAAGTGAGGGAATATCAGCAGCACCTGCTTCACGATGTCGTTGATGCGGGACACATTCTGTTCAGGATATCGCACCAACAAAAGAAGAAAAAAAAACACACAACATACAAATTGGTGGCATGTAAAAGCTTTGACTCTTTAAGCCCTGCTTGGGAATTAGCCAGCACAAGCCCAATGTGTCGACTCTGCAACTTGACTCAGCGGGGCCGGCGGGGCAAGAGCTTTGGAATCACCCTTGACGCAAGCGTGGATAATTAACAAACATCCTGTGCATCATTTGCATGCTGCGCTGTTGTGTTGTGGGGCGGCGAACGGCAAGCTGAGGGGAGCGCGGGGGGCGTCTGAGTTCATCTCGCCTTTTGATGTCGGAAATTTAGCAACCGTTAGGGAGCACACCGTGTGATCTGTGGAAGAGTGCACGCATACAGTGTGTGTAAACACAGAAGTGAAGAGGTGGCGCTCAGGTAAGCAGATGTTCTTAAAATCGCAACTGAGGGGTAGAAGGAGCACCCGGGGACGCAAAAGACAAAGCTAAAGAAAAACACCTACAGGCACTCTGCATGTGTCTGCGTGCTTTTCTTCTTTCTAATGGTGCATCAAGAAGAAAGAGACTGATACAAACAAACACAAAGCTAAAGCACATTGCTTCATATGGCATACATTCAGAGCTAGTCTTATCTTTACGGGGCATTCTTGAGCACAACTTCTCGACCAAATTGTCTCTTTCTCCTTTTTTTTTTCCTGAGGCTACAAATCACTGGAAGCCCCAGCGAAAAAAGGTGAAAAGGAAATAATTCATTAGGTGAAGACACAATGGACAGAGCTGTGATGAACGGGCTCAAACGAAGGGGGAAGCACACTAAGTCAGAAACGGAGGGAAGGGGGGGAGCGAAGGGGAGAGGCAGAGAGAGCGAAGACAAAATATTTCTATGTTTGGCGCTGCTCAACGCTCAAAAGACAGATCATGCATTATGCATACTGCTTCATTGCAGCAAAGTCTTCAAAGCTCTTGCATACATGGAGGGAGGATATAAATTCATCATTTCTGTTTTTTTTTTTTTTGTCATGCCCAAGCAAAGAGTAGGTGGAAAAGGAGAGGCAGTGCATTTTGTTAAAGCTGTGCGCATGATTACTAAATGATGGTGATTATTGTCACAGTATGTATTCACTGAGTTTGTAACTGCTGTGTAATGTTTCACTGAATATGCTCTCAGTCTGCGGTAGAGGAAAAGTGTATGCACATTGTAAGTCGTCGGGACTTAAATACATACAAATTCCTCACATAAGTTAGCCAGATGTCCGCTTATATTTCAAAGGAAGAAGTTAAAAAAAAAAAAAAAACACTTTTTAAGAGGCTTTTTGTTGGTCTGGTAAAGTTAAACTGGAGGATTTATACCACTACATGTAAGTTAATACCAGTTAGCTTTGTATTTAGAGAGCAAACAAGGAAAAGCAGCACAGCTCCATCTGAAGGTAATAAAATCCATCAAACAGCACTTCTAACGCTCACTAATTGACATGTATAAGTCACTTCCTGGAACCTTAGCTGGTTCCCTCGGCAACAGTCCCCCAGCAACTGATTCCAGCCAAGAAATAGTCAATAGCATGGACCCACATGAAACAACTAATTGCTGTTTGTACACCTGAAGAAAAAAGCAGTTTCGCTCCCTTTTTAGACGGAGACAGATTAGCTGTTTCCAGTTTTCATGCTAGGTGACGCTACCTCTCTGTAAGAAAACAAATAAGCCTTCCGGTGTACAGACGCACTTTTCTTATTTCTCCAGTTATTTTTGGGGGGACTTTGTCTTTTGTTGGATGGGACAGCTGAAGAGAGACAGGGAACGTTGGGAGGAAAGAGTAGGGGATGAAATGCAGCAAAGGGCAAAGAGGTTGGATTCAAACCCACAGCCGCTGCGATGAGGACTTTAGCCTCTGTGCATGGGACGCACGATATAACCACTAGGCTCTGGGCGCTCCCTTTTAATACCTTTTTTTCCATTTAAAAAGTAGTCTGTCCTATTAGCCGGTTCAGCCAATATATCAGTGTTGAATGCTGAAGGTAATTTTAGGGCACTATCACCCATCCAAAGCTATGACATGGACATGAGCCATGACCGCAGGCGCAGCTGCCACTAGCACCCACTGCACACAACCTAACGTGATGGAAAATTCACCCCTGATTCACTGTGGAGTGTAAGCAGCCTCTTCGCAGATTTCTATCCATTTGACTCGAGGCCATCTTCATATGAAAATGTAAATAAACAAAGCAGTGACAGTTATGCGGAAGAATCTTGCCTTTCTTTAAGTATTTGTATTTACATCTCACTGTTGTACACATCACATAGCAAAAAGAAGAAACCAATACTATCTTCTCCCCTTGTGGCAAAACACACAGTAATGTTTCAGATCAAAAGGGCGCCCACACACACACACACACACACATTCTGAGATGATTTTTTTTTTTTTGCACGGGTAGGTGGTCACTGGCCTAGTTTCTCTCAGGCAGATTTGAGAACGTGATGAAAGGGCGTCATTGATCATGATGTCAAAGCAAACCTTCAGATGTCCGGCAATGTGTTCGACAATAATTCATCACGGCTTTTATCTACATTTACACATTTGCCTGGAGACTAAAAGGGTACAAAAGAAACAAATTATAAGGAGTGAAAGCAGCTCTAAATATAGAAAGATGTACCCCTTTCATCAATCCATACATCAGTGTCCATTACATTCATGATAAAGTTACAGATCAGACTTTTAACTATTGTTTTAAAGTGATGCAATGAATAATAAACTGCTTACACTAGGAGGACATGTGAGCCGAGGGTACATTAAAGTGTGTTTATGACTCCTTATGCTAACTTTTTTTCTACTTTATGAATTCATACTTAATAAAAGGATGGGTTTAAAAAAAACGGAAATAAGGACCATTTATGCACTCCAGTCCGTTGCATAAAATAAACTTCTATCTAAGGAGAAGGATGTTTTGAAATAGCTGTCAGTAAGTATTTAATGTCCAACAAACATTGATACTCTAGATGTTGGCAAACAATGTAATGATCCAGTACACACAGGCACTTGGCATGTGATTCACTCGAGGCCTCTCTGTTTTTTATATTCAATGCAACGTATACGTATACAGAGATAAAGACAGTTAAGTAAGTAAACAACAGCTACAACCTTGGCTGAATGCGGCCCACCTGTCTGCTGGAGAGATGCGGTGAAAGCGAGATCGATACATGAAATAACATATTCTTCTGACTGGGTGTTCATCAAAAGAGATCTAGGAGGCTCCAAGTCGGGGGGGATGATGAAATGCTGGACAATTTCCCTCCTTACGTTCCTGCTCATGTGCCCATAAATCTTTTTCAAATGGTTTTGAAGGTGGTGTAGCCTGCGAGGCGCTTATCTGACCCATATCGCTACTTATGCTTATTCCCGCAGCACAGCTTCATTCATAATGCCTGGAATCACAATGAGAGACACACACAATATAGGGCTCAAAGACTCCTGTTAGATACTTTCTGGAGGTGATATTCATGGTTTTTTTCAAGCTGGTGCAGTTCTTGTGGGAAGACTGAAGCTCTACCAAGCAGCTGACAGACACATTTTGGGGACATTGGGGACATTGTGTGCCATGTCGTCGGATCATTTTATTGTTTGGATTCTTATGTTGTTGGGTTTTTAAGTTTTTGGTGTTTTTATGTTGATGGGGTTCTTTTATTTTTGAGTTCTTATGTTGTTTGAGTATCGTCGTTTGGGTTCTTCTGTTTGCGGCGGTCGGTATGGTGTTTGGGTTCCTTTGCGTCGGCTTGTTTTTTAAGGTTCTATATAAAAAAAAGTCACTCTCTTGTCGGACTATACTAGCAGATTTAATAAAAGGAGTGTAGAGGAAATGAAAATATCAGAACCTCTAGCTTTTGTTATGAAAATGACAACATAAAAACCTAAGCCTTTGATTCCTAATATAAATATCTAATCGACAGTAAGGGCTGCTTGATTTTGTACAATGCTTCCAGTTACACGATAGAAGTTAGCTCGTACCTGGCCACGTTGCTGCACGTTGACGCTCATCTTGAAAAGTCTATATGTGGTCATCTGTGAGCGGCACGTGGTGGAGGTATCGACTCAGGCACTGCTCCAAGCCTACAAGGCAGGCTGGGATTGATGCAATCCACAGGGAGTTGGGCAGTTCCTGAAGGGATGAAAATCTCCCATCGGTGTCGAGACAAAAACTGGGGCGCAGAGTCTGTAACACAGCAGCTCTTCTCTTGCACCTTTTATTTTTACTTTTTTCTCCAGGAGAGAAATAAAAAAATGGTGCCGTGCCCACGAGGGATCTAGATTCAAGCCTTGGCTGAAAAACGGAGAACAGATCGAAAGCCTGTAGCTTTACTTTTGAGCGACGTTGTTTAACTAATGCCGCCGCTGAGGAGTCTCAAAATGATAAGAGGAAGCTTTGAAACGGCAGGATCGTGAAAAGGAGACGACTGGATTGAGCTGTCATGTGTAGGATCTGCCCTTTTTTTTTCTAACTGGGGCACACCGGGGCACTGTCGTATCTACGTTCTATCTTTTCCTGTAAAGAGTCTGTTCCATGGAGATATCTCCTTTGAACAGGGCACATGTGGAAACCTGGAGAGTTGTAGCATTTGGTGATTGATGTCAGCCTGTCAGGCTCTGTTATCGGTTGTGAAATCAAGTCAGATTAGCAGAATTATCATATACGTACCTCTGTCCCTGTCAAGTCTCAGAGACACTATCTATGTCCCTAATGCCTTGAACAAGAGAAGAGCACAATAAATCCGTCTCTTTGTGCGGCAATTGGCATCGCAGTGGCCATTAAATTATCACCAATGGCACTTTTTATGAGTAGCACACTCAACTAAGAGTGTATCAATAAATAAAGAGAATGTGGAGGCAACAAAATGGCAACAATGACATTCTTGGAGGTGAGACGTGCCAGACGAAAAGTACAAATTGTTAATGAATGCATGATAATGAAATCAAAATGCAAATGAGGCAGCTTCGTTTGGAGATGGAAAACATCCCATGCCATCGCCGGTGTGTCGCCGGAGGAAACATCGAGACGGAGGCAAGGCGCGTCGGAGGGGACTGAGTATGCAGAGAGAGTCATAACACTCTGTCTGTAGTGCCGACCTGGAGCCGTGGGAGACATTCTGTTGAAGCATCCCATGTATAAGCAGCTCGTCAGAAACAGAGACACAGTTTTGTCTGTTGACAAGGAACGAGTGATCAGCAGGAGGCTACAAAGCGTGAAGTGAAAAAGAAAGTGTGGATGATGGTATGCTAATCGTGCAAACAACAATTATGTCTACCAATCAAATTAGACATATTTAGTTCAGGGAACAAACCAAAGTAGATCAAGAGGAGTTTTTGTATCAACAGTACCTTTAAGCTGCTGAAGTCCTTCTATCGAGAGCTGAATACTCAGAATGGGCCAGTTTCTCCTTTTCTTCTTAAAATATGATTTAAATAATAATCCAAAAGTAAAATGACTGACAGTCAACATCCGCCCCTCACTCTCCTCCAAAGCTCTCCATTTCTTATGCATCTCTTTTCTGGTGTCTTTGTCTTTTGATTCCCCGGAGACTGAAAGCAGCTTGCAGTTAAAATGAACACTTGCTGAAAGATGGATGAGGAAAGTTCTCCGAAGACCCTATTCTCACCAAACGATTAAGCATTAAAGAGAATAGGGAAAATAAATCCTTTGAAAAATCCTTGAGAGGATAAAGGAAATATATTAAAAGTTAGAACAGGTGGGTACACACACTCCACCCACAAGCGTATGGAAGTTTCTGCTTGGAGAACACAGTGTTTATGTATGATTCATGTCAATTAGTCATTCACCGGTATAGCTTCAAAATCCATTTTTTATGCTGCTTGGGGAGCCTGAATGCCTGCCTCTGCTGTTTGACAGGGACTGTGTAGTCCAATTATGCATGTACTGTATGTGAGTCTCTCTGGATTTTATACAGTATATATGTGCGTGTGTAAGTCTATGTGTGTGACTGCCACTTACATCATCATCAAAGAGCTCCATTACAAAAGTGGCCACACTGCCATTAATGCCGATGAAGAGGTTGATACAGGTGAGCACCACGTAGGCTGTGCTGGGAACACTGAAGATGAAGGAGGCGGGGTACATCATGGGGGTGATAGACCACCTGCAAGAACAAATAAAAAAGACAATGTCACACAAACAAAACACCGATGACAAATAAGGAAACTCCTGACCTGATCTAACATTAATACTTTTGAGAAATTTGATTTGAAAATGAAGGAGATCTCAAAGAACACAACCTGATTATCTCACCGCCAGTGTTTATGTGACAGCTAAGTAGCAGAAAATATACCACCTCAAATTCATAATAGAAGATTAATAGGCCAGGGGCTGCCGTTTCATGGCATCACAAGCCTCTTCTGATCATTTGCATGCACCCTGAGTGACCCACAAAAACACAGCTGAACAGTAAATGCCAACCACTCTTGGCCTGCAGTAGCTCAGTATTCGAAGTATGGTGAAATAATAGTTCAAGATCTCAGATATTCAGCATGATATAGCGAGGCATGCACTAAAGCAGTCAAAACAGATCAAAGGGCCAAAGAACGTGGCCTCCACGGCGCGGTCTGTGGAAGTTACAAAACAAGTCTGAATGTATTTGAATCAGAAACGATGTTACATGTTCACATCACACGTTGGATTAAATGCTCTGTGACTTAAACTTTGATAATCCACGGAGTATGTGTGTCAAACAAACATGTAAGCATGAAAAGAATCAGAAAAAACACAGCTGCAGGAAATGTAATGGGCCATCAGGAAGTCTCCCCTTCTCTGGGCGAGCGCACTTGGCAGCAAGAACTGGATTTGGCCAGATGTATTTAGCCGAGTCTGTAATTTGACTTTTGCCAGACAAAAGATATTCAAGGTTTCTGATAGGTGTGGTCACATCCCGATGACATCATGGGGACATCCGATTGGTTTTTAATGATAAAATACTGATTGGGCAAAATGTCCAAAAGAGCTGGCAGCTTCAATGAGTAGACAGGAAGTACACCATACAGTACACAGTATACACTGGATGTTGAGGAACAGTGTAGAATTAGCCAGATTTAGAACTTACTGTCAGTGTTATATAACAACATTTCAAGTCATCTTTTCTACTCACCCATACAAAACAAGCAGCAGGATCAAAGCCGGCAGGTTAGCAGGAGAAACGTAGGCTTTTTGTTGGAAGCAGAGGAAGATCACGATCACAATCAGGCAGGGTACGACGTAGTTACACTGTCAGAACAAACACAGGGACACAAAGCACTGAGGAAACAATACAAGAAATCTACCTTTAATGTCGTCATTAATGTCTCCAAGGTTAGCTTCTTAATCCTTGCCGACTTTTTTTTTCTCATTTTTACAGACTATCAGAAAGGACGTGTGATTATAGAATCTATATTTTTTTTTTGCCAAGACTGATAAACAGTTAATAGTTGATTCAGTATAAAACTGATTTTATTGTGTTTTTGATATTCCATGCAGCTGCGGGGCTTTTTTGTAGAACAAACACAGTGTTTTCCACCGGGTGTATCGAGAAACAAGGAAACATGAAAAATTACACAAGAATATTAAGGAGCTTTCACTGTGGATTTCTGCCATATTCTTATTGTGGACAGAGCATGCATGACAATGCAGACAGCTTCAGGCCACAATCGTTAGAGCAGCTCCTTGGGTACTTGTCTCCCGGTCAGACAGTATTTATCCACCGTAATGATGAGCATCCTAATGCCATTTCTTTACCAAAGACACCTGATAAAATGTTTACTTCAACTGTGCCTTGGGGAGACTGCCGGTGAGCCTGTTGAGCGTAACCAGCTGCAGCATTCTGTGTCGATGATGACGCCTCAGTCAATAACTGCTGCTCGGGCAGAGCGTCTCCCAGAAGCATCGGTGTGAAAGCTATATTATCAATTATACGGGACGGAGATGATTTCCATACATAACCTCAGGATGGAAAAAAAAACTCCAGGATACAAGGAGACTTCACTGAGGTAAAATGAGGCCTTTGGCATAAATAAACTACATTTGAGCATGTTTGGTGAGATTGCTTTGTGCATGCTAAAAAAAAAAAAAAAGGGATGATGCTAAAATGTACCAACAGGTGTTTTTTTTATTTATCAAGAAAGGGGGTGACATGGCAGCGTGATGGAGTATGTTCTTACCATATCCCAGGCAAAGTTTGCCAACCAGTACACAGTGGGGTTTACTCCGCTCACAAACTGCAGATGCTTGGCTTTGTTCACCCTCTCCTGGATGAGGAAGAGGACGAAGCTGGCTGGGATGAAGGACATGGCAAAGATAACGCAGATGGACACCACGACGTCGGTGGAGGACGTGGCTCTGTGATTCAAAAGGGAGAACAGCAAAACAGGAAGTCATTAGCGAGACTGAAAAAAAAAGAGCCAAAAAAAAAAAACGAGTGGCGATGAAACTTAGTGAGTAAAACTTGTGAACACAGGAGTTTTTGGATGATGTGAAATATCCTTTTTGGTGTGAGCAAAACAGTGTCAAAATGGAAATGAGTCCACACGTTTGCTCTGTTAATGATGAAACTGTTTCCAGTGGGTGTACATGTGCTAAAATATGTAAGCACTAACTTCTGTACATCACACATCTTTATGGAATACAAAACTGTAACTAAATTAAAATCTAAATTAAAGTGTTTCATGCCGCCTATGAAACTGACTGAAGTCAGTGATTGAAGTATTATATTTGCAGAATTCATACATTTTTTTAATAGGGTGACTCATCCTTTGCCTTTTCATTATAGAAAACTAAAAGTTGAGTTTTAGTTAAAAAGAAGATCAATGGTTCTCTTGTTGCAAAGGATACGAGGTCAAGCAAAAATGGAGAAGCAATGTTTAACTAATTTTCTGTAATGTTATTATTCTGCAATGTTTGGGTGAATTTCAACACATTCAGTTACAAAACATCTTACATTTGACAGAATATTCTGCTTTTTTTTTTTTTTTAGCATCGATGACTTAATGAGACAAGTGTCGCCTACTTTAACGGAAAGCTCATTAGCCTTCAAAAACCATGATATGCCATTATGCCCGGTTCAGTAATCGTAGCTCTTGCTGTTGTCTTGGTTGGTTGGTTGGTTGGTTGGTTGGTTGGTTGGTAGCCAGAACCTCAAAAGGTAAAAGCCGGCATTTTTTATGTATGTTTGTTTCTCCTCCACGATTTTAACCTTCATTTCAAAGACTCTTATTCCTGCGGTCAAAGCTATGAAAACGTCCTTCGTTGTGAACGCTCCATTAGCGTTGTATAAAAATGTGCTGTCCTTTCTTAACCCCCCGTCGTCATCCTCAACCCTCCGCCCCGCCCTGCGATTAGCTCTCACAAGACTTCCTGTTGTGTAATTAGCATATTAAATGAGTCACCCTGTGTGGCTACATGGCTGTATTTATCATGGCCAACCAGACACAATTAGAGCTCATAAATAAAATAATACACTGCAGTGGGTGCCTGAACACCATTCCTACAGGTTTCATAGGGCCGGGTGCTCCGGGTGGGTGGGAGAGTCTGATCTAACCCGGAATTTTTGAAGCTGTGTAATTGCTGTGAAGAAGAGGACAAGCAATCTGCTAATTAACTAATAATGCAAGAGCAAGAAAGATGAGCAGTGGGAGCAAAGCCTTACAGAATGTGTTGCTTTGCTTTGGGTTTTTTTTTTTTTTTTTAATGAGGAGGGCTGCAGGGCAAAGCCTGAAATGTGATAGAGGAGAGGGGCTGAAAGCACCAGATAATTATCAAGTGTAAGGCTGCAGGCACGACATGCAGGATGATGTTTGTATTATGTAGTATTATGTAATAAAGTAGAAACCATGTCAAAGGAAAAACTGAACTGCACATGATTTAAATATGGGATGTTCTGCACATAATGCACAGAATTTACAAGCACTAATTATTCACATTATCCAAATCCAAAGCATAAGAAGTGACATTACTGTCAGTTGCCACGTTGATATTTTTGAAGCAGTAAAGATGTGATGTATTGATCTCTGTTATTGAGTGTGACATTTGTAAAGACAAGAGAGGAAATCAGAGCAGTGCACTGTTTTTTTTTTTTTTTTTGGCTTGAGTTAAGTTGTAATTTAAAACGGGAGGAAACATCACTTCACTCTTCACCTGCATATTGTTTCTTACAAGTTGTTGGCTCATGTCCAAACTTGCATTTGGAATTGGCCATGAAGTGTACTAGAGGGGAGTGTTAATTGAAATTAGCCGGTGCGGTGCAAATTTTTGGTGTCCAAACCCTGGCGATGTAATTAGAGATGAATTATCATCAATGGAACAGCTTCAGCAATGGTCTCTCCTTAAAATGAAGGAGGTGTCAATGAGAAGCAATAAGTCATTTTTAAGGGTGATTATCACTTAAATTCCATAGAAGCAGTTTTCATTAGGGCAGCAGTGGTAGGGATTCAGAGTGTAAACAGACATATACATTACGCACTACATTACAATTCTGACTCCTCCGCATAGCAGAGAGACTTTAAAACCCAAAAATAACACAACAAAAAGGAGGCACTTTAACATTAACGACTTACAAAATACCTTCGTCTCTTGCTGTTGTTAAACTAACTTTGTCTGCTGATGAGTTGGTGCAGGTAACATATTGTTGGGTTCTTTGATCGGACCTTTTGGCTGCTGAAGATTATCAATGTGGGTCCAAAAACTTTAAAAAATATATATATATAGAAGTAAAAAAAGGCTTAAAAGTTAGTGTTTAGTTCTTCTAAAGAAGTCTTCTACTTACCCCATCCTGTTCCGTGACCTGCACACTTTTTCAACAATGACAGAGTGTCCAAGCTAATCTGGGAATCGCACTTTATAAATTGTAGTGGCCACAGTGTACACAGAGAGGCGGAGAGGGAAAAGAGGCTAATCCTGAATCTACCGTCGGCAGGCGATCGTAATTATCTCCCAAACCCGGTGCAGCCTCGCTCTCTAACTCAGGGCTGTCGTCCGCACCTGATCACTACATAAATACCTGACTGAGGATCAGGTAGGAGCAGCGGCGGAGGACAGAATAAAACTGCTTCTTTGCGGTGATTGGTGGCAGCCACTGAATTGCCTGTATAATGTCAGGAGTTGTGGTTATGGCCCTGCATGGTAATTTCCTTCAGTGGGAACAGTTCCAGCTACTTTGCATTAAAAGTGTTGATCACGATGACGTCTTAGAGCAAAAAAAAAAAAATAAATAAATAAAAATAAACGACAGATAATGTTGAGGATCACGTACCGGCTCATAATCACAAAACAAAACAGAGCAGAGTACACAGAGAGCAGTCAGATCCATATGTTGGGATTTAGCAGGTCATTCATCTCCCGCTCTCATGGGGAGCTGATCTCTTACGGGTGCTGGGATAAGGCCGGAGAAAAAACATTTTTTATATCCTCGCAAAGGCGGCTCCCATGGGACTCCAAATCTGTGCATACTCAAACAAATCCACGATCTATCCCTCTATTTATCTATCTATCTATCTATCTATCCATCCATCTATCCCTCGATCCATTTGTCTTACACTTTCTATTGAGTCATCTTTAACTCATCTGTTCTCCCTTTGTCTGTGGCTGTCTCTGCTTCTCTTTCTGACACTCATTCACTCCTGCCCTTCTCACTCTGCGTGGTTTCTCTCGGTTCCCCCGGTAGCCGTTAGTTTCCCTCTCCAGAAAATCAAAAATCATGTCCTCCGACAAGAACAAAATGTTAAGTCGCTACCCTTCACATTAAGATTTGGAGGTGGAAGCTGCAGACAAAAAATTGCAGATGTAGTATAAACTCTGAAGCCAACAGAACACTGTATTTCTGCACTTGTGTTTAAATTTTTTTTAAAAAGTGATTTTCATGCAGCACCTACCATCTACCCTTTAACCTGAATGATTTTTTTTGTTCTGATGACTCACATAGCGACGTAGGAGAGCTGTGCCTTGGTGAGGTTCAGAGGGTGATTGGACACGGAGATGCCATACTGACGGGGGTCCTTTCCTGCCGGCAGATTCCCCCTCAGGATGGCGTTGTTGGCCACACTGAGGAAGGATGGCACGCTATGCCAAGCCTGGTTATAGAACCACACCTGCAGAGGTGGAGACAAGCATTAGGGCTAATAGCAGCATGGAGAGCCTTTGTGGTTGCTTTAGATGTCTCCTAGCAACTGCACACGGTATAGGGAAGGTTGGAACATTTTCTGATGGTCAAATAATAGAGAGATTTTAACATGCAGGTTATGAGAAAAGGACATTTCAAAAAGTCATGAGTGAGGAGCAGTGAAAATTATTAATTCTGTTTCCAGCTGCTACTCATTCTGAAGAAAGGGTTGGCGTAAAATGTCAAGGACTTAATGTCCACTTCCACTGAATGTATTTTACCTGAGAAAATAATCATTATTGGATCATTATTTGGCAGACCAATCTATTTTCAGGGTTATGTTATGTTAAGCATAAAGGGAAGTCGAGGTCAAAAAGCTCCAGCGACACACAAAAACGATCAACTTTATTAGACCGTCGAGTTTCAGCTTGTGGCCTTCATCAGGGTCATGGTGAAAGGTGTCAGTCTACTAAAGTTAGTGAAGTCCATCTTCTTACTACAAGTGTTACTGGAGCTTTCTTAACCTTCAAGCCTTTCACTCTCCATACACCTCCACAGTTGGTGAAGTGGTGCCAGAAAAACCTTACTTTGCTCCTTCAAGGGTAAAGGTAAGTAGCAGGAAATGAGAAAAAGACACAAGTTCCTTTTTTTTGGGGGCTTTTTTGTGCCTTTAATGTAGAGATAGGACAGTGGATAGAGTCAGCAATCAGGGAGAGAGAGAGTGGGGAATGACATGCGAGAAAGAAGCCACAGGCTGGATTTGAATCTGGGCCGCCCAGTTGGAAGACTATAGCCTCCATACATGGGCCGTGCGCACTAACCACTGCGCCACCAGCGCCCCACAAGTTCCTTAATAAACACATCAACGATGTAATGAATGTTATAAATGAAACAGAAAGATAGGCAGGCCGTTTGAGATCGATACTTGAAAGCTGAGAAAGTTGCATTGAGCATAAATCCTGAGTATGAGAAATGTTTGACTGAAAGGTACACAAATCATAGAACCCCATGATTGTGTACCACAGATTTCACTGTTAAAATTGTATTTCTTCTTTGATTAGAAAGAAAACACTTTCTGTATTAAATATGGTTCAGGTCATAGGCAGGTTAGAAGCTTCAATACACGACAGAGACAAAAGAAATGTTTATGCTCTGTGTTTCTTTTCTCTTTATATACTTCATTTCAATCTCTGTTTATTTTCACACAGCATCATGAAACCCAGTCAATTTCATGAAACGCCATGAAAAATCGTGACCCAATTTTTGTTCAATTCACGATGAAACATGGTGGAGTTTGAACCTAAAACTGTACAAAAAATGTGACAGAACAAAGTAATGGAAAAAAAAAAAAATACCATGGTTAAAAACTTTTAATTGACCTTTTTAGACACAATATATTTTCCAGGATCACATTTGCGGCACACTTTTGGGTCCCGACCCATCAGCTGAGAACCGCTGTTTTAAATGATGCCTCCAGCTTCATTATGAAATAAATCCCATCTGGCATTGCTGAGACCAGTCAGTAAAGAAGCAGAGAACTGAGGAAAATCACCACATGTGAGATCAGTTTGACTCTGTTCTTGTTGTTGTTATCGTCCTGTTATTGTTGGATCGGAACATTGTCACTTCTGTATTAAAATATTTCAAATCATGTATGTTTCTCTGGATATTGACGAAAACATTGCAGCGAAAATATGCTGCTATTTGTACTAACTCTTTTGTGCAACTTACAGCGAGAGATTTAGAGAGTACACGACTGCTGTGAGTCTATCGACATTTTCTATCCCGTATATTGGTGTGTTTATCTCTGTGTGAGAGTTTTTATGAGGAGGGAACGAAGAAGAAAAAATAGATTTTAGGCCACTTATTGCTACAAAGGATCTCTGAGGGGAGGGGTCAAATAATCTTCAGAACATTTCTCTTTTTTCTTAAAGAAGAAGCGATGAGTGTGACAAACACTACTTTTTCATTTAATCGAAGATAAAAGCCCGCAGTGACGGCCGGTCTCGATGCGGCATGGCGCGCTGGGTAAAAGAAAAATTTCTGAACACTTTCTTTTTAATGTAAGTGATTCTCAGAGTCGGTGGCTGCTGGGGTGGCGGAGAGAAAAAAAAAAAGAATGGATGAAAGAGAGCGGGAGTGAGAGAGGACTCCCTGCTGATAGTGCCGAGCTAATTAAGAGTGGATGGTGTTTGAGTGTCGGCCTCACGCAGGAGGATATGCAGTACACATACATACTGTACAGTATGTGCACACACACACACACACTCATACTCAAGTCTCTGTCTGCATGTTTGCGGCTCTCTTTATAGCTCTCTCGTAGCTGCATCTAAAGAGACACAGATCAACCATGAATGATATTATTTGAACTGTTAAAGTTCCGCATTGAGATGTTTCTCAAACGGCTTCAGCCTTCAAAACCATTTCGAGTCTTCAGGAGAACAGATGACAAAGAAAACGTGAGGGGTCTGCTAAACACACATACACATACATACAAATATATGATGACAAGCCACGTTTGCATTTCAACTCCACAACATTTGACGTTTTTGTTTTCGGAGGAGGAAAAATAACTCTCGTACCCACACAGTGCCAACACCTCAGAGCGAGTTCTTTGTTTGAGATATCAAATTCTACCACTACTGAAAATGCAAACGTACTTCATTTATGTAAAGTACCACAAGTACTGTGCTGACTTGAGGAGTTTTTCTCAGCTCTTGTACTTCATTATGTCCCAGTGGTACCTTACACGGCACTACATTGACTTTCAGACTACAGTCTCTTTTCAGATTGAGGTTTTTGGTGACTCTTTCATCATCCTCCTTGTAAAAAGCGTCAGCTAAGAGGTAATTATTATTATGTAATATTAGATAAAGTGAGTGGTAGTAACACTCTCTATTGTCTACTCAATACAATATCATGTCTATTGTGACATAATAAAATAACGTCTAAGAATCATCTTAACAGTTTAGAGTGCTTGAGAAATATATTAAAAGTGTTTTGTACTTCTTGACTATAACATAATTATTAAGTTCTATTTTTGGGCCTATATGACTTTATCCAATGTTCGATTAAACAGAGTAGGAAATCAGTGAGAGAGTGGGGAATGACATGCGGAAACGGAGCCACAGGTCGGATTTGAACCTGGGGCCGTCCACTTGGTTGGAGGACAATAGGCACGACCTAACCGCTTGGCCGTGTGCGCCGCTTAACATAATGATTTTAACTAATTGATTGAATACAAATGGCTCTGAGTGACTGTGCTGTAGTCATTCATAACATGGCAGCAATTTGACTTATGAGACTGAAATAAGCGGAATAATTGTGTTTATCAACTTCGCAGCAATCCTGAATAAACCAGAGTAGATCAGATGTGTAGGTGAGTTAGCCTCTGTCCATGTTAAACTCTTCATCATTACACTTCTTACCCAAAAGATTCTAACAGCACCTGCCTCGTTTCCTCCTCAAACTTTCATCTCATTGCATCAAATCAAGCAGCAGAGCGCAAAGGAGGACAAGGCAATTAATCTAATACCTTTACGTTGTCCCTGGTCCCCAGCTTCTTCAGCAGCGTCTCAGCCTTCGGGAAGATCTGATCAGTCACATTATCCTAATGAAAATGAGGAAAAACAAGATGGGGGGGGGGGAAATATTACTTAATTGGATGCACTTGGAAAATCATTTCTGCTCTTTGAAATGCAAAATATGCGGCAGAGGGAGACGAGAATTAAGACTTCCAGAGAGCGTTGGGCTGTGTTGAGCCACTTATTTCCCACGGACTTGGACTTGGTGTCCCCTGTTATTTTGGCTACTTGGAAGTTTTTTTTTGCTTGCTCCTCTGACGTTTCTGTTTTATTAAATAGTGTGGAAAATTAAAATATCCAGAGGAGGGACAGAACATGGAAAAAAATAAAAATCACAAGTAACAGAAATCGCCTTATTGCCTAACGCACTAATCATATGAGAAGTTGACTGTAAAGCCTAAAGGAAAAAGAAGGATTTTCCAGCGAGTACAGAGTGTTTCCTGCATCTTGTTTTGATGTGGGGAGAGAGAAAGAGAGGGGGAAGTGGACAGGTTGCATTTAAAATCAGCTCATCCTCACTCATGTATTTCATGAAATGAGCCTTGGGATGGGGGGCTGAGTATGACAGGCATGCGATTTCCAAAGTGTCATGTTGATACCATGCTGGTCAGGCCAGCCAGAGAGGCGCTGAGCACATTACATGTGTGATATAAATGCAAATGGACCTCCTGTTGGACCCTGCCTTCATCATGGGGGAGAGGAAGGGAGGGGAAAGCGGGAGTAAGGAAGAGGTCTGCTGAGGAAAAGTGCAGGTGACAACTGGGGAGAGAGTTGGGGGATGGGGGGGTGGGGGGGGGGGGGGGGGGGGGGAAATACGAGGAGAGAAATCAAGTGAGACGTCCCAAGAATGCAAGTGTGCGCTCAGGTGCAAGTGCCTGTCCACTCGGAAAGAGGGAGAGTGGAAAGGATTAGACACAAAAGATATTTCCAGCCCACAAAGACAGTTACCTAAGGACAAGGGGATCAGGAGATTACACCACTTGTGTTATTATTTCCATCCCACAATCCTTTACTCAGCCAATCCTACGCCACATTGTGACATGCTCAGAAAATTGGAGATATTTCAAGAACATATTCAGAGCGAGTTTTTTTGTTTTTTTTGTCCTGCCATACATCAAGTCTGCTCCTTTGGCAAAACAAAGTGTTCACACATAATTTCAGTCACGCAGCATGAATTCTTCATCTCTTTCCATATTGCAGTTTGAAAAAGGAGGAAGAAAAAAAAAAAAAAGTAACACCCCCATCTACGCTGACAGGAGTGTTTGTGTTAAATAACAAGCCCTCTGTTCCAAGTCATTACCTGTTCATACACCGGGGCAAAGAACAAGACTCCTGCTGGTGTCCGTGATGCTTCTTCCAGCAAAACGAAGCAAATCTTCCCATTTCTTTGTGTCTTTACTACACAGTGATTCGCATCACGCATATAGCAGCGGGCAGCGCCAATAGACGGCTTTCTTGAGGATTAGCGGTGGATGAGAGTGAGACACGATGAGAAGTGGGAAAGCAGCTGCTGGGGTTTAATTCCTGACAAAACTCCTCCACGTTCAAACACAAAGATGGAGACTGGTTCGGCTATTTTTCTAGTTGAGTCACCAAACCTCGAGTCCTCTTCACGCATCGAGTCCACAGAGTTCAAGTCTGAGTCACCAAAACAGAATCCCGGTCGAGTCTGAGTTTGAATCCAGTCCCCAATACCGGAGTCAGAGTCAGTAATGTTATCAACAGTCACATTCCTTTAGCATCTCACCGCCTTGTCTGGGTGGTTGAGGCAGCTCCTGTCTGCTCCTTGATACTTCTTTTGCACATCTAACAGGTCGCACAGCTTGTGTTTGCATTCTCTCTGAGATCTTAAAAACTGGTGTTTCCTCATCAGGCATCGTGAGCAGGAACTGTTGCTGAACAAGATGGCACAGGTTTTTTTTTTAAATATTAGATATTATAAGCGTTCAAAGGTTTGTGCTACATTTGTCTTTGTCCTTGTTTAAAGTGAAGTATGTCAAAATGTTTGTCTCCACATTAAAGTGTTACGGAGTCAAAGTATTTTTATGTGCCTGGATCCTTGGCCAAGATTCTCAATTAAAAGGTCCATACAAAAAATAAAAAAATCTATCAGTTATTAAGTCCAAATTCTCTCTATGCTCCGATCCAAATGCATTCAATGCTCAAGTCCAAGTACAAGTTGGAATCATCAATGCTTGAGTCAAAGTCGAGTCAGGGGAGTCCTGAGTCTGTAAATCTTGGACTTGAGAACCGTGCCGCCCCTTTAAGAGAGTTGGCAGATTGTTGACTGGCGATGATATGTGCCGCCCCTTTAAGAGAGTTGACTAGAAGACGTGTGAAGCAGAGCTGTTGTGATTTTTATTGGTCACTTTTTCTGCCACATCCGAAAGAGCACATGTCTGGGAGTACAAGTTGAATGTAACGCTCAAAACTTAAAGTTGTTACACCTATCCTTCAGCATAATAATAATAATAATAATAATAATAAGATCTTGTGTCAGATCTTTCTAGTAAGAATAAGAGCATCTGTGTAAGACATTTTGATATTTTAGATACGATTCTGGCTTGAATAAATACATTTCAGCACCACGACTCCATTTTTCTCGTCATTCCCATCACCTCTTGCCGCAGCGAACTCTATTTCTATCTGCTTAAGACAGGAAACGCAATTACAATGAGATTTCAAAGCCTTCTTAGGCGTCTGCACAGGTGGCTCAAAGTACAAAAGCATGCTACTTCCTGCTAACGTACCACGTCTTAATGCCTGCCGAGCAGCGGCGTCTAAGACGTTTCCCAATGACAGCGTAGCACTTTAATAACAGGGAATGCAGAGCTAATGTCTGGCCATTAGGGTTACATCACCGCTGCTGCACGAATTAAAGTCACATTAGCGTCCAGATCCAGGAGACAAGGGAAGGGAGCCCGGGTAGGGATGAGACCGGAGACGCCTGAGGGCGAAGCAATGTGCTGATCTCAGAGTAGTTTGAACATCTCAAATTTGAAATGTTAATGAGCGACTGTGTGTGTGTGTGTGTGTGTGTGCGTGTGTGTGTGAAAAAGAAGCCGAGAGAGAGAGAGAGATTCAAGAAGGGGGCAAGATGTCAGATGGTATGAAGTTCAGGAAGCCCTGCTTGAGTGAAAGCGTATTGCTGTGTACATTTGAATTGAATTGAAGAAGATAAAGTCAAATGATTGTGAGAATGAAAAGGAGTAAAGGTGTGTGTGTGTGGATGTGTGTGTTCTAGTGCAGTCGAGACCCAGATTTCTCGATTCATTCAAAGACACGCAGACAATCATGGCTAGTTTCCATGGACACCCCACAAAATAGTCAGGAGGAATCTAAAACTCCTCTTTTCTTTCCTTTTATATTTCTTTCTCAAGCATTTAAGAATTCAGCAGGGTCCAAAAGTCCACAACAAAAGCATCACCTGGGCATGAGATACAAAAAGGGAACCGAACAAAGAACACCGAAATGATGGGCTGAAATTAGCAGAAGCTCATTTAAAAGATGGCTGCAGCCATGACAGGAGAAAATCAGTCCGTAACAATGTCGTTTGCAGCCACAAAACCCATCCAAACATTTAATGCACCCCTGAAGTGACTACATCAAACAACTGATGATGAATCAATGACAATGTGTGTCTAAGCAATACCTGGCCTGTTGGACTATTCGGAAGAGTAAAGACTCTCTGCATGGATTCACCGTTAGCGTGGACACTTCGCATCATTAGAAGATGATTTATATATATTTATTTATTTTGTAATATAGGAGACAAAATGAGTGTCGGGGTAACTTTTAAGTAGTGTTAGGAGAATTCACCATCTTCAATTTGAAGAAGATTGTCAGGAACGATCAGAGTGTTCACACTGTACTGCTAAATCAGGAGTGAGCATGGTCGATTGTCAATAAAGTTCCTTTTGAAAACTCCCACAGACGGATGTTAAAGACAGATCTATGTGTATTTCTCATATTCACAGCTCAACTGCAATCAGTGGTAAAAACGCTGTCGCTCTCTCACACGCATACTCAGCATCTACAATTTATACAAGCTAACAAGACGGCTAAAGAATACAAAATATTCCCCGGCATGCTCCAAGTCTGCAGCTTTTTCCTTCCAACTTTTCTCTTGTTCATATCCCGAGTGTAGAGTAGAGGGGGAAGACATATTAAACAGGAACACCTGCTGTTGCCATGGTGCTTTAAGATGCTGTCTGCCATTTTGCAGAGACGCAATCAGGTAAAAAAAAAAAAGCCCTGAAGCTTGAGAACCAGCTTGAGGCTCTGCTTTTTAACCGTGCCAGAGTCAGCCCGCCAAAATTTGAAATAGGCCAAAACTTCCTTTAACCGGTCGAGATCAGCTGATTGAGACGTGATCACGTTGTGCAAGATCACGTTGTAAAGAAACACTTCAGCAAGAATCGTGCAGCACTACTGCCGAGGCGATTTATGGCACCTGAGAAAAAAGGATCAAAATCACAAAAGTCTGTTTGATTCAACCCCTGAAGATCACCGCCCTATTTCAGAAAGCAGGCTCAACAAACTCCAAATCAGAATCCCAACTTCGGAGTTTATTGAGTCTGAGCTGGGTAACTCTGAGGTTTACGTTTCAGAACGGCTGCTTTGAGTTCAGCGTGTTTACCACAACTATAAAAGCCACCATTAACGGAGGCCCGATACTTAATTTCACCATGGCAACAGGGCATCATGGTGATGTGCAGCGAGTATCAACAATGTCAATACATGTTGATAAAGAGTGAGCTTCCATACCAAGCCCAGTGCTGCTAGCATGACTGAAAAGTTGACATTTTATGGAGGAATATTTAAAAAGGAGATTTTTTTCTAACATAATACTCAATGAGGTTTGTTCAGAGTTTCTGAAAATAAGACCCTGATATGAACAAAGCTCATATTAGGGCTTAGGACTGTAATGATTTCAGGCAGGTGTCTGTGTCCTTGGTTTTATGAACCAATCGAGGATTTTCAGCATTACTGTCGGGGATAATCACATAGTATAGAGTATCAACAGGGTAGGCTCAGAGCGTGTCAATGTTTATAACGTACTTGAAATGAACTGAATAGGTCTTTGAGATCCTTGAATGAAGCTTCGATTGCTGCCTCGGTCAGACGGACCTGGGAGTTGACTGCTCCGACAGAGATCCCTCCGTACCTGAAGAGGCAGCAAAAAAAAAAGAAGAAAGAGAGGGAGGTTCAAGTGGAGGTAAGAGCGAACGAATAACATCAAGAATGTACTAACTCGCCCACACATTGACACACTTTCCCTGGAAAGCAACACCATGAGAGACAGACATAAAGCAAAGGCAGAGTAGAAACAGTTTGATTTGTTTGGGAGCAGTCAATCATTGGGTTGAACAAATACCTACGATTAATCATGTGTCATAGTTTCATAGTTTAAAATGAAGCACATCAAATGGAGGCCCAGCAGGATATTGTCAAAGCATGACTCCTGCAAAAACATGCACGGATAGAAAATGTCATCACAGTGTGCTGGATTGTGTCCTTTTTGTTCATAAAACACTTAAGTGACCTTCTAAAAGAGGATGCAACAGCATCACAACAGCAGCCCAGGTAGTAATTTGCCTCTCTTTGTGTCCAAAAAAAATCAAATAAATAGACATGTAACCAAATCTAAAGTGCCTGAGCAGAGTCACTGGTCTCTGAAGTGCAACCAGATACGTGAATGCACTGTGACACGCGCAAACAAAGAGCCCTTCACATGCTGCAGTGTACTCAGAGAAACTTGGAGTGGTGGTGGAAATATTCACAACACTCACACTTTACCTTGTTTTACCGGAGCGTTCAAAAGTCTTGACCAGTAAGTCCGTCGCGTTCCGCCCAGTTAAATCCAGCAGTGTGTCGGTCGTGTTCTGAACCCTCTGATCAAAAGAGAAGAGAAAAATGTGTTGACCTTCTGATCTTTGTTTAAGTGACATTGAGCTTATTCCTTCATAACATTTTTTTTCCTTTTGCAACTTGGGGCCATTATTATAAGTTATGATGTATAACAGCCACATTATTCGCTTACAACATCGAGGATTTGAACCTTTTACCCAGCGGTTGTCTTTGTACACATCCAGCACATGTGGCGACATTGCTTGTGAATTATCTTACAACCTGATGATTGAAACCCAAGATTGTGGGCCCCTTTCAGCTCTGTTTTCATTTGTAAGTCTCTCAAAATAAAATAAAATGGTCTCTAACCCTAACCCTTCGATGCCACAATTGTTCATCCCAAATCACCACATATTTTCTCATCCTTAATTCTCTCTCTCTCTGCTGAAAATGAGGTCGCAGAGGGTGTCCAAAGAGAATCAAAAACATTAACGGTGCAGAACAGGAAACCAAAAAAACAAGTTCTAAAAGATTCCAAACAATTTTGGGTTGTTCAAACAGTTGAGTAAGATTGGAATAACTTTGATTTATCTGGATGATCCTGGTCCAAGGACAAGGCTGAACAAAATGTGAGAACAACGTTCAAGTGTGTCAAACAAAGAAATAATTGCAAGGATGTTGCTACTCACAACATTTCTCAAGCTCTCGGAGGGTTATGAAAAAAAAAAAGGATTTCATCCTCGTTAAATCTTTCATTTAATAGCCTGAAAATCAAATCAATGGCAACATTTGTAAGGATTTTTCCTTCTGGCGCACTCTGTGGACAAAGAATACAGTATCAAGTCGTTAATACAGCACTGATTATCTGGGTTTGGTAATTAATTAAATTCTGCAACAGGTAAATGTTGATCAAACCTATGTAGGATGTCAGTCATCCAAATGATGGTAAATTTGAAACCTGATCCAAAGGCAACAGGACTGGTTGAAGATCTTGAAGACGTTTCACCGATCCTCCAAAATGCTCCTTCAGCTCTATATTAATTGGTGGACGGAGCTAGAAATTGAAGCCTCTGCTGATGCTCGAGGCTGACACACATGCTAATGATCCACAGGGGCTTGGATGTTAGCGCCGTCCACCCGATAGTTTAGAACTGAAGACACCATTCAGACGAGAGGTGAAACAAATCTACTTCATGCAAAACCACAACACAAGTGAACTGGATTACCTGATCATTGATACCAAAAACATTGATTCCCAAATCCGGATCATTCTTATCCGGCTATTGAACAACTTGGTCAGGGAGCTGAGGGGTCGAAATATTATCACCTAAAAGACTTCTTTAGGTTTTTAATTGGGTGTCTTCATATATGCTTGGTACACTTTCCACTCAAACTTAGAGCAGATTTAAGATTTAACACAAGAAATTGTTACTTCCAGTGGTCCTAAAAATGAAAAAAAGAATCCAAATGTTTAGATACATGACTTCTAATGCAATGTGTTGCATGACCTTTCTTTAACTAAAGTGAGGAGGTAAAACTTTTAGACCAAGCACTTGACTTTTCCTGTGTGTAGCGAAGCGTCACGAGCAGGGAGGCTGACCGCTGCAGCCGTTACTGCTCAGCCAGCCATAAAAACTCATCCACTAGATACAAATCAACAAAACTGAAGAGCAAAAGATGAAAAAGGGTTTTGCAGGTGGTATGTGTTCACAGGACCATGGAACACGTTCTCTCAACCCTTATCATAATAGTCAATTAAGGCCGGCTGCAGGAAGTCTGCTGGAAATGTAGCCCCCCGACAAAGCTACGAAAGCTGTGTCTAATGTCAAAGGACCCTAATTAGATGCCCTTCTGTGGATAAATGGGTACATTCAAACATCCAATTAAGGGGAGGGTACGACACACGGCAGTGAATACACTCCACCATGTGTGGACTGATACTTTCCAGCGCACACTCGCTCGACACCAAGCTGTTTTCACCCTGCTTATTTAGAGAGGTAACACTATGCTAATTAGGGGAGTGATTCTTAATAAAGTGAAGACCTCTGACTCCAAAACAGTTCTGAATGTTCAGCATAATTATACTGGTTATATAACCTTCAGTAAAACAGTTTGATGTGCATGCTTTGGCTACACACGGCGTTACAGATCAACATGGGACATATTTGATATATTGCATCCTGACTCGTGGAAGACAATTTTTCGATCTGCTGGTACCAAATATAGATAATTTAATAAAAATGTAAAAAAAAAAAAAAAAAAAAAAAGGCAGAGCCAACTTATCTTTCTGCCAATTTCACTCATCGTGTCAGTACTTCATGACTCGTTACAGTGGCACTTATAACATGAATGAGGGCAACATGAATGGAAGTCTGTTGGCAAAGAAATGGGTTGAAAGTGGGCTAAAAGAAGAAGAAGAAGAAGGCAGTGAAAAGTAATGAAAAAGAAGTAAAGAGATGAAGCATGATAAGAGCTGAAACCAACACACCTTTGCAGTGGATGAATGCATGAATCCTGCACTTTACCTGTTTAAGTGCATTTTATATTCTTCAGTTAATCAGCGATGGGATGGATCGTTAAAATCAACAGTTCCATCTTGATTTGATATAATGGTTGAGAGGGGCCATGTGTCAGGTTTCACATTGTATGGCATTAAATGATCTCATATCTCATCTAATCTTATTGTATCATATCCTAACTCTACATGGCGTGTTGTTGAATCTATTACTTTTTTTATTAGATTTATTTTTGTGCCTTTAATTGAGAGATAGGACAGTGGATAGAGTCGAAAATCAGGGAGACAGAGTCGGGAATGACAATCGCTTGGAGCGCGCACACTAACCACTGTGCCACCAGCGCACCGAGTCTGTTACTTTTGAGTGTATACCTTCTCTTTTACTTAAATCGAACAATCCAGTGGAAGTCTATAGAACAGCTGATGTCAAGGTAGAGTAATGCTGCCACTGTGGGATATAAAAATAAGGATCAGCATCAAATAATAACGTGCTATTTTTATTGTTATAAGTTATTTTCACGTTCAAAGTATATTGTAATAACAAGATATTTTAACGTAACAAAGTGATAACCTGTACTGTTGGAATATGAAACTGATGATGTTATAATGTGATAGTTCTTAGAATAGAAGTTATACGTTATAACATGAATATATCTTAGGACAATAATAATTACACTTTATTGCCAGAGTGGCAGCATAACACATCCGTACAAAACTCCTTTTACTGAAAGTCACTCTGTTTGGATCTTTCACCACATGGTAGTGCTGTTCCATGGGTAAAAGAAGTTGCAGAAAATGAGATGAGGAGAAGCTGAGCTAACATAAAAAGGAGGAGAGGAATAAAGGCAGATTAGAATGAAGATCAAAGAAGTTGATACAAAATAAATAGAAGGAGATGTGAGAAAAAGAGTGGGTAGAGGATAGGAACATAATTTAAAAAGTGAAAAAAAAAAAAAAAAAGACGAAGAAGAGGAGGAGAACTGGAATCATAAAGCACAGAAGAAACAGAAAGAGAAAGCAGAGGAAGACGAGAACCCATCTGGCTTATGAATCAAAGATAAGGAGGACGAACGGCGCAGCAACCTTGGCTTATCTCTGAACAAACATGCTTCCCTTTCGAAAAAGCCACAGAAACTTGGAAACAAACAGAACCGGAAATAAGAGCTTCTACTCTCTGCTGTGTGTACAATGACTTTATACCCCAAGAATACTGTCAGTGTGGGTCTAATTATTTTGGCCTTGGTCCACATCCCCCCTATCAAAAAGACTGAAATGGGAACATGACGTGGTTTTGCGACACCTGAACGGCTTCAGTGTGCTTTGGCATGCTGGTACATAACGTCAGTTCTTTCTGCCACACAGTTGTAGTTTGATAGCTGGGGAAGCAAACAGGGGTGAGGGAAATGTAAACTAAGGAGTAATCAAATCTGTTGAATGAGCTGGCACACTTGAGCTCTGGAGAGATACGAGACTGTGCCGCGTTCATATTAATCTTGGCTGAGTTGATATCACGCTGTACCTCAAAGGTACAATTCAAATTGAATCTAGTATGCACAACGAAAAGCAATCTGCAGAAAACAGAATCTTCTTCCATTACACATCTTACCATCACTCGCCCTCTGACTTCACAAGGTGTTGATCCGTTTTTTTTTCTTTTTGTTTCATGGCGTATCAACATGTTTCTGTGTGCTTGAAGTGGTTGTGAAATCATTCCACTCATTACAACTTGATGTGTTTTGAGTAGACGTGGCAGATGCTTTATTGTGTAATTGTCACACGAGTATTTCAGGAGCTGCTCTTCATTTTAGCACCTTTTCATTGTGTTGTGTGATAACGTCCAATACGATCACATCACAACAATCATACTCAATTGCACGCTGGGTTACAATCACTCCCATTACCATCCGCGAGGAACAATTCTGCTCTGGCAGTTCTGCAAACATCCACCTCGGCGACAGATTTTTCATCCAGTCCCCTTCTGTTCGTTTTAGCCAGAACAAAGAGAAAGCATTCGCCCATTTGCTTCACCTAGCAATTCACTGACCTCCATGCCTTTGTTTTTTGAGCATCTCCCGCCTTCTGCTGAGAGGATGCCCTCTGGACAGGTGGTTTTACACTAAAATGGATCTGCGGGTGTTTGGGAGTGAAAGTGACAAATCAAAAGGGCCCGGCAGAGAAAGGATGTGTCAGCCTCTTGTTTTTTTTGCCATGTTGGACTGGAGTGGTTTTGGGAGCTGATGTGTTGGAATGGTTCCTTGCTGACAGATGTTGGATTATAAAAAATAAAAAAACAACTTCATATTACGGATTCTTTGTGGTTTCATTGACATGCATGATGAAATTAGACCATAGAAACACAATATCTCGTGCCTCATCATTTAATCATCACTTTTTCTTCCAACAACAAATACTCTCCAACTAACAAACTAAACTGGAAATGCTAGTCATAGGACGCTATGCCTTTTTTTTCAAAGCAAATTATAAACCAATGCTGACCCTTCAATTGCCTGATAGATGAGCCCAAGGAGAGTAATTTGCAAGCAAGCCGTAGTTAGGCCAGTCTCCAAATGATAAAGACATCAATCGTAATTCGGTGAACGTGGCGGCTTTATCAATTCCTCGGCACGCGTGACAGCCGATTCATCTATGAAGGTTAAATATGACCAGTGAACGAGAGTCAATACCTTAGAATTGATAATGGGCTGGCTGTTGCCTGCCATTTCCATGGAAACAATGATCTCGCACAAGCTCCCGCAGGTTCGGCGTCCGTGTTTTTCTCTCGCTTGTCTTTTTTTTTTTTTTCTTTCTGTGGCTTCTCAAGGGCATATTCCAAGGATGGGCAGCATGAAAGATACAAAAGAAAAAGTAGTGGGGAGGCTGGTACACTTTGTCATGATTTATTCAAAAGGGGCGAAGCTTTCAGGTCAAAGGGAATACATCCTCACTGTGTGCGCCGCCACTGTGGGTGGTCTCTGCTTTGCACTTGAATTAATTTCTACACCCACCCAACGCAATGGGCCAAAGTCTGCAGGTGAGCATGCAGCAATGTTGATCAATGCACATTTCCCCATGCACCTGCCTTCTCAAAAGTGCTTGTCATCTTAATTTATTCATGCTTGTTACAATATTTATCAAACCCCTCACCAAGCAACAATGCTCTCAATCTAAAGATTGCTTACTATATATGAGCATGACAGCCAAACTATATAACACTATATATGTCGCTTTTCTTGACCTTATACACTGCACTATATTTCACTCTAAGTTATTGCTTATGGCCCACTGGTGGATTACATTTTTCAGCTGAGGGTTGAAAAGGGCTACGGAGTTGTGTAGGGTTATTGGTTGGAGTTAAATACAGTTATTCACTGTCATTTATGAAGAAGTACTGCAGTAGTGATCTGTAAACTCACATCTATCCTTTCATGTTGAAAAAAAAGTGCTATGATCAAGCAAATCAAGTCAATTCATCTTTCAACTATGTGACCTCTGAGACTACCCGCCTGGTTTAAATCTTTCAAGGTTTCAGATGATGAAATAAAGGGGCAGAAAGGCTTGCTGGCTATCTGTGTTACAAAAGAAGTCCCTTGCCAAATAAATAGTGTTGCACTCTGAAAAAGGAAGGTGATGCACGGAGAATTGTGACTGTAAACTGCATATGTATATGAAATAAAGGCTCTCCTCCTCTTGCTGGCTTTTTCTATTTTCTCCTTTTGTATTCTTGGCTTCTTATTCTACATTTTAAATCATGTCAGCCATTGTGGAAAACTTGCATTATTATTGTTGCATGATAATAACTCAATGTCCTCAAGGTTGTTTGAAAAAAAAAAACAGAGTCCATTAAACATCCGTTTACAGGATTTAGATGGGGACACAATCTGTTGTTGTAAATAAAAGGGAAATGATGCAAGAAAATGAAACAAGGAGGCAGGTTTTTTTGTTTTTTTTCGAAAAGAAGGCCCAACTTCCTTAAAGAAATATAAGATAAAGTCCCAAAGAAGTGACGTAGCAAAGTACAAGAACATTATAAAACTATAGCGGCTCTCAGCATTAATTTATTGATCGCAATTAATTAAGGTCTTATATTAAGTTTATATCGAGATTAATCCCACGCTGTTTTGTCCCTTTAGGTGCACCGTGGATAAGCTTTTTATTTTTAAATGCAAAATTATAGAATTTCAAATGTGATTAAAAATGTGATTGATCGCGATCAACTCTTGAAATGAAGCGATTATTCTCCATAAAAAAAAAAAAATCGTTTGACAGCCCTATGAAATAACATTTATGAGATTCAGGTTGAGCAATACTTGGATTAAAAGAAAGATGCTTTTTGAATTCAAGAAGCAGAAAGAAAGAAGACAAATAATAACATGAAGAATGTGTTAGACCTTAATGGCGTAGCATCGCACCAGGAAGACACTTAGATATAACTAGCAGCTGAACTAATGGAGAAGTCCCTGACAGGGCTGTCAGAAGATAGAGCTGTATGTCAAGGGAAAGGAAAAGGTTACAAAAAGGGCGCCTTTCTTGTTTGACTGTCTCCACAATCATGCCATAACACGATACCTGGACAGTTTCTACTTTAATGTGGCCCCGGATGGCCTTGTCACAGGAAGGAGCTCACAGCCAGGCCTGCACAAGTTCAACGAGGCATTACAGATCTGTGGAGGTTGTGAAATGGCATGTTACATGCTGTGGAATATTGTATAAGGGATGTATAGGTGATCGGAGGAAAAAGAAAAGAGTGGCAAATGAGCCCTGCTGTTTCACACGGTGTAATTTTATCTTTCCAGTGTTTCTTTTTTAATGGATGTCTTGTTCGTCCTTCTAAAGCACATATCTCCAGAGAATGAAGCTTGACTACGTCACAACCACTTCGCTGAATTTCCTTAAACGGACAGTTTGAGCATTTCCTCATAGACATATAACACACTTATTAGTGATATTTAACTGCAGCAAGGCATAACTCAGATTCCGAACGTCAGGTTTGATCAAGTATTAAGTATTGTGGATACAAAAAGCTTTTTTTTAAAAACTTAATTCAGTGTAAAACAATTCATAGTCAACACATAACGGTCACTGGATAAACTACTCACAGGAGCGTTACATGTTTATGAAATTAAATGGCAACGCTTTAGAAATATCTACCGTTATGATTAGCTTTTTTAATGACATTAATGATTGTGTAACATACTGTATGACACATGATGTCTGCTGTCCCCTTTTTCAGTGTAATTGCATTGTTGAAAGAGCTGTTTGTGAGTGTACATCATATTCAGTCCCTATCTGCCACCAGGGTGAGGGTGTAGGCTTACTTTAGAAGATGTGGGCATCTTTAGGGATCGACTTGGGCACAAAGGAGGGTATGTTATGTTACTTAAGATTTAGCAATTTCTAAATAGAAGACAATAATCGGCATTTTATTTCTTTATTTCGTTGTTCATATATCCTACCTGATCACACACTATTTGCTGCATCCCCTTCTGCATTTCATTAACACCAACAGTTCAGTCTGTCTGGGTTCCAATGTCTACAAATTATTCTGATTGAAAGTTCTTGAAGTCATTTGCATAAACTCTGCTTTAGTCTGACAAAGACATCTGTTATGGCTTACAGATTGTTTGCCAAATAACAGTTTGTCTGGCATGCTGTCGCATTTGAACAAAAATCTATCCAATCTGCACCATGACTGTGCATTATCACAGGAGTGCCAAGGCTCACCCAAAGCACCAATCAGCAGAGACTGCTCGTCTGAATGAAAACCAGGCTGAGAGTGTGAAATCATAACTCTGCAGCCAAATCTCAGGTATCAGACACCAGAGCTCCCCCTGCTCCTTTCCACCCTCCATTTGAGTTATAGTACCACAAATAAACACTTCACCATTAGAGGACCCAGAGAGGGAAAAAAAACTGGCAGATTCAGGAGGGGCTAGAATGAGAAATTTAGATCTCTTAAAAGGCAGGTGCATGCCACTCGGCCTGAGCAAACAGACAACAGCCATCTCTGATAAAAATGACAGTGGAGTGGAGGTGGCAGCTTCTCCGTCTATTCCCTCTCAAGCTTAGATTTCTCATTATCATTTGGACACAGCGCTGTGAACCAGTTAGCTCCAACTGAGACACTACTTTGTCTCGTTATAGTGATTGGTTCAGTCAGCAGGTGGGGCTGGTAGGCAGGAACACAGGGTCTCTAACTTGCTCATCGATCCTAGCCTTGATCAAGCCTCTGCAGGTCAGACCGTGCACCTTTGGCCCACGCTGAAATTGGCCATGTATTCCGTTCAAGTAATGGACTGTAAAAGATTGGTATTGGCTTCTTGGTAGAGGGGGCAATACCTAAACCTCTTCCCAGGACTCCCGTTGTGAGCAGCAAAAAGTAAGGTTATTTTCAGAGTCTTTGCGGGCAGTGCATGTCATAAAATGTCCTAAAAGGGGCTGCGAGGATGAAGGTTGGGAAAGGAAACACTGTGGGGATATTTTCAATGAATTTTTAGTATGGGGAACAAGCTGAATCATTCTCAACGGCAAATTCAGTGGACTTTCAGTCGAATCAATTTTGGACCGACTTTCAGGCCCCCAGCTCATAAAAAGGGAGGCAGCACAAAAGGCTGATTTACATTCTGCAATGCAATGCAAATTCCTTGTTAGTAAGTACCTTAACGGTTTCAAATCAAAATGATGCTGACTGGGTCTTTCACACTCCGAGCCAAAAGCTTCCATGACTAGCATTTTCCTGTGCACAGATGTGTCACTGACTTATTTTTGTATTTCTTACATTTAGAAAATGTCTCTCTTTGATGCAGTATATAGAACTGTGACACACATACAGTAGGTGGTCCAGGATGCTAAGGTAGCCACAAGCAGAACCGCAGGTGGCTCTAGCAGTTTTTAACCGTCTCTATGAAGGACCCCAGACAGTCGGACAAAGCGTCTGTTCCAGGGCATCAAAACTTTGACCTTGAATGTCACATAATTGTCGCTCACACTACCTTTACCTCGCTCCTATTAAAAAAAAAGGCTCAAAAGCTTGAGAGTAAAGGACTAACCTGAGGTGGAGGGAGCCCCCCCGCACCAAGTGGACAGTCGGGTAACATGATGGTCCGCTTAGGCGTGCTGCACTGACAGGAGGGGGAAGGGTTCGACATGCTCCAGTTTCCGTTCAGGAAGATGTCAGTGATGGACTGGTCCACCGATGGAGTGAACCAATCAGAGCCACTTGAGGAGCATGGTAATTTCCTGAGAAGAAAAGAAATTAAGGAAATATGAGTGCTTGATTCCTGATAATTTCCCCTTCCTCCCAATTAACATGTTATCTCATGTCAAATTAAAGCAGAGATTTGATTAGGTATATTAAAAGAACATCTAATTCCATTGGACAGGTTTTTATTTAACAAATTATGTAAAAATTAAACGAGTCACATATTTCTTTCAAAGAAAGCTAAATAAAAGATGAACTCGAGAACAATAAGCCCTTGCCAGCCGGTGATGAAAAAACTCTTTCAAACTATATTCTCAGCAGTATTTCCAATTTAACTTTAAATTTAAAGAGGTTTGTTCCTTATTTATGAAAGTCTGACAATGATGATAGTTTGGTTTTTAAAAACTTCACAGCAATCATTTTCAATGTCCCCGGTTACATCACTCTTCAACAGCTTTTTTTAAACCTCTTGCACAAACACATTATGACTACTAGCCTCATAGTTACAGCTTGCAGATTTCCAATTAGCATGACTGCATGGGCAAAAACACAACTTTTTAACATTATTATGTCATTCTTGGAGAAGCACTCACGGTATTGGGTTTCCATTCATGCAGCGAGTCCCAAAGCCAGGCGTGTTCACCAAGTTTTCCACCACCCGAGACACCTCAGCATTATCTGGCAGATCTTTGCTGTAGATATTGGGAATATGAAACATAGGTGCAATAAGGTTAAACTAGTACACACATCACTTTAATCCAAGAGCATCAATCAATCTATGACAAAGTCAATGGAAGAAAAATACGCTGCAGTATGTTTTTCAGTTACAAACAGAAGTTATAGAGGAAGCTTGGACCATGTCTCCATTCGGTGAAGCCATGATGCAACTTTCCTCCCAACAGCTGAATCGATGTAAAACCTTAACCTGTGCGCCCCTTATGATCTAAAATATTTGATATTTGCAACCAGACTTCTTTGAGTTTCTTCGCTGAGTCAAGATCACAGATCCTCAAAAGAGATGAGTCAGTCAAGAGTCGATATGAGCTGATTTACACCAAGGAGAAGCAAAGCATGCCGAGTTTGACTTTTAACATTTATCTGTGGTTTGAAAAGCAAAGACATTTTGATACTCGAGGTCCTGAAATCACTACAGTCAGACAGATATATACTTTGAGTCGGAGAAGATATCTGCTGACATGTGAGAAGTTCTTGTATGTGCACAAGCCTGATTGACAAAAACATCTCTGAAATGTGTCATTATGTTGACTCACAGTGATACGGCACAACTGGTTAAGGCTTTTCAAGTCTTCTCATTTCTCTTCGTTCAAAATTGGATATGATTTTAACAATCCGTCTCTTGTCACTATTTTTTAAGATTTTACAAGACCCTTTATGTGTTTCATACGGGCGATGCACAGGAGTTTTGATGCTCATTACTCTTAAATGTATCTTGACATCTAAAATGGCCCGTCAAGTAATGTTGCAAGAATATCTGGGGACGGGACAAGGTGGTGTCAAGTGTGTGCTTGATAGCAATGCTCCTTGGATTATCTTAACCAAGAGTGGAAGGGAAATGATTGTCTACTTTAACTTTTCTTTGGCTGACGAGTCAAAATATAAATCCAAGCATGAACCTGTAGTAGCCTGTTGAAGATTCAGTGTACAGTACAGACTCTTCACAGCCTTTCATTATTATCAGAGTGTCCTGTACAGATACAAGCCCTGTGTCTCAGTTAAACAATCTTCCCACTCCAATTCCATTCTCATTACTAACCACACACACTCTGCCCTTTATCTTAAGGGTACCGGGGGAGTTAAAACACAGTGTTTCATAAAGACCATCATGATGGCTTCCTGCCAGCTGTAGCCACAGCCCAGCCAACCATGTGGATTAATACAGTGCTCATTGTCTCATTTAGAGGCGTCTCCATGAAGGTCACGCGGTCATTTCCTTGACCACCAGCGAGTGCAATTCAAGTGGTCCGATTGTAAAAATGGATTATGTGCAGCCATCTGTTTTGCAATTAACAATGGCTGGGTTAGCACGTTATTTAAGGTAATAAAAACTATTGGACAGTTCCAAAATGAAGACTTGTGCATATACACAGAGGCAGTGGAACTAATGAATGGCTCATTCAGACAAAATGAAACATCATAGAGGTAAGAACTGAGACGACATTAGGAGAAAGTCAAATGAAGGCCGCACTTTGACACACTAAGAATAAAACCTTTGGGGAGGAGCATCTCTGATATCATATTTTGGGTGTAAATAACTGTCGATAATATAGTCACTAGAAAGCAGGGTTCAGAGACTCTTGAACTTTGCAGTGGATCATTAATGATATAAATAGAGCTATAACTCTCTTCTGAATAAACTTTAAGATAAGATGGGAATCTACTTTTAATGACTCAAGCAGGATTTGTTAGAGAGAGTGAGAGGGAATTGTTTTTTTTTATAGTTGGCCAGAGGGAATGTGAGAGAAGTTTCCAGGGATTCCAGGGAAAAACTGAATGTAAAATCATTCCACTTTCGCTGAGATCATTTTAAAAAAGTATGTCAGGGAGCAGCCTCTTAAATGCCCTGAATGAATCTGGAAACCTTTTGCTTTGGGAGCCCAGATTTAATTTCAAGTTTGGATCAGTAACAATTTTTGGGTAGCCATGTTGGGAGTGGGTGTCTTTGTAGGTTTTGAGGTCTTTAGTAGTTGTTGTTTTCTGGGGTTTATGCGGTTGCACTTCAATATGGCTGTTAGTGCTCATGGTAAATCCATGTACACCTCATGTAATAAATGTACAATATGTAACAGCAAAAAGACTGTCTTTGACTATTTCAGCACCATGGAGAGAGACACACCTTATTCCATGTGTTAGCACAGTGGACGGGGAAACAGACTGAATGAATTTGAGTACATAAAGACAGGGAACAATATTGAGCTGTTTTGAGCTTAATTGTTTGCAAACTGTAAACAGGAAAGGAAAAAGTTTAGAAGAAAAGTAAAGTTGTTCTTTCTGAGTCCTTAAAAATATTTGTCCCAAGTCCTGTAAAGCGTTTTCAATGCAGTGCAAAAACACAGAGGATCATTTCAAGTTTTACACTTCAGCCCTGAAAAAAAAACCCCTCCCAGTTTGTTGAAATCTTTGTGATTTTTTTTTTTTGCTTGAATGAATCTCTTTTAAGGACAAGTGTCTTCCATGATAGATCGGGAGGGAATGGGCTTTTACATCTTCACCTTGAGAATGGCTGTACAGAAAAGGTCTCATGACACCACAGTTGTAAGGGTTATAGAGCATTCAGATGTTGCTAAATGCAGCTCTCTGTCTGAGCAGCAGAGGATATGATATTTTCTTTGAATGTATTTCACTGCATCAGTTCAAGTCTTCACCATAGTGTTAATCAAAAAGGCTCAACAGAGTAAGTAAGACATGATCATTGCTTGCTGTGCTTGTGTAAACACAATCAGCTTGATTCATGTTATAACACAAGACACAGTTTCTTCCTTTTTGAACAAACGCAAACACGTTCAAAACTAGATGGGATCATGTAAAGAGACAAACTTCATTTTGTCTTGTTGATGTCTCAGTTTTTATCCTGCAGCATTCACAGCACCTTAGATTTAATATTTTCTCTTCCATTAATGTTATTTTTGTCTCCATTTGCTGACAAGCTGTTTGATAGATATACGATTTAACAAACAGATCTACTTCAAGCTGTAGGAACATCTTTAAAGAGAACTATTACAAAGTGCTGCCGTGGGGAATGGAATACCTGCAGGGTGAATAAGCACTGACAGCTTTGTGTCAGAAGGACATTTTACTCGGTGAATACTGAGACCAGATGAGGTTAAGACAGAAGATGAAATATGTAGCCTGATGGTTACTACACATGCCCCATGTTTGGAGGCTATAGTACTCCAAGCAGGCGGCCCCGGGTTCAAGTCCGACCTGTGGCTCCTTTCCTGCGTGTCACTCTCTCTCCCTGATTTCCAACTCTATCCGCTGTCCTCTCTCTACAATAAAGGCACAACATCCAAAAAATACAAATGTTGTTTTGTGTGAAAAAAAGTGACTCATCTCTTTTGTTACAACAGAGAGGAATCGATGTTGCAGCAATGTTGTTCTCGCTCCTGAGAGTGGATGAATTGTAACAATAAAATCTTATAAAAGAAACAAGTGTTCAGCAAGTGTTATATACAGTAAATCTTATTTTCTTTTTTTAAATCTTCTACTTGATAGGGGAGATATTATTTAACAAGCCATACAGTGTGATACGTGTCTGTGTGTTGTTTTGATGCTCTGTGTACACACCCCCCCCCCCGCCATAAGTCACGTTTGATCTCAGTGGGTGTTGAAGTCCACCAAGGCTGTGGCTTGTCACCTAGTACGTCTGCAGATTCTCAATGACAGAAAAGCGAGCTGCCGCCAAGAAGGGGACAGCGCCCAGATCGATGACCTCAGCAGCAGAGGCAAAAAAAACAAAACTAAAAAAAAAACTCTCAGCCATCAAACAACAGCAGAAGAACTGTAACGTCTTGTTCCTTGGATTTTCTGTCTTTGACTTGAAGTTCCTCACAGACTATTGTTGGCTTTTGTTGCTCATTAATTTAACTATTACAAATAAACTGCCCCTCTAAGAACAGCTTTTGAAGAGAGTGTTGCCTGAGGGAAATATATCTTATTATTGATACTTTTAAATCAGCAACAGCAGTTAGATTATATCACATCTGTAATTGTTGATTAAAATATGTAAAGGTTAAACATCTGTGCTGTATGAGGAACTACACAGAAGTGCTTCTATACGATATCAAAATGTGGTTACCTGTAGAAGGTGGTTTGAGGCAGACCATACATCCAGGGCTGCATCTCCAGGCTCGGATACTCCGTGAATGGTGGGACGATGAGCGAGAAGATCAGTGACAGGCACACAAAAACAGCAGGCAAAACCACCTAAGAAAACAGGGGACACATTTGAAGACAGTCAGCTCATTGTAGCGGCCCTGCTTAAGACTTCAGTGCTGAGAATGTCCCAATCAAATCGTCTGTCTGAATTGTGTTAAATCAATTTAAATGACGAAAACCCAATCGGCAAACGTCTCACCGTGATATGTGACTCTGAAAATGATGGACACATTTTGTATCATTTAAAGGTCTTCCAGTCAAGAGTTCCCTTTCCCACACACTGCATTGTTACTGATAGCTAAGCGGTTATGTTGCACGCCCCATGCACGGCGTTTCTTCATAATTTACTAGCAACTAACAAGTTTTAAGTTTGCAGAAATCACAGCTCCGGCATGCAGATTTGTGAAAAGTCAAATGCAAGCTCTGCCAGGCCTGTCCACAAGAGGAGAAGAACACAACTGAAATGTCTGTTTGTCATTTCATCACTTCTGTTGAACTCCAGCAAGTCCGAAAATCTAAACCAAACCATTCTACATATCTGTGAAAAGAGAGCAAGAGCAGTATTCTTGTTGTAACTGTAGAAACGGGCCGTGTTCACTGTATACAGAATGTGGTGTTTCAATAAAAGGATACAGAGTGATTCAATTGTAGCTGGTCTCCTTTAAAGGAGTAAGAGAAAATACGTTCTGTAGGCTGTATGGGTGATATTTATGCATATTAATGTGTTTAAGCATGACAGCACAAGAATCAAAGCAAGATCAATTTCATCAGCCCCTCCCTGAGCTACCCCCTCACTGTCATTACGCGCTACATAATGACTGATGCAATCAACAACAAGGCCGAGCTGCTGTAATAACACGCGCACATTAATATGCTCCACACCGACTTGTTTGGGCTCTTCTGCACGCTTTACGAGTTTGATTAAACACTTCCTACATCGCCATCATCATGTGGCCACTCAGATATAATTAGTTTCTCGCCATTCTGCTCTTTTTTTTTGTGTGTGTGTTTTTTTTTTTTTCAAACCCAGACGCCGCCAAGCTTCCCCTTATCCTCTTTAACCCCCACCAAATCCAATCCTCTTTTCGCCGTCACGTAATTCTCTTTTCATTTCATTGCTAGAGCTGACAAAAAGGTCAGCGGGAAGAATAAAAAAAAATTAAAAAAAACCCACTCCATATCTTTAATGTTTAATCACTTGTAGGTTGGGGCGCTCGGCGCGAGAGGGGGACGTTTGCGTACACTTGATTAATTGCAGAACGTGCAATTTGCTCGGCCAATTCAAGACGCTACAATTGAAAAAGCGGAATTTACTGCATGGAGCTGCGGCTTGGAAATGTGCTCGGGAGAAAGATAAAAGAGCAACAATGAGACTGAAAAGCCTAATGGCGGAGTGCAAAAGACAGAACTCTTCCACTTTTTTCTCTTTCCATCCAAAATAATTGCAGGTGACAGCTGGTTCTTCTTCCATTGAGGGAGAATAAGCACACACAAAGTGGAGAAGTCATTACGCTCACAAAGCCGAAGCACTGCCGTGAACAATGCATGAGTTTATCCAGAGTTTGGGGGATTTAAAGAAGCCGATAGGATTATATGCAAACTAAGTGTAAACAACAGAACGCTATTAAGATGTGTTTTATTTCCTGCAAAGTCAAATGGCTCATTAGATTACGTTTGTTTCCTCAGACGACATTAAGTCAACCCGGTTTCATTTGTGAATAATAGCTTTATTTCCGCACCTTGCATTACAGCAGATAATAGCCTCACCTAGGATCATTTGGATGTTTATGTGGCCTTTTTGTTTTTCAAAGCAATTGCATCAAAGGAAACAAATACAGAGTAAATGTGGTGTTGATTCCAGCAGACAAATTCAATCCACAGCAGTGAGCAAAAATAAAACGGAAGCTAGAGATAATCAGAAAGAAAGACGACTGAAGTAATCTAAACTGTACATCCTATGCAGCTCGGAAGGAGGATCGTCTTAGTGTCTATTGAGCGCCTCCAACACAACCAATCAGCTCTTCTCCCTGATTGTGACACTGCCAAGACTCGCCTGTCCCCAACTTTCATTCCCATAAATCACTCCTTTTGTACAACATGCCATAATCTCCTTTATATTCCCCTAACCGCTTGTATTGGAGAAGATTACCTCACCGCACAATCATATCTGCTGACAATGGGAGCTGTTGACATGATGGGGGGAGAAAAAAAAAAAAAAAAAACTCCAGCCAAATGAATGGGGGGGTGGGGGGGAGGGGAGGTAGGAGGTGCACCCTTGCAGACAATGAGCACCCTTGTACGTACACACTCCGCACTCATCCCACCATCCTGTCCCCCAGCTAAAGAGGGACGTCCAGGACTGACAATGACTAATGGGGATTGGTGCTGCAGCAAATTACAAGAAGAGCCCGTACACCTAACAAAGGTGAAACATTGTACTCTCTCTCTCTCTCTCTCTCTCTCTCTCTCTCTCTCTCTCTCTCTCTCTCTCTCTCTCTCTCTCTTTGTTTTTGGTCTATCAAACGTGACCTCTTCAGTTCCGATTCGTTTCAGCGTCATGGCAGCTGTCATAACTGATGGCATTACCTGATATCTACACACACATACCAAAAGATGTCAACGCATGTGTCAACATAAATTTGAGTCTGAATACACTTTGAGAAACTGGCTGGGAAACATAATGCGTGCCTTCAAAACCGCTCTTTCTCCTAAATTGCTTTTGACTCGTTTAACTTGCGTGTGTTTATTGCTTTTGACTTTTTAAATCACGTTTATGAGAGACAAAATAATACAGACGTCCACTTAATGAGCTGATAGCTGCGTGTCACCTCTTCATTCCCCCCCCCCCCCCCCCCGCGCGGTCACTTTTTAACACGCCGCTAACAAAAGCGCATGATTTGCACGCAGCTAAATGAAGGGGAAACAAATCAGGGGTGTCACTTTGGTCGTTAGGGCGCCAATCACGCCGATCAGGTGGAACTGATGGTCCACTTACTGAAGCCAAAAACAAACCAGAAAAAACACTTTCATGTTAACTTGATGCTGTATATTCAAAAAAAAAAAAAAAGAGACAGCATACTTCAACCCTGTTAGAGCTAAGAAACGAACAAACAGATGAATTCTTCTTTTTTACTTCTCAATGTTTTTTTTTTTCTTTCTTTTTTTTGGTTTGTCTTCGTTAATCATTTATTTGACCTCTTCATCAGATTCTATATTGATATTTTTTACATTGTTTTGCAAGGAATATTGTTTGTTATTTATTTATTTTTTTACATATGGCCCACTCCTTAACTCATATATAATCAGTAGCATGTTATGTCTGTACATCTATTAGTGTTAAACATTGCTTTAAAATCTCTATTTATGCCGTCTTTTAGCCGTCTGTTGTCCCTCGAGTGTTTGTTTTTCATCATGGTGTTCTTTGGGACTAACGCTAATCATTGTGTGTGAAGTTCACCGACATCCTTTCTCATTTTTCTAACCTCTTTTTCCTGATATATCCTTTCTGTGCTGACTTCTTCCCTCCATTATTGACTCCATCATAATGAATGTCTGGACGTTTCCCTCCTGATTCTAAACTAGCTCCCTCTATCATATATGTCATTAAGTGATATTGAAAGCCAACATGTATTTCTTAAATCCTACCTTGATCCTCCCATGCACCCTCCTAGCATAAGCCTTCAATTCTTCAATATGACGGACTGAGGCCATTACCTGGGCAATGAGTCCCTTGCGGCTCCTCCGGGCGTTGTGGAAGCGCTTGATAAAGAGCGCCAGGAACTGCCTCCTGATCAGCCTCCACCCGGTGATGACCGTGGATCCCCTCCCACCGACGCTGACGTTCCTGTTGGAGTCTGGACATCAAGGCCGGGTGTTATTCATCATCGGTGCATGTGTAAAAGAGCCTGCTGAGCATGCTTCTCCAGCCCGGCTAACGGGCTGATCAAATAAACGTTAAGACCTGTCAGCTGCGCTCGCTCATTTCTCAGTGTAGCCGCATTTATTTTGAATACATCGTGAATTTGGAAATGGTAATATGAGGTGACTCAGGAGGAAGAAAAAAGATGATAAACAAGGAGCTTAGAAGAGAATTGGGTTGAGAGTCTCGCACTCTCTAAGAATATGGTTAGAATCAAAGAAAACACTCCTTCTTCACAGCAGTCATTAAAAATAATAAGCGTATTTTGATTGAAAACCATTTTCATGCTGCAAAACATTGTGCTGCTTTCACAGGAGCAACATTGAAAAAGGTGAATAGACAGTTAAGATAATATTGTAAGGATTGGCATGAAATTCTAAAAAGGGAGCTTTTGTTTATGCCCTCCTTTCAAATCACCCACTGAGGTGAAACAGTGGATTGGAAGGCACACTAAATGGAGTTATTAACTGTAGAATAAAAGGTGTGTGTGTGTGTGTGTGTGTGTGTGTGTGTGTGTGTGTGTGTGTGGGGGGGGGGGGATTTGCTGGAACAATAAAACTGTGAAGACAACACAGTACCTACCTTCCACTTTCCTTGTGAGCTTTTCCTTTAGTTCTGTGAGAGACAAAAAGAAACAATCAGGACAGAAAAGTTCCTTTTTTTGAAATCAAACCAGTCATCAGCCTCTTGCTTTGTCGATGAAACATGTTAAGTGGAGCTGCCTTTCGTGAGTAACAGCGTTATAAATCTGGACAGACTTGCCCGTCATTCCAGAGGCTTGTCCTGTTTTCGAGTGGACGCTGGCGATGCTGTTCCGCTTGGATTCGCGGGAGCTTCTCTTGCAGTCTCTCCCCGGCACCTCCTTTGTTGCTGCGGGAATACAAATAAGATACCTTGTTGTGGCCTGACCCAATTTAGGGTTATAAATAACAATAAGAATAGCCAGCCGCCCTGCAAGAGGCTGCGTTATTCCCTGTAAAAGCACAAAAGCCAGGTGTTTTATCGGGGTGAGGAATCCTGAGTTAAGATTAAAGTGGAAGGTGGAGTTGTGTTCCAAAGGCAATTCATGCATTAAAGGCGGGCGGGAGATAATTCCTATGAGGTCGACGAATGAGGGACGAGAGGTGGTTGGAATAAGCAATATCATTCTGTTGAAGTGAAGTCCATCAAAACAGTTAAGGAGCTGTTTCTGTTTGTTTTGTGCTGAAGAGGCAAAACTGATGACTTGACAAAACAACAGAACAAATGAGTTTGATTTACTTCAGTTAGAGGTCTTTGCTTTCTTTAGTGATCCTCATTTATTCTAATGCAATAAGGTGTAATACTTGTTATTTTCTGAAACTATACAGTATATGCCACCAGATGGTCACGGGTCAATGCTGCAGGTCAATGTAGTCTTTTAAAGCGTTTTATAAATATATAGAAACAGACTGATAATTATTTCACTTTTTTTTTTGTTATTTTAGTAATAATTTAATTGTAACTGGTTTTATTATATTCAATGTATCTTTGCAAATGTTGATGTGTATATACGCATGTAATTATTCAAAAATGTATTAAGATATAATATAATTGTTACATGTTTTCGATGTTAGATTAGTGTTGAAAAGTGTCAAAATAAAGACAAGACTGCAAACTATTCCACAGAAGGGACTCATATTGTCTTTAACAGCACAGCGCATGCTTGACCGCAGGGTGAAGGAAAGATTGAGGCATTGCAATAATGGACTGAAAAGCTTCGTCAGGAAGTGGCGTAATGTTATGATCCCTGTTAAAGAATCAAAAAGATAAAGAACTGCGATTTACCAGCGTCATGGTCGGATTGAGGGCAGTGAACGTTACTCGATTTGTCTGATCCACTTCAGTGTCTTCAGCCACTTTGAGAAATATCTGTGAAATAAACACATTGAGTATTAACACAGTGTCTAAGGAGAGCTTGTGTACTGTTTCTGTTATTAGCACGCTATGCACACAGTAAGACTTCAAACTTTGATACTGTAGTGGTTGGATGTTGTTGTTGAAGTGTTTCTGTTGCACTGAACAAGCTCACTTTAACTCAACAAGTGGAGACAGATTTCATTTTTACAAAGTGATCACTGTCTAGTTTCTGAGGATCAGATCAGGGCTGTGGCCTCCACAGACCCCCCCTAACCTGCTTTCTGAGGACCTGCCAAATAACCTCTTAAGGAGAACTTCCCCATCTGACTTTATTTATTAAACCAGGCCATAAGTCAAAATCAATAAACTCTTCCTCCTTGTGATACATTTCCAAGTAACCTCCCAAGTAAGTGGGTTTTTTTGCCCTCTATGAAAAAGTATCATGTTACTGAAAGTGATTTTATATCCAACAAAAGCAAACAAAGTTGATGTACTGCTATCATAAAACACTCAACAATACGAGCATGACTAACAGGCTTTTCATAACATCTCAACATTACATTTTTAATGGATGACTAATTTCTATTAAAGAAAAAAAAAAAAAAAACCTTCTATCAGCCCTTGAAGAAAAATCCCATCATGTAGTGCACGTTGGTGAAGTCGGACTTCAAAAGAAAACACGGACGGATGAAATGACCTTGTTGTGTCTGAATATTTAGGAATTCAAAAGGAATTATTTACTTTGCCTGCAGGCCACGAGTGTGTGATTCATGTCGGAGTTACAAGCAGAGCATTAACCAACAGTCGCTCAACTTTATGAGCCAAGACGAGTTTGCATGCCAAACATACTGTGGGAGTCATTTATTCAGGAGGAATAAGACTGTGAGCTGTGTGTATGATATCAATGACACGATATTACTAATACTTCTAACTGAATTCATCCTTATGAGAAATTTTTAAATAGATAGCTTGATGACTATCCTCCAACAGTAAGAGAAATGTTTAAAAAAAAAAGGTTATCATGCAACAGGGCTTCACACAAACAGCCGACCCACTCCGTTAATAACAGTCGGCTACTTTTTTTCCCAGTGTTCATTCTGATAAATAAGTTTGACTCACAGGTCGCAAATTTAATTAAAAAGCACGAGCCATCGCTAAAATCATCACGAGAAAGATGTCTGTCTGTCTGTGACAACCTCGCCCCTCAGTGTGTGAGTGTGAGGAAGAGAGGGGGGGGCGCTCAGCTGAGAGGAGATGTCAGCGTTGGATAAATATGAGCAGAATTATTGAGAAGAAGAAGAAGAAGTATCATTTTACTGCACATAGATGGATATTATAGGAACCAAATTAGGGGCTGCTTCAGAAAACACTGGAGAACACTGGCAGCAACGTGACGCCTGCACTGTACACATGAACGTTGTCCTGTTTTTCCTGCAATACAAACACTGAAGTCATCGCCTTCGTGTGGTGAAATCTCACATATGTGGCATGTGGCTGTTATGTTACGTTTGTGACTGAAGTTTTAAACTCTGAGAGTCTTTATTTCATCCAGAACTCTCTCGTGACTTTTGTGCTTTACGTGAAACTACTGAGTTTTAAAAATGACCAGGTGAAAAACAACAGATGGAATCATGCAACAGCGTGAGCTTCATGCAGGATGCATTGATTTTTGTTGTTAACAATTTAATAATAATTTAATCGTTTACCTATTCAAATACGTCATCACAAAGTGTTGCATTAATATTCACCAGAATGCAGGAATTAAGTGTTGGTTGTTCAACAACAACAACAACGACAGACTCTTTGACATAAAGATGATGAAAGAGTTTGAAATACAAGAGTCGAACATCCAGTAGAGATTATTTATAAATTGTATTGTTGTTGCTACAAGCTGCTCTGATTTTCAACATGACCACTCGTTGTTTTTTACTGATTTGCTTTTCATCTCAAATTCATCACTAAGAAAACTTTTGTTTTGTTTTGTTTCGTTGATTTGGATAAAGCTGCTTTAAGTTTCAGTATGAGTTGTGCTCAACGTCAGAGAATGAGTTTAACATCACAAATAAAAAGGAAAATTTCCTACACTTGTCACTGAGGCTGAATATTAGAAGGAAAAGCTAATCCTCGTACTTTTTTTGAAAGTAAGTGGATGAAATAGTGCTCTTGTAAAAGTGTTGCTGTTTTCCAAATCTGCCGAACGATCTGCCAAATGAGTTTTCATGAGTTGTGAGAAGGATTAGAAAACTGCAAACCAAGTTTTGAATGTTTACTTGGTGCCTTTGAGAAGCAGAAAAAGGAAGAAAGTAGTCAAAGGAAGAGAAGAAAATGAAGAAACAATAGAATCAAAACAGAAAGGAAAAGAAAGAGGAGAAAAACAAGGGTATGGATGTGTGTCTTTGTACTTTGATGATCCTCTGTGTATGCAGGCCATCTCTCTATATGAGTGCATGCTTGTAGCTCTGGCTAGCTTGTCAATCCCACGCTTGGGCGTACCTCCTCCAGTGTGGTGTCAGAGATGCCGTAGCTGGTCAGGCCCAGGTCAGCCATGGCTAGGTCGAGCTCTTGGAAGAGCAGAGCAAAGGTCCCGTCTCTGGCTCCACCATAAGGCAGGATGTAGGTGATCTCCTGACCGATGCTCTCCAAAAAGACGGCCTCGGGGACAAGGCGCCGCACGAGTTGACCTACAGCTGTCAAGCCTGCCAAGCAGAGAGAAGCAAAACATTACTTACAAAACAAACACAGAAATGTCTGACCTTTAAAACATCACACTATTGTTCCTTTAAGTCCAACATTTTAGTAAAGTTGTTCTTCACGATGAAAGAGTTGACAGCAAATTCTACAGCAACCAAACGCCGATAACTGGAATGAATACAGTTTCTATATGACAGCAACTGCTTCAAGGTTTCTCTAAAAGTGATGCCATAATAATCAATACTTATTTTTCAATACAGCGTGCTTCACAATAATACAACCTCTGTTCATTTTTTCCATCAGGTTTGAAAAGCAGAGGAGCTTTTCAAAAACAGATCTACAATCAGCTCAAGAGAGAGGGAGCAGCAGGGGTCCAGAGAGATACACAAGCAGACAAATGTTGTTTTCTGATGCTGTCACAGATTTAATGCTTAAAGGAAGTGATAAAGGAACATGCAAGGTGTTGGATTTGGTTTGTTTTTCAAAGGGAATGGACAATGGTGTTTTTTTTCTACATACATACAAATGGAAGTCTATTGTGACATCCCTAATCCAAACCTGACGTTGATGAAACTTGACTACATTCTTGTGGCGTTTACCATTAAAACCAGCTGTTCGGAGAATTGACATCACAACATTCCCAATAAAGTGTGACCTTTAAGCACACTGAAACTGATCAGTGGACATAACTCTCCAGCCTCATCCATTCCCAAGTCTTTGTGAGAATCAATCAGGACAGTGTTGCAGAACACACCGCATCCATTATTGATCCAGAACCTCTCATACATAATTACTGCAGCTTAACAACCAGCGGCCTGCTGCTTTATGAAGAAGCAAAGGGATCGGCTTCACACCTCACACTGAATTATTTGTGAAAGTGTGTGCGTGCGTGGTAATAAAGAAGAATGTGCTGTCGCCAGCAGAAATGTGATTATTTTTTACGATATTATGGTGTCTTGTATTTAACACTGATGTGTGTATTCATCTTGAAGGAATGCAGAACGATCTGTAGCCTCGTGTAGCCTTTTCCTCAGATCAGGTCTTCTGTCTATAGGATCGATGACGTCTATAGAATGATCAAATCTAAAGCTGCATTATGTGTCGGTTTGGCACTTTCTGGTCTGTTTCTGCTTTTGTTCAAGTAGGCAGTTGATATCCTGTTTGAGTTCTAATCAATAAGAGGTGAGAGGAGTTTTAAGACAAGTGTGTATTAGAGAGTTGCCGAAAATGTGGACTAAACATTGCACATGCGTTGATCAGACAGTGAGTTGTGTTCGACATCTAACGCCTGGTATAAAGGCTCCAGATATGATAAGATACTTTTTTTGATAGGTCAATATTGGTTGTTTTTTTGATCAGCTAGTAACCGTACTCGTCTTTCTGCCGACGTTTGTCGAGCAGGTTTTTGGCAGATCACATCACGATGAGATCCCAATCGTACCAATCGTTTCACTTTTACGCTCAGGCTCCCTTTACCAAAGGTTTGATGCTCGTAAAAGTATCACAAGGCTCCCTTAAGGAGGAATTTGTGCAAAACACTGACTGTATGAGCTCATGGATCCCTCTATGCATGGATTATGCTTTTTCGAGAAGTGTAATGGAAGTTGTTTTCCTGTTTTGGAGCTGGTCCCAGATTCTTGTGTTATAATGAGAAAGGCTCTCATGGTGCTACATTGAGGTACTGTACTTTTTCCAACGGTGACTTACAAATTGTACTTTTTAGATTTGTAGATTTTCGAACAAACTTTTTTTTTGCATTCAGCAGAGGTTGAAAAAGATTGAGTAAGGTGTTCATCCTCAGACAGGACTGGTAGGAAGAGAGAAAGTGTTACCTGAGGGATCGGAGTCGTCCCAACTCTGGCTGCCGATCCCGTCATCCGGGCTGCTTCCCCTTGAAGTAAAGACTTTCTCCTGTTAATCAGAATGGGATTAGAAAGGCTTTTAATATGCCTCATCACTTAGAACAACTCCCGTCTAACATTAATGGAATAATGGATGCCGTCCACACATTTTTATTAAATTGAATGCATGAGTCATCAGGTAATGGGGTCGACCTTATAATGTAACATGAAGTCACAATCTCTTCAGTCTAAAAGTAAGCACACAAATGAAGATTATATTCTAATTTCACGAAGGGCTGAATAAACCCTCGCCGCATTCTCATTTATGAAGCAAAGTTTAATCACTTTGAATGAGATGAGGATGATCAAACTTTGTCTAGCTCTGTTTCAGAGTTATATTGCCTGTGTAATTGCAAAATCTTCCACTGAATTACAAAGTCGTCATCTTGGAGAGGTACCCGTTCTGCCGAGCCCACAAAGGTGTTTGGATGTTTATATATTTATTTCCAACAAATGACTCTGCTCACCTCAAAGAGCTCGCAGACTAATGATAATTGCTCCGGCCCTGCTGGCATCAGTGCATCTTGTTCATTTGCTCCTATTGATTAAAACTAAGTGTGCGAGGAACCGTTGGCGAGCAAATGCGAGAATCACCCCTCTCCCTGGTGACAATTAGTATCATCCAGCACGTAGGCGTTTGCCAATTCTCATGCTGGGAGAGACTAAACACAGATCATTATAGGGGGAGGGTGGCAATAGAGAAAGGGAGCGTTTAGGAGAGTCAGAGGAGGGCCTGCTCAATAATAGACTGCAGGGAGGTTGTGTCAAAGGGGCTCGCAGCTGAATTTCATTTCTTGATTCAAGCAGACAAAGAGAATGTTCCCCTTTCAATGTTAGGGTGTTCAAGATTCCAGTGGACCTTTAACATGAATGTTTAGCTTATATTGTGTATCGTTCCAGGCCATGTGATTTTTTCCATTAAATTAAATTTAATTGGAGCATCTTCTGGTTTGCGTTTCCAGCGCCCTGTAATTAAACTTTCTCTGATTTTTGAAATTATCGCTCAAGATTATGACATCACACAGCCAATTTTGGCATCGTAATATCCATAAGCACTGATCAAATAACCTTAAAGAAACCAAAACAATATTTTTTTGATAGCTTACTTTGATAGATTTTTTAAAAACTTTTTTAATTACAGAGCTATTTTTTTTTCTCAATAATATGAGCTGCTTGTGTGAACGCAAGCGGACACATTTTTCCTTCTAACTTTACCCGCACTTTTCTCTGTCAGCCCCCTGTTCAATTTTCCGTATGAAGTTGGGGCGAGCTGATTTGAGAGGTCAGCAGGAAATCCTCAGGAAAATTCACCACAAGCGAGCAAGAGCGAGTTGACGCACTCAAGTTCTTCTCTGTTTTTTGGATGATATTGTAATTCCATCAAACTACAGGTAGCACTGATATAAAGGCAAAAATCATTTTCTTTTTAAGTCGTGTCTTGCCACTTGAGTGCCACCTCCACTCCCCCCCCGGCCGCTGCTTCTAGAAGATTTCTTATTAAACCCTGAGGTGAAACGGCTGAGCAGTTGCCACGTGCTATTGTTCGCACCTCTTTGGCCTGACTCTGTATGATTCCATCACGCTGAGATGTCATCTTCCCCGTCCCATCTCGGACCAGAGTGAGGTAGTAACCGCTGCCGAAACATTTCTTAAGGAAGAGTGAGGAGCCACAGCAACGCATCTTGCCGTGGGAAATGATCGCAATGCGATCACCCAAGATGTCCGCCTCGTCCATGTGGTGTGTAGACAAAATGATGGTCCTGCCTGAAGAGGAAACAGAAAGAGAGAATCAATGGATGACACCTGAAAGACTACAATAAGATAGTGTACCTTTTGTCCCAAGTGCAGCGGGAGTCGGACAGCGTGTCTGAAGCAAACAATAAAAAACACTGGACTGCAAATTTAAAAAAAAAAAGTAAAAGCACTGACTGGAAATCTAAGTAGCACTTCTGGAGCGTTCTTCTCTTTGGACCTTGTTTGTGTTGACAGCGGTCTTACACAAACAAGGTCCGGAAATAGAAGCTTGACAAGAAAAGAAGCCACAGATCAAACGTGTTCAAATCAAGCCAATATCACAATCTGCCTCTGCTCTTATCTCCTTATTGCCGATTCTGCTGCGTTTCTTTACCCAAGCTCCTCCGCACGGTAACAAAGCAAACTCCGGAGGAGAGTGTGGGCGTGAATCTGGGACACATTTTAAATCACGATAAAGGCCACCCTAAGCCTACTTTTCAGTTCTTCTATGAGAGCACATTTCTTTTCAGCTCTCTTTTTTTTTTTTTTTTTTTTTTGTGCTGTGATTTATTTTTTTGATTCTAGGAGCATCAAACTGAGCGCAATTACAAAAACAACTACAGCATGCTTTGCAAGGTCATTCACAGGTGTTCCAATCCTCTCACATCATGCTGCATCAGATAACACATACTAATTATCACATACCCCAGAAATCAGAGGAAAAGGACTAGACGTGTAATGAAGTCACAGCATGGTCATGTCTCTGCAGTCAGCATGAAGGCAGTATCACACAAGTACCGGGGAACTTTTCATCCTGTTATGTCTAAAAGCAGAAAATGTTTGACCTCATACCTAAAACATTCAAACGACAAAGACGTAACCTGCTATGAAATGACTTACTCTCTAATTAGTCTGGTTTCTCAGGAGGATAACCTTTTTTTTTTTTTTTTTAAAGTAAGGAAGACAAAAAGAGACAAAAAAAGAACAACCTGGAATGTTGTCAAAGATTTATGGATGGAAGTGCAGTTTGCTGATCAGCTGGTTGGTTCAGCCCTTTAGCCCAGATTACAGTAAAGCGACTTTTTAATGGGTTGCTATGATATTTGGTTCAGACATTTTTACAGGTTTTATGTAGAAGTAATCCATCTTAAATGTTGCCTTGACATATCCTCTAGCGACACCTGTAAGATTTGGTTTATACATTTTAGAGACAGTACCAATAGCCATCGGGGGGCATCATTTTGAGACCCTAGCTCACATCAAGTACCTCAACAGAGATGACAGGTGTGCTATTATAGCATATTAATCCCCAAACACGGCGAGTGGATGTCCTCTCAGTAAGTAGCTGACTGGCTGCAGTTTCGACCCTTTCTGTTCTGAATTTGCTGCTTTTTATTGCACAAAGGTCAGGTGCTCTGCTGAGCTTGGCGGCTGAGTTAGTTAAATTTGTATCCTCGCAGGTCACTTTATCCCCAGGACAAGGACGCACTCAGAGGTCATTAACCGCAGACCAATGCAACCATTTCGCCTGGCCAAGTATTTCTGCTCAGTCCCCCTTCTTCCCACTCCCATCAACCCCCTCTTTTTCGTAGCCTGCCACCAGCTGAGCCGCTAAATCCATCCCTTCTTAGTTAAGTATTGCTGCCTTATGCTATGCCAAGCAAGTCTGGATCCCTCTATATACAAACTCCAACAAAACGCTCGAGTTGAATGAATGCCCACAGCTCGGTCAATTTAACATATGGAGTAATAAAAGCTCTGCTTATGAAGGGGGTGGGCTGCGGAGATTGCTTGAGGTTTAGTTTGACTGAGCCAACTCCTTCATATGAGATGCTCAAACTCGGAGATTTTTTTTTTTTCAGGTTATTCGTTGTGGTTTACAAGAAGAAGAAAAAAAAAAAATCAAATCGCACTGCATCATCTGTGAGTTGGGAGCAAAAGAAATGTGTTTGGACTGCAGATGGCCCACAAAGGTATTCTGATTTATTGTGTGTTGTGGTGCATTACAGCACAAAGTGATATATCAAATGGATGTTGGGTGTGTTCAGGTAAATTGGTAGTACTCGCAATATGCACAGCAAGGCACGGCTGGAAATCTGGTTTTTGTTATTTCGCTTCCTTCCCTCTAAATCAAATTGATAGAAATGGATTTCGCAGTGGTTGAGTTAAGCCGCCCAGATATTATGTATAACGGCTATGAGATAAATTATTGGACTGAGCAGTATTACCTGGAGTTTGTGGCAGTATATTCATCATTAGTGATACCTGCTTATGCTTTGAAGAGTGTAAGCTGGGCTGGAATTGATCCCAGCTGACAGCTATTCAGGCTCACATTCACACGTTTGGGCAATTTGAAGGCAACGATTACCTGTGGGTTTTTTGCCTTTTCGAGAAACTACAGCACCTGGAGGCACCATACTGGGAAAAATATGCCATCCATACAACCATACATTTTAATATATTCTGAATTGCCGCGGTACAGCCTGTCCATTGGGTTTTAAGAAACATTTGAGACTTTTGTTTTGATGTAAAGCAACACAAGCAATACAAAAGAAGACTAATTAAATTGCAGTCGCTTCTCAACTTAATTCTGTTGTACTTAAGAAACTCTTTGAGTAGCTATAAAGTAGAGGAAAGATTTTTAACATGCTTTTCATTCTTTTAATTTATTTTTCTTCTACTACTTACACTGCTTCAGTTATTGAAAAACAAATACAGGGTAGGAAAAATGTCCAAATTAAGTCCAATCTGAACGTATTAAAAGTTGACCAAAGTGCTGTTCAATCACACATCATCGAAAAATCAAAACAACAAAAAAGCACTAAGACCAAATCAGAAACTACAGGACATTCAATACTAAGAAGTGTTAAGACCAATAGGAAAGAAAAAAGGGATTATAAAACTCTCATGTCAGGCCAAAGCCAAGGATGAGAACTTGACTCAACTCAGACATGGTTATTGCAAGGAATGGAAAGGTGTCTGCTAAAGATTACACAGGCTGAAATAATATGTTTCCTGTGTGATTATTGTGTTAAATTTTGCCAGACAACCCAGACAATCTTCATGACGGTCGGCCCTCCATGTTATGAAAAAGAACTTACAGAAGATCGCATAAAAGAAACAAAGGCTGACGCATTTTTATGCCATTTGTACTGCAACATTGGCTTCAACCCTACATTAATTTGTAGTCCTGGAAAGAATGTATTATGCATGGGGGTTCAATTTTTCACGACTGCCTCAGAAACTCTAAAAATGCATGCAACAGCAATCAGAGTCTGCAATAAGTGCAGTTGCAACAAACTTCAGTTTAAATATACTGTGTATGTATTTTCCAGGTAAGTCTGGGATGAAGACTTGTAAGAGTTTGTGAGCTGTAGTTTTGAGTTTAATTCAGAGGTGTGAAAAGTGCATAGGAATGAAAAACAACTATATTGATATTGAGTGCCTACAAATACGTACTGCTACATACATCTTCTCCGCACCTGTGACTACAACATGTCTTATTCTAGCATATATGGAACATTAAGAGTGTAAACATTCAACGTGTGATTTAAGTTCAGTCCTACAACACAATATTATTACTGTTTTTAGCATTTCAGATGTGCAAGGTTTGTGTTGTTTCACTGGATAACCGCTAATTAAATTATAACAACTAACTTGAGGGATGCTGATGTACTGCAGGGCTGCTGATACGAGCTGTTTAAATGATAAAGTCAGTGAGTTACACTTGTATATCATGAGGATCCATGTAAAGTGTCATAGTAATGTGGCAGTAAAGCCCGTGTGGTGTACACATAAGAGAACAGAAAACCAAGCCTTTGCGGGCTAAAAACGCTTGTTAATCAGTTAAACTGCTCATTGCAATCAATAAATCAGGTTCTATAAAATGATGCTGTCGCAGCAAAAACACACAAGGCTGAATGTATAAAATCTATTCAATGATTGCCGTCCTCAAGGCCCATTTTATAACATAATGAGTGGGGTAATTTCATCGTAATCAACTTCCAGTAATGGATGATAATTAAAAATTCATAATTTGCTAATTTCCACTTTAAATCTTCACCTTCTGCGGCAATTTTCTAATGACACATGACAAAAGAGAACATTTCCTGTTTATGACTTGATGCACTTTGCTTCCTCATATTAAATGTACACTGAGGGTTTCATTTAGAACTATAAACACGCAGACTTTATCATCACGCTCCTCTGTACCTTGAGAGCAATTTTAAGACCACATAAGCTCTGGCTAAACTAAATCAAAACAGTCTCCACTCCAGGCAATATGGTCAACATGTCTGTGTGAAAAAACCTGCACACTTAATTAGACACCAAGAACCACTCTTTCAGCCATTAGTTGTTTTTTTCATACAATTAAGGCTGCCCGTGGCCTTTTTTCCCCGCTTAATGACAAACCTTAGTAACACTGGTGCAAATAAGACTGGAGAGGCAAAAAACATGAGTCACTCAAGCAGCCAGAATGTGGGTGTTCTCATTATAACACAGTTATCTCCGCCTCCCAATTGGAGTGAAAGAGCTTGATTAGAGAGAGAGAAGCTAATGACACAGCGAGGGCGGAATGTCACTCAATGCACATTAAACATTTAGACATCTGTTGAGGGAATGTGTTACTATAATGTCGATGCCCTGCTTACAGCCACAAGTAATCGCAGAGTATATAAGGCCACAAGAGCGACGAGCTGACTGATATGGCAGACAATTAGAGACTCTGTTAAATAGCAGCGTCAATTAAGGCGTCGAAGATTCACTTGTCTTAACTTCCATTTCAATCTGTTCCAGCACAAATTTCTAATTCTCTCCACCCACGGCAGGGTGTCACAGAGAGAAAGACAAAAAATGTTTCTCCCTCGGCTACTTTGGCTGGATACATTACAGTCTGTCAGTAAAAAGTTCACCTTGAGCTTGGCTCGGTTTTGGAAACTTTCTCCTTTTCAAAAAAAAAAAAGATCAAACGTGAGCTCTGTGCATTCCAGTCAATTCTGCAAACACATGCGACTTCAAAGTCTTTAGCTGAGCTTTGGTTCTTACCACTGATCTCATACCTTGTTTGTACTTTAACAGCAGTTCCCAGATACCCCTGCGGGCATAGGGGTCCACTCCTGCGGTAGGTTCATCCAAGATGACGATTTTCGAGCCGCCCACAAACGCTATAGCCACAGACAGCTTCCTCTGCATGCCACCTACAAGAGAGAACAACCTAAATCAGATTGATCTAAGTGATATAGTGTGTCTTGGACATGTGCTGGTATGAAGGAAAATGCCCAAAATTGCATCTGACACCAAATGGAGACTCATCTTTGTCCTGTGCAGCGGAAATTCTGGCAGTAGTCGCGGAAAAATCCCACACACCCATCCCTCAGCATTAGGTTTTCAGATGGAAAGTGGACACAATATTGGGAACTGATCGCGAAATAAATGTGTTGAGATGTACCGCCCTGGATTTTATTGTCTTTTGCATGATGTACAATGATTGATCGCAGGGAAGTAGATACACCCTGCTCCGGGTTATTCGGGGCTCGGCTCTCAGAGCAGGCTCTTCAAAATGCATCCAATGTAGTGCTAATGTAGTGGAAATGTCAGCATAGATCAACCCTGAAAGTCATATTTCAGTGATTTTGCTCACAAGCAATCCGTGACTGGGGACAATTTATCAAAAATGACTTGCTCGGCCCCCCCCACCTTAGAATGAATTACAACCTGTGACACACAGGTACGGTGCATGTGTACGCTGAGACAGGCGCATGCACATGTGCAGGCAGAGAAGCAACTTGACAGGGCAGCTTTATCCTGGATAAAAAGGATAATCTACAGATGATGTTTCTTCCCAGGGGATGTGATTAAACAGACACACACACAAAAAAAGAATACATTTGCATTTCTGCATAATTTCAAAGAGATGCTGAAACAGATACAACTAAAACATGTCATCGTACGCTTGTTTAAGACACACCTGACAGGTTTTTTACAAGATCATGCCGCTTATGTGGTAAACCAACGTCCTTAATCATCTGGTCCATCTCGATTTTCACCTCGTCGCGGCTGCGTCCTTTCAGCCTGGAGTAGAAGTAGATATGCTCCTCTACTGTCAGCCTAGGAAGAAAAAAAAAACCTTTTAACACCCATCTGAGCAAAGTGTCCAAAGAGGGCGTCACTTCCACTTACACATATTTAAATGTAAGATATATATTCAGTCATATCTATGCTTTATTAGAGATGATCCAGCTTCCTTCTTTTGAGCACTGGCCAAACGAAAAGTCTTGAATTCAGCATCCAGGTGAGAACACAACTTGTCAGAAAGTCTGCCTCCCTGTTTGCATGAATATTTGAACCCTACTTAATATAGACGCTTTGACTGTCTGGGATTAATATTAATGAAAGTAATTTGCAAGAGCTTAGCTGTAATTATGATGTAGGACTTTAGTGGAGTTGCAGGTAATCAGTTTGTGCAGACAGAGAAATAGAGGGGACTCAAAGGTGAAATAAAAAAAAAAAAAAAAGAATGGTTAGGAGTGATGCTATTAGGAGAACATTTAGTGGACACAGTGAGCAGAGTTCATTCTTTTTTTTTTTACACAAAAGGGAAAGTGATAATGATGTGTTGATGTGAAACGTAAGCCGAGACTGAGACCTTGTTATGTATATGATTAAATTAGACTGTAAAATTCTTCTTCTTTTTTTTTTTTCCCCCAACCCCGCAGGCAAAACCTGATTAGACCAATGACCAGCTGAGTGCAAAGACAGAGAAGCTCAATTTGCTCACTCATTGAACAAGACGTTGTGCTGCGGGCACATGCCCAGGTACTTCCGGATGCTGTCCATGTCAGTGTGGATGTCATAGCCGTTGATGAGAGCTGTTCCAGATGTGGGCGGGAAGAGTCCAGTTAGAATTGACCTGCAGGAAAAGAAAATAACAGGCACAGCTTTAAAAAGAAGTCTGGCTGTTTCCTTTTTGGGGTTTTTTTCAGATCATAATTAAAAACGTAAAGAAGAAGAATATATCTGCCAAGGCACTCAAAAGCAGAACCTGCAACTCGGGAACAGCTGTTTGAACATAATGGTGAATTAAGATTTATTCCCTGCTCTGTTTAAACACATTTCTCAAAAGATATTGTGTCCTAGTGGATCACCATATTTTAATTAAATAGACTAAAAGTAGGAGAAGGATGTTTTCATGAATTATAACATTAGGGGTGTGTCTAGAGGGGTGGCAAGTTTAACGGCCTCCTTAACCAAAAATATTAACTCAAGGCTGAAAAGACCGAAATAATCTTTTATAATAATAATTGAATATGGAGACCGAAAACATGTAAGGCTGGAAACAGTTGTTGGGGTTCAACTCAGGGCTTTATTCAATATAAATATCCCTCCCTTACCCAAAGCAATCAAAGTTAAATATGAAACCAAAGAAAGAAAAGGGGCTGGAGACCCGAACAAAAAGAGAAAAGGGGAAGGTGCTGAGCCAAGCACGTAATCGGCCATCGCTCCCGGCACCTCCTCCTAAGAAGAAAAGACTAACCCAAAGAAAAAAAGGACTCCCTGTGATCTCCAGCCCAAACCATTAATACATTCTTGACTTGTGTGGGGAAAAACTGTAAAAAAATGGGGAAGAAAAGCTCGTCAGCACATCGCTGCCCAGAGTGTGCGTGCCTGAGTCTCTCCCACCTGGCTCCTCTAAATACCCGTCCTCCTGCCTGAGCACAGTTTGCACTGAGGTGTGCAGCAGGTGAATGAGACTCAAAGAGGAAGAACAGGTGTGCAGCAGGGGAAGGAGAAACAGATAGAGAGAACAGGGCCCCACATAACGATTAGTATAAGTAGATTTATCCACTGTCCTATCTCTCCGTTAAAGGCACAAAAAGCCCAAAAATAAATCTTTAAAAAAAAATTTTTTAAAATTTTAAAAATGGACATGCCCCTTCAATGACTGTCCATATTTAACTGTTAGTCTCTTTTCACTCACTCACTAGCTGGGTAGAAAAGTGTCAAAACACCAAACATAAGACGATATGATCCTTAAAAATCTTCTTTTTTTCTTTTTTTTTTTTAAATGAATACAAATCAAACTGAACTTATAATGTATACTATTTCATTTGTATAAAGTTTGTTGGAATTGACTAAATGTCTATATCCAAAGAAAAGCCAAACTGTGTAGTGGTTTTTAAGTGTGCAAAATCTCAAATGTAACGCTGCTTTTCACGGACAGAGAGACACTGTCCTTTCAAAAAGCCTCCACAGAGCTTCAGTGTGTGACAGAGTCCTTCCTCTGTCCTTCTCTGTTATTGTGCTCTGTTCTGTTTGCTTACAGTTGCTCTGAGCGGATGTCTTCCCTTCAGCCTTTAGTCTTGCATCACTTGCTCTCTCTCTCTCGTTCTTTCTGGGCCACTGGGTTTCGGTTATTTCTGCCATCCCAAAGCCCTTCCAACCTTTCAACTCTTTTCTAAACTGCAATTAGATGAGTCCCAATATCAACACAACAGCTGACTGTGTGTGATAAATGTCCTCTCAGAGGATGTCACTCTGACAGCAGTGTCTACTGAATTAATGGAGCAACAGAACAGTCTGCAGTTTGGACTTAGATTAGTTGCTGCCAATGACATAACATGTACAGCCGAGTGCCAAAAGAATGAGAGGAAAAAAGAGATTGCGGCTCACATTGTGGTTGTTTTTCCAGCTCCATTGTGGCCGAGGAAAGATGTGATCTGATTCTCGTAGAAGTCCACGCTCAGTCCGTCCACAGCCAGTTTCTTTCCCGTCTTGTAGATTTTAACAAGATTGCGTATTGAGACTCCGGGTTTCATATTTGGCTGTGATTTCTCCAGATACGCTTTAGAAAGGCAGGAAAACACTCATAAAAAGAGTAAAACAAATTTACACTTAATAACGTTATTGATGCTAAAATAAAACTTTGTTGACATAAGCACCATTTTCACACACTGGAATAACACTTAACAGTATTTAAATAATGCAGCTTACAAACAGGCAAATTACTGCGCTTCCTTTTTACTACTCCTTTTATTTATTCTATCTAAATTCATATTTGGCCTCCTTAACATAAAACCACAAGACAGCAGAGCAGTAAAGACAAAAATTAAGAATTGCTTGCTCTCACTTTTTAATTGGAAATAGTTTGTGTAGCATACTTCTGGCTTGAAACTCTTTTTTCTTCCCTCCACAATAGCACAGAGCTCTATTATCACCCGACGTGACAAATAAGGCGCTAATGTTTGTTTGCGACCCATTCCAATTAACTCGAGAATCAAGACAAATACACGACGACTGGGTAAGTAACACTGCTGCTGCACACCGCGAGTGAGATTTTAACGGCTGCTTACCGTTGTGTGTAGAGTCTTTCAGCAGGTCGGGGTCAGAGCGAGTCACTGAGGCCGTCCCACACCAATAAGATGAAGTGAAAGGGAAGTACCACAGCTTAGGGATTCCATATTGGCCTGGGATCAAGAGCAGTGAACGTTATACACATTTTAATAACAGCATGGCTGCAGGGAATATGTTGCTTTACAATGTATGTTTCCTCTTGACAGCTTGGCACCAATCCTGTCTTCATCTAATTAGAGTCGATGAGAAAAGCATTAAGACTATCCTGTTAGGAGTGCTGCATTGGCATTCAATTAAATTGAGAGGAGGGGATCTCATGCAAGAGAGGAGTAATTAGATCACTAAATTTGAGCATGTTTACCTTCCTTTTTTTTTTTTTAGCGGTATGTTGTGCACAAAAAAAATAAATAAAAAAATACCTGGAAAGACATTCTCGATGTACCAGGTGAGCATCCAGTAAAGAGCAGCATCACAGAGCATCATGAGGATGGACACGATGAAGGTGTAGTGATCCCCCTCTTCTGGACTCGTGTTAATGTTGCTCCACTGAATGCCGATGCCTTGCACTTCGTACTTGGCGAAATTCTCGCAGCCATAGCCGAAGGCGACGCATGACAATAAACTCTGGGAATAAAAGACATGCAGGTGAGTAGTTCAAGGAGAAAATTAGGTGTATGCTTGTGTGTCTTACGCAAGACTTCTTCTATCTATTCTATCTTTTGGAAGCTTCCTTTTCAGTGGTCGTGATGTTTTTTGGATCCAGATGTGACCATGTTGGGACAATGGGATGATCGATCTTGGTTGATGTGTTGCTGTGTCAGTGACTTGTCAATCACAGGTAACCACGCCTTAGCTCCCAATTTCCACATACTCACTGTGCGGCGCGATCGATCAGCGCAGCCATTAATGCAGGTTCATATCCCCTTTGGTTGGGCTTCACTTTTGAAACAAGAGGCTACATCAACTTCTTATATGCAGCCTGTGGTAAGTGCATTTTAGTGATGCCATTATTGTGGGGGCGATATATGGTTACCAGCCAAGGTCATATCCATAACTGATCAATAAACTATTGCTGCAGACACAGGGACATTATCTACACGCGCATCAGCTGGCGTAATTGCCGTGTTGCCTTTGTGAACATCTCAAAGGACTTCAGACCAGAATGAAGATGGAGTCGGCAATGTGTGTGTGCAGCAAACTAAGATTTGTTGGCTCTTTCATACAGTAGGAAATTGCAAATGATGCTTTGCCCGCGAGACATCATCTGCCATGGCCTATCACTCTGCGTTGCCATGTTGCCTGCCAGCTGTTTTATTACGCCTCATTTGCTCGCAGCATTTTCACTGCGGCGGAAGCATTTTCTTGAGCTTCAGAGACAAACATCATGAATACCGTTCGAAACTGATGGTTTCATTTCCAAGCAGAGAAACTGAAAAGCTCTGCAGTGACGCCAAATATCTAGCCTGGCTGCAAACACTGCTGGGCTCTTCCTGTTTTGTCCTCCACTGTCTGTCTACTGCCAAGCAATCAGCAATGAGTCAGTAGACGAGGGTTGACAGCAGGGCTACCGGGCACCCATCCTTGACCTCTGTATGAAAGGCTGACAAAACGACAGGAACCACTCCTTTGGCTTTTGAGAAAAGGGCATGGAGTGGGAGACAGACAAAACAAGCCCCCTCTATTGAACTGATGTCAACACTGCACACACAGCTACTGTTCAGCTGGCTGCTGAGAAAGAGCATTGTTAAGAGGAACTTTAATAACGGTTCCAGCGCTTTCCGAGAAGCCATTTTTGAAAAAGAGAGCTGGAGTGACGGGCAGACTCGCAGCAGAGAAATGTGTGTCTGGCTGCAGAAGGCTTGCATGAAAAACTGGGAGAACAAAGTATCTCTGTCTGAAAACCATTTCTCCTGAATTGGATTCTGGTTGAAAGTGCCATAATTAGCCCATAAACCAGTCGATTGCTCCAAAATTGGCAACTGTCGTGATGATTGAGGAATTGTGTCGAGTCATCTCTCAAGAAAGTAAAAAATGAATCTCTTCTTGTCGTCTCCAAGCTTCTAAAATGTGAAAAACAGTAGCTGTTATATATTTGTGATTTGGCGCTTGGTCAGACAAGACAAGCCATATGAAGCCATTTCATTTCTGGTTGAAGGAAACTCTCAGTCAATTTTCTGACTTGCTATGTACCAAAAATGTTGTCTAGTAAGTGTTAGAATAATCAGCAATGCATTTAGCTGGACATTTAATGCTCATATCTACTGGTAGTACCACAAGTTCAATTTCCACATGGGACCTTTGTTCTCATGTCTTCCCTTTCTCTGTATCCTCAATTCCACAGTGTGATGTGATTTTAAATAATAAGAAATCCTTTATCTTAACATAATAATGATATTGTAAATTACAACTGTAAGAAGAGTTATATTGCAGTTTTATTACAGTTAACAGTCTCAACTAAAGCCATATGCATAAGTCCGCTGCCAGATGTTGCAGTAGTACAGATCTATTCATTGATTTCAAAGACAACCAGTTCTAAAATTATAATGCAGGACGGTTTTCCTCAGGATTTCTCTAGGACTGAAGGAATGATTGAATGTATTTCTGGTATTCCATAACATAGAAGAACTCGGGGCTCTGTCTTGTTTTGTCTCATTAAAAACTGAAGGTAAAAAAGTTGAGGAATAGTGAAAGTACAGTAGATAATAGATGGTTGGAAAATGACTATGCGCTGTCTTATTGTGACCCTCTGAAACACGGCCTTTGATTCTCCTTTGGCACTCGTCTGCAATCAAGAACTGCTGGACAAAATTCAGATGATCTTTCGAAATTCTGCTCCGATTAAAGACTTCATTATCAAGGACAGCGCAGGGGGGGAGAATTCGTATGCCTTGGCATGGCTTAGTTTCATCCGAGCTGAGAGAGAGAAAAACCTCTGCAGACACACACACACACACATCTGTGATAAAGTGTAAGGATGAACTGGATAGTGGTTTGGTCAGAGGAACATTGCTCATGCTAATTAGAGGGCTGGAGGGCTATCCATCTAGCTGGAACAGGGGAGAAAAATCTCTGCGCCAGGGGAGCACCTCGCACCGGCACTTTGTGTAGAGATTAAATAAGGTTTGCTGTGCTTTATATGTAAAATACTTCCTAACCTGCATGCAGTCTGCAGAAGTGAATACACTGCAAAGTTTTCAAAAGGAAACTATCAGCATCAATTTAAAGGACTTATTGTCAGACAAGCTATTCAAGCTCATAGGTTGAATAACAACGTGTAGGAGGATGAAAGAAGTTAAATCAGAAGTGACTTTTATCAGGTGTCTGTGTTAGTTGTTATTGACTGCTTCTATTTCAATTGTATACATAAAGAACACATTAAACTGTTTACCTTGGCCACCAGCACCCGAGGTCACATTGTTGCAATTGACAAACAGGAAAAAACACAACCTTATTGGAATTCTGTGACGATGCACTCGCGCACACACAGCAGTGAAGATTCTGAAGCTTGTGTGTCTCTGTCTGCAGAAAGGACAGCTTGTGGACAAATGATAGCAGCACTGTCATAAAGGTCACGCAGACAGACTACAGTGAAAGTTGAGCAATGGTGCACGATTTATCTTTATCCCTTAAAGGGAAGGAAGAAAAACCCCAGACTTCCTCGCTGTGTGCCTGTATAATCTCTTCTTCTATGTAAATGTTTCTTGTTTGTGTCACTTGAGTATGTCCACATCGAGTTAAAAACTTCAGGTTGGTGCCAAAATGTGTCCAAACAAGTGGAAAGAAATCGGCGGTGATGGCATAAATATTTAATGCACTTCCTAAAAGCTTTTGTGTCACGATTTGAATTTTTCTAGACCTCTAAATTCATCTTGCAGCGACACTTCGCACCTTATTATCAAGAGGATTGTGCAGGTACGACAAAGGGAAAAACCCTTAAGATATTTTCGACACAATGAGAGAATTTTTCTTCCTTTCATAACAAGCAGCACAAATCAAGTCAGACATGTACCTGTTTTGACATAAAAAAAAAAAAGTAAAAGGAGAAGGAACAAACTGCTGCAACTGTCAAAAGTGTGATCATAGTGAAACATAACAGAGGAATACAACTCAGAATTCAGTCAGTTCTTCTGTCTCCTAGCAGCAGGGAGGACGTACTAAAAACAGTTCCAGAGCTAAAGATGAACTTACCACAGCAACCTTGGCCCCCAAACCCATGACGTCCCTCCAGGCGTAGCAGAGGACGTGCGGCAGGTAGAGGACAAAGTAGATGAGGCCGCCGCACGCCGCTGCTAAGTTAGCCTTGGAGAAGAAGACGCTGATGAAGAAGCACTGACTGATGGTGGCCAGGCAGAAGACCAGCAGGAAGACAAAGATTACAGACGGGTCGCTGTACTGCAGCACTTTGCCGTACTGTGACGAAAAGAAGCAAATGGAAGACGGGAGAACAAAAAAAAAGAAATTTAGAATTTAATGTCAACACAACCCAAAAAAAGGATCAGAGGTCAAATGTTGTACCAAGGAAAGAGCGTTAGAAACTGTGATTATAATGGCTCATTTGTACAACAACGCAGGCAGAGTAAATGAGTTTCAAAGGGTTTTAAATTTGAGATTTTTGCACGTTTGTCTGTTTTTTTTCTCAGTTGACTGATTTATACTGCGATCAAATTCTCATGAAATGTGTCACCCTTTTGCTCTGCTGGTTGTAAAGGAGGATCCTTCTCTACTTTTGTTGGGTTTTATTGTCCAGATTTTTACATCCATACATTCTCCTGCGGTCCCCTTTGAGCCGAATTCAAAAAGACACTTGAATCGTTAACATAATGGTGCCATTTCAATGAAACCAAGTAGAAGACACTGTTACAAGAAGATGTATGATGGCTAATTTAGGAACTTTTGGAAATATACAAAAGCTAAAGGTTCCCTCAAGAACGACTGTGTTCTTCTTTATATTATCACTTTCACTATTCTAAGTTAAAGTCTCATTTGTCCATGGAGGATTGGAGGGGAAAAACCTCTTCAAAAGTAGTGTCGGACCCTCCTTGAATCATGGTTAAATCATGCTGGATCACCTTCAGTATTAGTGCAAGGAGGACAGCGCTGACAGCCAGTGGCAGCGCACTGGACACTGCCCAGCTAAGCCAATAGATGGAGCTTCTCAGGCCCATGATCCTCACGGTCTCCTTAAGCCTCGCCTCTTTCTCTGCGACGATACCCTTCACGATCATAGCCACCGAGTAGATCCAGGCTAGAGTCATGTATAATGGGAGGGAACGTGCCAGAGACCGGAGGAACCTGAAGTATGGAGGAGCCAGATCGGAGAGGACAACAACCCTTTTTACATTTGGTTCTGACACATGGTCTGTTTTCTGGATACCTTATATGTAGCATTACCTCTGGTCCCAAACCTTTCCATTTATTATCAATTAAATCAGCATCCCAGGACACCTCTGTTGTGTCTCGCTCTCTCCCTTAAACCTAGATATAATAAACCGAAATAATAATCCATCAATATCACACATTCATTTACAGTTGTGTCCTTGGCAATCTTGTAAATTTAAGCACGGGTACAACCCTCTTTCTTATTTTCATCTGCTTTGGTTCTCCATTAAAGCCTGAGGGAAATATCTGTCATTCAGCGGCACTATGAACGAGAAATTTGGCTGCTGCTTGGCGCTCGACAGGCAGCATACAAAAAGGTTCTGAGATCTTTGATGCTGAAAGGTGCAGCCTGCTGCTGTACACAGAGTTGATTAGAGAAGTGCAGCTGAGCCAAAACAGTAAAGGTGCAGGCAGTTAACCCAAATAATGAGCTGAAAGATGTTTAAATGCTCTTTAGCTGAGGGCAGGGTGATAATAAAAATGTGTTCATCACTATGAGCAATCCCTTTCACATGCAACCAGTCAATCAATCCATAATGGAAATAAAGACATTAATTCTTATTTCAAAGCACCTCTGAGCTTTTCCAATATATTTATTTTTTATGGCGGTTAGCGATGTCATCAGGTTCAAGTCTTTTTTTTTTTTTTAAGTTTCCCCAGCAAATATTCACTATTTTGACTTTTAAAAACACCAGGATGAGATTTTCTCAAGTCGTTATCATTACTTATTATTTATTATTTGTCAATCAGGGGCAACATAAACCAAAAGTTCCTCACAGGAGCTTTAGGAACGTGGGCAAAGTGTCTGTATTAACACCTGGCTGGGATTTGATTTGATCAAATCGAAAGCATTCTCATAACTATGGGTTCTGCTTCCATTAACACCTTACATTTACACACTCTTGCTTCTTTTTCAGAGATATTCAGATGCAGATTTCCTGTTAAAGTTTATTGTATGTACTCTATCAGCTGGTAAAGAACTTAATATGCTGTCACATGGACAGGTTAATGTGTACATGTAACAGCTCTCAGATGTTGTTGCTTTGGGAGTCTGGCTTCATTGGACCAGGTATTTGAATATGTAACAGTGGACATTGCTCTATAGATGTCAACTTCAGCTGTTGAATCAATCATTTGAATAAAAGGTGCTTATTTTCCTCCGATATGTAGTTTACTTGAAATAAAAAAAAGCAGTATTCAAGTTTTAAAGTGAAGTTAAAGTACCTCCAAACTGGATGAAAGTACAGAGGTTAATGTCATGTTCCACCACCATCCATGTTCAGCTCAATAAATCCTCATTTTATGATCTTTTTGTCCCTCACCCATGAGTGATTGATGGCATGTCAATAGCTGTCTTCCAACTGTGAAGGTGGTCTCTGTCATTTGCATTCTTTTCTCACCGTGTCGCGTCAGTGTTGTTTTGGACAACATATTAATCACATTTTAATGACTGAGCGCAAACATGACAAAAACATTTTTGGAAGGTGGTTTGAGGTTGTCAAAACAAGGACACACACACGTATTGATCGCTGCAGTTTAGTGTTCGTTTTCATAAGTAAAGGTGGGGGGGGGAGACAGAGAACAGTGTAAATACATCTGTGTGGATGCCAGATAATTTGAGCATTTGCTCCTCTATGATGGAGGAGAACACAAGTGTAAAATGACAGAGGCATCAGGTGCAGGTGGCAAAACCGATTGTTGTCACACCTAATCCAGACACAGCCTTTAGATAATTGCCATTTGATTTGCTATTATTATTAATGTGCTAAAAATGGCTGTGAAATTATCATTTAGAATGGGCCTGTGATCGGAATACACATCGCGCATGCAGCCGCTCCTCCAAGGCACTCGACTAACTCAATTTATTGTTATTAATGTTTACAAATTGTTGATGGCTTGCAAACACATTAGGCTTGTGGGAAATTACATTTCACCCAGCTGTTCAAATATCAGTTTTTATTTAGCAGCCACATTTTCCAATTAAACTACAAAAATTGATTAGGCTGATTTAAAATAAGCATCCTTTTTTATTTCATTAACGACGCCCACAAAAGAAGGAGCCGTTGAAGGATGTGCTCGATCTAAACGAGAACAATAACAATGCTGCTGCAGCGTATGTCACCTCAGGCACGAGGGCCATCCTTCTGTGATAACTGAGCTCACTGTTGCTTTCCTAATCAATTCTTGCAAAGAGGATCATTACAGCACATAAACATGTTCATTATATCCTACACAATCATTGATTCAACACATGGATTAACATAGAAACAACTGTGGGGGGGAAAAAACATCCACCTCCTAGAAGATGTTCCTAGAATTAAGACATTTGCTGAATAAGACAAATGTTAACAAACTTAGTGCACATTACTTATGTTGGTCACACTTTCTTTAGCCTCTGTCCTGGGAATAACACCAACTCCATTTTGCATTTTGCTCCAAAGTTATTCTGATGATTGATGATGTTAGAACCATTAGAAGATTGTACTTAGGCTGCATTATACATCATGAGCAGTATGATGCTGAGATAGGCTTTGGTAGTCAGAGGGTTTGTTCTTTCATTCTGTTCCAACCTGCGTACATTATGCATGAGCTAAAAAGGCTGGTGAAATCTCCCAATAACAGTAGAAGTAAGCGCAGCGCTTTGATGAGTTGTTTCAAGTTCATATTAGTTCTGACTTTTGCTTAAGTCAGCACAAGGAACGGGCCAAATATTAATGTTGTTTGTGCTTGTTTCACACAACCCAACATTTCATCTATCATACTTTCTCGGACCAATCTGGGCAGCGTTATTAGACATTATAAACTTCAAGACTGCAAGTAGTAATTTAGTGCACAAACTGGGGCACCTGTCTGAACAGGAGGCCTTTGGTTTCCCACTTACTGTTATTACCCTGCGAAGGCAATAATGTAAAACCGTGCACAGCATCGCAGAAACACAATACACTTTTATTGCAATTGAAGAACGATGAAAGTGCAAATCAGTCACTTATCAAATTACATAACAGAAGCCTTTTTCATGTTCGAGATGCAGCCATAACGGTGATGCAATAAGAGGAAATGTGAAGTGATACTGCTGTGATTGGATTTGAATTAAAGTGAAACTTTGAGGCATGCATGATTGAAATAAATCATGGATAATCATTTGAGGAGAACTGATTTTAAGCTTGCGTGTGTATTCAATTATTTTGTATTCATTTACTTGATTAGATACTTTAATTATACCAAAACACAAGGCATTAACAATATTCTAACCTCAATGACTTCACACAAAGAGCAACACAAGCTGAGGACCAATACAGATGATCTGTTTGGATGTATTCAGTTGCTCTTTTTCTTGATTGTGAAATCAAATTCTTTATTAACTTAACCTCCAATTATCTTTTAACCATACGATTAGTATTATATTTATATATTAAAAAAGGAAAACAGCTACAATTATTTGAGTGATTGTCCCCATTTAGGGAGTGTAAAAACATAAAATATTAGATTGCTGTTTCTATTGTATGCTTTGTGTTTTGATACTTTCCTCTGAGGGACTCTTTTCTACTGACCTTAACCATGACACTTATGAGCGCACAGGGAACTGTGAGCAGGACTATGTTTTCTATGAACCTGGCGGACCAAAGGGCTCCGTTTTGAATGCCAACGGCACGCAGCACTTCCTTGAGCCGGAGCTCCTTCTCCAGCACCAGGCCTTTGATGGTCATGCAAACGGTGTACATGAAGCTCAGCACCAAGAACATGGGGAGGATGCCTCCGATATTCTGGATGAAGCTGGGTGTGAGAAGGGAAGCAATCAGAAATCTCACTTTGACAACGAGAGTGTAGTGGCCTATGAAGCGACACCACAAGAGTTTGTTTTTTTTGTAGGTTTAAAATCTGCTGTGTGAACGTAGGTACTCAGTGAGAGGCTTAAAGGAACAACGACAAAGTATTGGTTACACTGCATATAATCATTCTGACTTCTGTAATACATGTATTGTATAGTTGTCACAAATATATATCATTTAAATAAATAAAAAAATGGAGACACATTTTCCTCAACGTGTCCCGACTCATCTTCTCATAGTCGTTCTCATGTCATGAATGAGGGAAATGTGAACGGAGGTTAATTGGCCAAAGAAGAAACTGAATGTGACGTTAAAGAAGTAGGGGTAGTAGAAGAAGAAAAGGAAGAAGACGTTAAAAGACAGGCATGTTGAACAGCGGTGGAAACTAGAGATGAAACATGATAAAAAGGTCATACTGAATAAATACATCTATCCTGTGCTTTACATTATTAGGAGCATTCTATATCCCTCAGATATCCTGATGTATCATTATATGATTGTCTTCACATGTTGTAAATGTAACAGAATGACTGTATCATGATGTTATCCTGGGCCATGTATCGTATCATAACGTATATTTACACATCGTAACACATCATAACGCATCATGACACATCTTAAAACATCTTAAACAAGTTACCATGTGATTCCCACCCCTACAGCATATATCACATTTGACTTTCAGGGAGTGTCATCAGATATTTTTCTTCCCACTATTTGATGATATTTGGTACAAAACTTAAACTAACTGGGAATGTAAATAATGTCAAAAGCTAACAGGTAGGTCACTGAATATTATATATTGACTTTTACAGGTTTCTTTTTGCACTAAGTGAAAAAAAAAGAAGAGGATTTTGCAGACACTGAAGAAACCATGGGAAAATAATGTCATTCAGAGCCCCATACACAGGTTCAACACCAATGAAGCATTTATTTATTTTTGTACTCAGCTAACCTTCATAAACTTGGTGCATCGGCTCAATCAACCCATTTAGAGCTGCACTTCATGCCAGAGATGATGTATGATTTGATGCTGTTACAGCACAATGAGGTGATATTAAACCGGATTCATAATGCCACCAAAATGCCATGTCAATATCTTCTCTCTCCGCCAATAAAACAAAGTGCTTCCTCTGCTTTATTAGACAGTGAAGGAGGGATATCAAATAGATTTTGACAAAGTATGGATTTCACGTTTCACTTACGCTTGCATTCCATAAATACTGAGAATGTAATGCAAGCGAAGCACAGTGGAGCACGGACGTGAAGATGAGGCACAAAATGAAGGTGCAGTAATTGGCAGAATGGCGGCCTTTTTTTTGAAGCAATTGAACTAAAACTATTGATCATAATAATGACCATAAGTGCAGTCCAATTTGCATGAAGTGTATTCTGTTTGATTGTGGTCAAGATATTTTCAAAGGCCTTGTTAAAGCTCTGCAACGTGAGTGCAAGTTCACTCACAAAACTACATTCAATAATTGCTAGGTAGCCATGTATAGATGACTTTTTAGAAGGTGATTAATTTCAGTTTTGTCTTTGTGGAAAAAGTCATGTTTTATACTTTGAATTGATGGGATAATGTTACTCTTTGTACCTTTGAAACAGGGTTCAGGCGGAACAGCAATTTAAGACTTTAAAAATACCATTTAGTGAAGGCATTTTTGTCAATAGAACAACTGATGATTAAAGTATGGTATGGTTGTGCAAACACAACAAAGAGATTCAGTTAGCCCCACTGAGACTTCAGAGGAAGTTCAGTGACATAGTAGAACTCGAACGGTAGCGAGACAGACTTGTTTTCGAGGACACTTCCCCCCCTGCCCTCGCGGGATGGATCCATTTCAAACGAGGCCTTGAAAGCAGCAAGAAGGGATTGGTTGACATGGAGTTTCTAAAAGTTGAAACCCAGCGCATATAAAACCAAAATCTCTGATAGGATTACATAAACAGAATTCCCTTTTTGAACCCCGAAGATTCAAGCATACTCATGAAATAGATACACTTCAACAAATGAAGCTAGCTCACACTTTGCTATCTTTTTCTTGGGAGGCGAGCAGCCCCAAGTCACAAATGTGTCAGTATGAATCCTAATTCTGTTATTATCCATGCCTGATTCTTGCCTAACATCTCTGTAACACTTGACAGACTGTGTGAGTTAACTCCTTCTGCGACTTCTAGCACTGGAGGGGGAGAGGGATCAGTCATGCACACCATGTCTGACACTGACAACCTTGCCACCAGATGCTCCTGAATTATACATTCGCTGATCGATCAAAGGTGCTTAAGTAATAGAACTCCGGGCGGGTTTGTGTTGCAGAGCTCCAGTTACGTTGGCAGCCTGACCTAAATTTAGGGATGCTGGAAAACTGATTTCTCAGTAAACTGAGAGATAGTAGAGCACAACCTCTCAGGAGGTTGGCGTGCTACGCTTAAAGAAGAAAAAAGCTACTTGACTCATTTCGAGCAAATACACAGATGAGATCAATGGCTGGTTGGAAATGAGCTATTTATTAAAAAGGAAAAGATTTAATTCAAAGTGGATATTTCATCGCTGGTGTAGTGTGAAATCCATTTACTAATATTGTAGCACAGATTGGTAAACAGCAAAGAGTTTAAAGCTTATTATACAGTTTTAAATTTCAAATCTGAACCACGCATGAATGAAAGGGTATGAATCAAACTTTACATCATAAATGGGCTCCGAGGGGCGTCTGTATGCTCTGTTGAGGTTGCCACTTTATAGTGATTCACTGATATCACTAGTCTTGCTGAATTCTATGAAATCATTTCTGAATATTAATCACTGATATTCAAAAATGAAGGCTTGTGAAAGCAAAGAAACATTTGATAATAAATTTGCCATTTCAGGCCTAAAAGTAAAAGGAAAATATGTGAACATAAAATTGAAGAAAAGGTATACTTGCTACCATCCATTGTTCCTCAATCAATATTCAAAAGTGTTTCTTTCACTCCTGACGATATATTGCAGTTTGTTTGAATCGTGGGGTAAAGAGTTGTGATAGTCAGATACTTAGCAGGGATCATTTTACATCCATTTTATAACTGTAATGGGTTTGCAACCACGTCGTGAAATGAAGTCAACTTGTTGTTGCTGCTGCAGTGTCTTGGTTCTTCTGTATATTTTCAAAGTTAACTTTAACTCTTCCACACGTTTTGAACGGAGGTACACAGGTATATCTTCATGCCGTTAAATTGTCTTGTTTATGGGCACTGCATATATAAGAGTCTTTGAACTTAATAGTATCTGACATATACAGAAAAACATTACAAAAGGATTGATGAGATTTTACAAACAAGTCAAAACCAATAATTGAATCCAGCTTGAAATAAAAACTAATTTCTTAGAAGTGCTAAATGAATGTGCTTTAACTTTGCATGCTGCGTTTTGGAGTACAGTCAACTAACCTCTTGTTGAAAGCTTATACTATATTAAATTGAGTGATGATGACGTTCAGATGAATGCTTTTAATATAAGCAATTACAGAAATGGATGGGCTAATGTTTCATTTAGATACTTGTTAAAGTTCAAGGTTTTTCTGTGTTTTTTTAAGAAGTATTTCTAATTACCTTGTACATTAAACGTTTTTTTTCTTTGGTGTAGTGAAATTAAATGTGACAAAAAGGTAATTAATTTTTAATACAAACAACTTCACAACTTAAACTGTGTAGTGTTGAAATGTATAAATAATCTGTCTGACATTTTGAAGTGATTGTGTTAACAGCGTTTAAGCAATCAAGCCTACATGGTCTTGTGTTTGCGGTAATGTTCAGAATATACTGTCTATCGATTTGAACAGAATGTCTTTGATTTTCAGCAACACTATCACAGCCTTGAAAATGTCAATCCAGCAGTTAGGAGGCAAATGAGACATTATCTAAATATATCCATAAAGGAGACTTTATTCTGCAGAAGGAACTTTATCTGCTTGGACTTAATCAACACTGCAGCATCGGCCACTGGGAAACTATCGAATGCTTTTAAATGCCAGCTCTTGAAAAAGTCGCAGTGAATCAAACAAACATTTGATACAAAGGATCGCTTCAATGCACGTCTCTTCTGATGCATTTGGCTTCAACATTAATTAGATTATGGATCGGGAACACTCAGGCTTTGCATTGTGACCATTTAGCATCCACTTATATTTCATAATATATATACATCAGTGATGTATCTGGATCTATACATTGTAAATTAAATAACTAAGCGGCCAACACTGTACCATCAGTTTTCTTATGTCAGTATTGTGAAAAAATATTTGTCGTACTCTAACCATCATTCGGGGTTCACAGATATAGCGGCTGAATATTGTAAGCTGTCGGTACTTGCTCTGTTGACGGATATTGGCATATCAGCAACAAATTTGGCATTCACCCACTTCTGTTGTTGATACCTGCTGAGTCATGTCAGTGTAATGATGAAAAGCTAGTATGTATCATGATGTAGCCTAATATAACGGTTTTATTTTGGCCTTTAGAATCAATTTCAGCATTCAATATAACTAACATCACAGTGTCTAGATTAAGACTTTGTACTACTTTTTAAAGAACACTTTCATTTGAAAGCGATTACAGTTTGTTTGTAAATATGTACAAATGATTTGTGCTCATCCAAAAAGTGTTAAGGCCTGAATGGTGAATGGAGTTGAGCATGCATAGTGTGTTTCTAGTCTTCTCACTACTCAAAGTGCCAAAACACTGAAGGTCACACCTACCCATTCACAACTACTCTCACAATGATGGCAGAGGCTGCTACGTACAGTGACCATCAGAAGTAATTACATTCACACACGTTTATACGCCACTGACCAAGCAGCGGGAGCAACAGTATCGATATGTGGCTGCAGGAACTGGGGAACCCCTCGACCATCCGGTTGAGAGACAACCTACTGTGCCACTGAGCCACAGCCCACCGCCCCCCCCCTCAATAAATGACTCACAATGTTCAGTGTAACAACAATTAATTCATGAAAAACATTAGTATTGGGATCAGTTATCGGCAGCATTGTTTTTTTTTTTATTACATCAGAATCAGTATCGGCCCTGATTTACTCCTCTGGTGCAACCCTAACCCTGTATTAACTAATAGATGTTTTTTTTTTTTTTAGCAGTGGCTTCATGGAGATCATCTGCAATGTTGGATAAAAGATGTGATTTTTCTAATGGTGTTAATATTGTACGTCACTTTTGCATGACTAAGAGGCACTAGAAATGTGAAAAAAACTAAAAGCTGAATTATTCTTCAATGAGCTTCAGATGTCCTTAATATGCTGAACTATCTGTCCACTTTAAGTACTAAGCGAGCACATTAGGTTAATAAACCACTGAAGATGGACAAAAGCATATTTCACACATCCTTGATTTGAATATTCCTCACATCCAAAGCATCACCATGTTCTGTTACACTAAAAGCCGCTTTAGATCTAATGTCAAGCCTGTGTGAGAGTGAGAGCCCTTTTGATAGGGAGCGCAGCCTTTGTATTACAACAAGAGATGCCTCTGATCCAGAAGCATGCCGTGGTGCAGGCACCGCTGATAAAAGAACCAGTTTATGAGCTACCGGGACCTGCAAGGGTCAAGCTTTATCCCACACCGTCACCGCAGGTCTGCGCACAATGTGAAGGAAAACAGTGGGAGCTAAAACAGTTTGGTTATCTCAATTTGGAAATGCCAACAGGGTGAGCTTTGGCTGAAGCGGGGGCAGATTGTTAACGGGCGTGTTACAGCCAAACGAAGAGGAACAAAAAGAAAGCCAAAAAATAAATCATCTCAAAGGTATGGATGGATTACACTCCAATTTCCATGAGAATTCTTTTTTTTGATAAACCTTTTTTCATTTTCAAGTAAAACTACAACTGTACCCTCGTACTGTAGCACTTTAGTAAAAGCTTCTATTGAACAATGTAAACATGTTTTCTGTTTTACTCAAACTAACCCAGTGAAGAGCTTTTTACTATTCTGAAGAGGACATCTAGGAGATTTAAAGTGTGGGGTCTTTAATGGCATCTTGAAGTCACATTAGACCAACATGTCCATCTGACTGCACAATGTTCTTTCCTTCCTTAAGAAGGTAACAGCACAATGTGGAAAATTAAAATGATTCCCACAGAGGTCCGTCCCCATCAGGCCTCTCTCTGTGTCTCCTAGAGTGTCTTCCTTTGTGTGATTTCACTCTCAATTATTTATGGATGAAATAGCAGTTTTCATGTTTTAATAATTTATAGAAATGCCCAAATGGCGAGGCAGGCGAACGAGTAAATGGTGGAGGGACCGAGGATGCTGCTGCACTTTATGGCTTCCATTTATCTTCTGTAATTATTAATCTTTTATTTTTGGATGATGAAACAGAGGCAATGGGGCTGGCGATGGCAAATAAGCTACAACGTCACTGCGGTGAATTGAAAATGGAACCAATTGCCTTTTAAAGTGCTGTGCATTAGAGGGAAATAAAATAATCTGGTGCTAAGTTTAACATGTTGCTGTTAAGAAAAATAACATACAGTATAATGTACAAAAACGAATAAAAGGCTGCAGATAGGATGTCAGTCTTCTTTAGCGTGCAGTGTATCTACCTACGAATGTACAGTAAACAAGGTGGATGATTCTATGCTTTAGTTAGTGGAAAATGCCAAAATTCCTCTCAGATGAATCTCTCCACTGGGCACAATATTCAGTTCAGCAGTGCATTTATCCAAGAAGGACTTCTCAAACTATTACCCTTTGCACGCAAAACCAAGTTCATCCGTTAAGCTAGTAAAATAAAAATATAAAATGTGTGTCTTAAACCTGTTTTAATGCAGCAGCTAGAAAATAAAGTGCATATAAGCGAAGCTACGTTTAGTCATGAAGCCAGAATGTGAATATAAAAACAAGGAAACAGGCAGCTGATAAAGAACCAAGTAAAAACAGATGAAGAATGCTTAGCTGATGTCCTCTAATTCCACGTCTTCATGATACATTTATTGCACACAGCAATAAAACACAGCACCATGTTTCCAATTATGTATTGTACCCAATGCATCTTCAGTATGAAGTTGTAATTGCCATGCTTCTTCTTCTTTAGCCTCTTTAAATATGTTGATCCAAACGCCTGCTGAAGGATGCCTTACTGTAAATTCTGCGCCATCTGAAGCACACAGTATTTCTAAATTGGATCCACTAATCTCTGGCACTGTGCTTTTTCCACAGGGTGCAAATACTTTTGCGCCTACTGGTGGTGTACATACTGGGCGTATTGTGTTGTTGGACTTAAATCTCCCTGGTAATTATCTTCTCTCTTGATGGCATCGCTGGGCTTTTCCCTTTAATAATGGAGATCATAATGTTGTGTGGATGGGAGTCATTTTCCCAGACTCCGAGGAAATCTTGGATGTGGAAGATTAAGAGTGGTAGCGCATCGTTTCTGTCCCTTGGTGAATGAGCTACATTAGGTGCTATCAGTGGATACATACACAACACACATGGTGCCTGATGTCAATCTTTAGCACATGATTAAGCTATATGAGAGCTGGGGTCGGGTATGTTAAGAATAAAAAGCTTTGGAAACACAAGGATGGGGGGGGGGGGGGGACTCATGGTGGTTGCTTAAATAATTCAGTGTTCATCAACTATTCAGGAATTTCCTGTGGTTTCCCTAAAATCGATACTTTTTGCCCACTCTTTCCCTCTTGTTGTCTTCATTTATGTCTTTTCTTGTTGCTGACCCTGGACGGTTGGTTCAATTTATTCCAAAGAGCGTCCCACTTTTTACCCCTGAGACATCATTAGAGGAGTTCCACGTCTTAGTCCTATAATCAGGTGATTTGTGTTCCGCATAAGACACTTTCAGAAGAGACAGAGACATCACAGAAAGGCTAAGCAAGACAAATACGAGGGAACATACTGAAAGCATAGTGAAGCTTCCACAGAGAAATCTTAAGAGTCGGAGTGACTGATAAGACCATAACTTAACTGTGTGGCGTCAGTGTGTGGCAACTCCCCAGAGTGAGTATACTTTTATTGCTGTAATACCTCCTTTCTCTTCCACTAATCACAAGGCTGACAGATAAAGGCATTTGTACTTACCCGTCATCCACATAGCAAGGATACGGCATTTGCTGTGTGAAAACACCGAGGGGTTGGGTCTTTGACGTCTGCGCTCGTATAATGCCGTGGTCCATCATGTCCTGCAGGTAAGCGAAGCCTCCCCATATATAGCGCAGGTCATTAAAGGAGTTGTCTCGGGCCCCGGGAGACCAAGACCTTATTAAAAGCAGACACACAATGATTTGTCTTAGCGAAGGGCAAGCAAGCTATAACCAGGATGTTGAGAAATACTGTCACAACATCACGACTGTTCTCCGAGGTTTATATGTTTGACAGTAAACTGTAAAAAAAAAAAAAAAAAAAAGAGATCTGATCTGTTTAACACCCAGGACAGTACAATTCAGCATCTTCTAGAATCTTAAAAAACTTTAAGGAACACGTTGACATTTTGGGAAAATATGCTAATCAACTCCCTTTGCTGTAAGTTTGAAGTCAAGTCTGACATCACTCTAATGCGTTATGTTTCATACTAGATAAAGCCAGCAGGTTAGTGGAGCTTAAAGCAATGTAAGCAACTTTATTTGGTTTAAATTTTGTTGAAATACATTTTTTATCATTGCGTGTCATGAACAATATGAAATGAAAAAGCCCTTTAATAAATGTGTGTCTGATCTGTGTTTATACGAGCCCTCACCCCTTTAGTACTCATGTGCCACAAAAACTTAAAACTCATCACAGTTCGCTTGCAGATCTAGTTCCAGCTGGGCGGCACACACCTGTTGCTACCTTTTCTATTTTTGGGATCTATTTATTCACTGTATTTTTCAGTGTTTCTGCCCTCAGAGGCAGACACTGCCAATTTAACACGACCTACACACACCTTTAACATCTTACAAATGAAAATGTCTTATTTATTTGGTTTCTTTGTTAATTGAAACATTCGGACAAAGACCGCGGTTTCCTCCATTTTTCTGTCTTCATGCAAAGCTAACCATTTGGCTATTTTTTTTTTTTCTAGCTTCAAAATGATCCCACACATAGGAGTGTGTTATCAATCTTGAAGGAGGATGATGATTATGTACATCACTTATGAGGAGTAAAATGAAAAGCATCAGCAAGAAAAAGAAGACCAGCCTGCACACTAAGTCAATATCACATCAGCTAACTAAGACTTTTTTTTTTGTTTGCTCTGGTATCAATCTTCTCTTTCTACACATGGCAATGAGACACACTGGGTATTATTCCTTCAAAAAGGGTACAAGTTAGTACAAGAACTAGCTATGTCACCTACATCTCTTTCAGTATGACGGTCTGCTCCACCTCGTCGACGTCCATGCGGATTTTGTATTTGACATAAGGAGGGGGCTGGCTGGAATCCGGTTGGAGGTTTTCAAAGACGATGCCAGCCCAGAAGGTGTCATTCTCCAGGAGCTCCAGGGCTTTGGTCACCAGAAGACCTTCATCTGAGGCTGCCTCAAACTTATTCAGGTCCAAACACTGTCGACAAACACAGAGGATATAACCATAATGTGTTACTGTTTTATTTAGATCTATAGTATCCACATAATGGGAATAAAACAAGGGAGGGCATGAACTCACTGGCAAATGGCAGATGAATATTTAGAGAGAAAAAAGTGACACCCAGCTATAAACCAACTATGTAGAGTCTGGTTCCAAATGATGTGGAGCTGTCAGGGGTTGGCGAAATATTTTGGGCTTAAGACAAGTAAATGAGATTCAGTATTGCTAGCACTCCCTGTTCTGTGGCTTTGTCCCCCTGTTTCATGAGACGATAATGAGCTAGCCATCCTGGGAGGCAGTCACACCTGACAGCTGTCCACACATCTCGGCGCCGCAGTGGTTTTCTCGTTTCTCCCCACAGGATCGTCTGGTCTTTAGTCTATATCGGGCTACGGTTTGGAAACTGAGCTATCACAGTAACGACTTAAGTTCAGTGCAGTGAGGGTATCGCGGCAGGGGACTGGTAAGTTCATTCAAAAGTTGGGACAACTTCGGGAAATAAACAGGAGAGAAAAAAAAAAAGCTTGTTTTGAGCGACTTGTTAACATCCGCATAAATAGCTGATCATTGTTGGTCGTAAATTTTTTTTTTTTTGACTGTTCTGCCGTCTGAGCTGGCCAGGACATGATGCTGAAGATATTTCTAATCTTAACGAACCTTTCCTAGTCAGTAAAGATTAAATAAACAAATTCTCCTAATAATAGTACGCTCTAATTATTATTTTCTTCTGAGTCAAAAAAGAAGATAATTAAATGTATAAAAAATAAGCCTGGTTTGTTATTTCATTGCATTTCTTTGCCTTTGAGGTAACGTGTCTGCTCACATATCTGCTCTAAGTTCATGGTGAAAGCATTCACTCTTCAGGCCTTGACATATAGAGACTCACTATTATCCTACAGACGCATACAACTATATAAAATGGCTCCATCATAAAGGTTGTCTATGACCGTCCCTTTCTTGGTATCCATCCCGAGCATAGCAATTTCCATTAGGGCTGAAAATAGATTACATTACGTTGGAATTTCATTGGCCGTGTAGGGCTAACCCCAAGGGTCCACCTGCCATCTTACCTGCCTGTGGATTGATGGTATGTGTACGTGTGTGTGTTTGGGTTTGTGTGTATGAAAGCATGGCAGGGGCAGTGGGTGGGCTTTGTACATGTGTTTGATCACACCGCACAGAGAAAGAGGGTTTTCGCTGCAAACTGTGCCACAGATCAATATATCAATGTCAACGGTGTGTTTCCTACTTAGAGACACCACTGTGTTTGATGCCTGCACACATCCACTGTTGTCAAGCCTGTAACAATGTTTTTGGGTTGTTTTTTTTTGTATGATTATCGTGGAAGCAATGCAGTGACAGATCTCCCTGTGTGTTTGACAGTTTGCAAAGTCAAGGATATTAAAGTTTAATGAATAAAGAGCAGAGCTGTTTCTTGCTTGTTCTGTAAAAAAGGATAACGGCTGACAGAGTGAGCGAGGTACAAAAAAATATATAGATGACATGGGGAGAAGTCTTGATTTTGGTTTAAACATCAGTAAAGCACAGATACAGCAACAAAAAAGCGCTGTGCCTAACATTGGATACAGTGTGCGTTAGAAGCAAAGCACCATGCTTACATGCTGCAGCACCCTGTTGTGAGTTGTGTCAAAGTCCCGATCACAAAGATAAAGGAACAAATGAAGGAGCAGCAATTATGCAAAGGATACCAATCGTCTGCTGAATGGCTTTCTTCAATCTTTACGTTCAAGTATGTGTGGTAACTGAACACTTCAATTGCTGTTTTTTTACAGACAGAAACTACTATTTCAGTCGCTCTGAAAAATAAATGGTAATCTCTTGTTTTTATGTATAACATGCTACTGGAGTTTTTCAGAATGGATCAAGTTGACTCATGAGGATCATTTCTTACAGCTCCTGTTAGGAACTTTTGGTTTAGTGTCATTTTTTGGCGCCCCCTGTGGAGAAAGTGGTACCTCTTACCTCTTGCTGGTCTCGTACTGACAAAAAAAAAAAACTCCTCCTGTTTTCACTTAGCAGTATCACTCACTGTGGCCATGGAACATTTTTTAAATTAAAAAAAACATAAATAAAGGCCTGTTTCTTAGCTTGTCATCAATCTTCTTGTTTGACACTTACACCCAGCAGTGGTTACAGGCATTACCAGTAACATTAAAGAAGTAATCAATCTTTTTCTGATGGTCTCGTTTGCTTTTGAAGGTCGTAGGCATCTTTTTTTTAATTTCGGTCTGTTTCATGAGCAGTGAAAACATTGTCGCAGGAGCCTTAAAAAAAAAGCCCAAAACTATGAAAATATATCTAATAATATCAGAATTGCTCAACTTATTTTCAAAGATAGATAGCTTTCTTTGAGTATTTTAAAGGTCATGCAGTTCTTGTTCTAACGCCATCTCTAACCAAAGAAAGCACATGGGTATTATCAGGTGAATCAGACAAATAACAAAGAAGTGAGAAGCTAAAAGAGAACAGAGGCGGGAGGGCAGAGAAAATAATGAATTACCAATTTCCTCAGCAGAGAGAGTTTTGCTTTAGAAAATCTCAAATGTCAAAGAACAGCCAGTTGTTGTTTTTTAAGTAATCCAATTTCTCACTATGTTGAAGAGGTCACAGAACACTACGGTGCATGAGTGGGCAAGAAGCCAGGTTCACAAGGTGCTTTGCAAACGCAGAAAACAAAAGAGTTACTTACACCGAGGAACTTGGAGAGAAGCTTCAGCATTTCGGTTGTGGTGTTGTACAAATCCCGCCAGTCTTGGGGCGGCATGCCGGGTGGACGGTCCTCTGGGGGCCCGTTGTACAGGAAGTTTTCCAATTGCTCAGCAGTCCATGCTGTGCCGCCTAGACCCTGGTTGAGGGCAATGGCAAACACTGGATTGGCCAGCAAAGCCTGAATACAACAGAAAACGCAAAAAGATTGTATTATCTAGGAAGTATGGGTGGTCAGATTCAAATAACTTTTATTAATACTATTTTAGAATATCTGAACAACATATACATATGCTATATGCTTATAATTCTTATTGTATCCCTATATAATGTCTGTATATTGGGTTGTATACTTCTTTTATTATTTCCTATATTTCCTCATGATTTTATTCTGCATAAAAGCTATTGCAAAGCACACATTTTCCCTTGAAGGAAAAATAAAGTATTAGTGATTCTGATTCCTCAATCACAGGACAGAATCATATATTTGGCTATGAAGTCCATTGAGAGGCTGGTGTTGAGCCACCACATGGACATCTCAAGCCCCCTGATGGACCCCTGCAATTTGCCTATCGGACAAACAGGTTGGTGAATGATGACGTCAACATGGGGCTGCAATAAAGCCTGCATCACCTTGACTCATCAGGGATCTATGTAAAGACTGAGAGGAGGAAGCAGGTGAGGCTGGGGAGTATCACATCCAGCACCCTGACAAATCAGCATTAGCACCCCCCAGAGGTGTGCACCCACCTCCGGAGAGCCTTCTGTTTAACTCCTGTAGTTTGCAGACAGCGTCACTGTCATCCGCCTCAGCCGGGAAGGTGATGAATCCACATGCAGACACCAAGCCCTCTGTGTATTTAAAACCATCTGGAGCTGAACCTCTCAAGACTGTGGAGATGACCGTGGACTACAGGAGTGGTTTGGATATGCCACCAAACAGAACAGACATGTCTGCAGAAAAAAATCTGTATCAACCTGCCCTCCATGCAGGACTTATAGGAGTCCAGGGTCAGGAAACGGGCAGGTAACATCCCTGATTACGAGGCTTATCATGGTACCAGAATTGACTGATCAGGAGACTGATCATTGTTACTGATAATACTACATGTATTTTCCCCATAATTACTGGTTTCGTAATATGAATCTATTTCATTTACTGATGTTGTTGTTGTTGGTGGAAGTAGAAGTGAAGTATGAAAGTAAATACAACACAAAATCCTGCCTCTACAAAAACATTCATGTAAATACACGGAACAAAACAAACACACAAAACCAAGGGGAACAAAAACAAATGCTAATTTCTTTATCTGATTTCTTTTGTTTATATGACAAACGTTTGAAACATACTCAGGCCTCGGTCAATCACCTCAGGTCATGAATCAAACTGCAATTTCTCTAATCATGCGCTAAATGAAATCAATATGCTGATGTGGGAGCAAATATAACCCGGCTGAATCCCCATAGTCCATATTGAATAAGCATTACATGAATATGTATATGTATTATTGTGGAGTGGAATAAATAGTTCTGAGCTCTTAACACAGTAGCGCTTGCATAATAAGGTTATTTTACTCCCACCTGTTTGATTAAATGTGTTGCCCTTTATTTAATTGTTCCCCTCACTCCCACCCAGGATTTTCTATCATTTTAAGCTGCTGGGAAATTCACCCCCAATTATTAACATAACACCGAATGTTCCTGTAATGACAGTGCAACTCCATAAACTTAAAATGAACTGATTAAAAGCTTGTTGAGTACACAAAGGAATGCTGAAAAGGAAACTTAACCCGCTAAGAGAAGTTAATTAACTCATCACGTCCTAACCAGAAAAGGGACAAATGAAAAAATATCCTCTAAATGTGGAAAACCAATCATACCAGTAATTGAATGCACAATGTTGGGGAAGTGGAGGCCAGCGTACTCAATTGGGATTTCAGTGTCAACACTTGCGATGGTATTCTGCTCAACATTAGTAGAGTAACATTGAAGTGATGTCTCTCAGAAAGGTAGCGTTCCCCTGCAAAACTGTCCAGCTGACAGCAACCTTAAACGATTGAATAACGCCGATTAGAAGTGGATACGCCACATCCGTTTCTCTTGTAGTTATGAAGAAACAAGCAGCTCCAGAATTCTGGGTCATGTAGTATTAAACTGCTGTTGCTGTTACCATGGCAACCGAGGCTGTCGCAGATTTGACCAGGACTGAAATATTTAGATTTGACATCTAAAATATGTAAAAAAAAAGAAAAAGAAAAAAAAAGCTGTATCTTTAAAGACATTTCGTTAACAGTGTGTACATCTTTTCAGCTCCACATTGGGAGCTATCTCAGATGTAGCCGTGGTGGTGACGGTAATTGGTCCATGAGTGTAAAATGTGTCTGCGACCTTGAAGGACCTCTGAAGATGACAAACCTCCACAGCCACCAGCTTCGTAGTGTGGGGCGGAGAGGGAAAGCGGCGGGCTGGGAGAAAATGAAGACAAAGGAGGATTGCCGGCCCATTTGTGTAAAGGTTAGGGCTAGGGTAATGAATACCCTGGCTATATGGAGCTCCCGATGTCTGCTTCCCTCCAGCTGCCTATAAGCTCATTTGGAGTGACACTGGAGTAATGTCAGTGTCAAGGAAATACAGCGAGAGGCAAAGAGGAAGGGAAGGAGAGAGGGAGGGAAGAGTCTCTGTCCTCTACCTTCTATAGATAATCCTTTCTGCCAGGATGAAAATTATCCTGCACTTATCCATAATTACTTACCTCCCTCGGTTTCCATTTCTAACAGACGGTGCAACAAATTGATATACACGTAGCATATATTCTTACTTGCACTAAATATAAGTCTCATCATTCTCTTTTTACTGATTTTCTCTTCAGAACTGGATTGGATTGAAGGATTTTTTTTTTTTTTTTTATCCACATGCAAATTCAAAAGTTGTTTGTCTCAGCCTTACCCGCACTGCATTGACTTGAGTGCTGTTTTGAAGGAAGTCCCAGACACGTGGCCCGAGCTCATCCCAGGAATCTGCCAGTTCTTTTAGCATGGCCAAGGCGTTGAATGTGCTGTTCGCCTGGAAAAAAAAAACAACAACAACAACAACAAACATTGAAAGCTTGCGTGGGAGTTTCATGTAACTGTTAGGAAACAGGCTGAAATTATTTTCGGTGTCGTTTTTATGAACTACAAAAGCAAAGGAGACCATCAGCATGAAGAGGGACAATTTCTATATTTTTTTTTATTTGAAATGCCTGAAAACACTACTGAAGGGTCAGTGCACACTGCAGACACTGCTTGATTCTACATTTTCCACTGCAAATGATCTCAATGAGAGACAAACGTGACCGTATAAAGAATGCAAGAATGACTTTTTTTTTTTATTGTTGAGGAATACTTCTACTGCATTTACAGGACAAGTTCAGTATGAATTATAAGAGATACTGCTCTGTCCACAGGGGGCGCCAAAAACAAAACAAACAGAAAGTTCCTCACAGGAGCTTTAAACAGATACTTTACCTTCCCCTGACTGAGAGAATATTCACTGAGCAGCTTCTGTTTCGCTCTGAGCAAATCCAGACATGAAAGCACTTCACATCTGCACATTTCAGCTAATCCCTGGAGGGACTCATCACATTGCAACACTGCCACCCCCCCTGTGGTGACTAATGTAAATGGGGTTATTTACCCCCGAACACTGACTTGTAAACAATCCGACGATGTCTGGAGTGAAACAGGGGTACTCCTCCGCCAGCACCGGGCCTCTTGCTGTGAACTCATTATGTATTCGCGTTGCAAAAACCTCCCTGCCTGCCTGATGTTTGCTTTGTTTATGGAGTTATCCAAATGATGCTAATATCTTGGAGAAATGTCTTGTCATGAAAATAGATCAGACTCGCTGCAGCCTCCTGACAAACGATTGTATTATTTTCATTTTCTTCCCCAGGTGGTAATTCTGTGTGACATCAGTTGTTTTTCTTTCCTCCACTGAGGGCTTCTTCCCATTTCACACAGTTACTGATTCAATTACTGTTACAGGCATGACCCTGAGCATACAGGATATTCAAACATTACTCCAACAAGAGGAGATATCAGTTAAGACTTAGCCATATCTGCTACATCTCAGGAACAAGAGAAGTCCTTGTGTGCACGCCAAATATATTGCATTTTTTCAACCTAGACTTGCCTCCTTCACAATGAGGCGAGCAGCAGGTGTATCGGGAGCGTAGAGGACCTTCCCCTGCAATAACGGCCTGAAGGTGCTCCAAATCACGCGCAGACCAGGTGTGCCCTCCAGGGTGTCGACCAGAGTCTGACAAAAATCATCTGTAGGAGAGACGAACAGAGGGGAGAAGACGGGAAATGTCAAGGCAGGAGCAAGAGAACAGCACTGGAATTCTGCATGTTGTGGGTCTTTCCTTTACGTATGCTCTTTCACAGGAAAGTTAAAGTGGAGTAAAGCGTGGTAATACCTGTAAGAAATCATTGAATTTCCAACAGGGAAGAAGAAAACATGATAAATATTGCACATGAGCTTGAAATTTATATGCGGCTACCATAGAAATCAATGTCAGGCCGGTATGAGAAAATATAAAGATAGTAGGAGCACAAAGCATACATTATTACCTGTGAAATTATATTCATAACTTCACTTTACAGAAACATGTAACATATAAGAGAAACCACGGGCCTAAATGGCACAGTCAGGCAATAAACGGAATACAAATTGAAGTGTCTGAATCCAGCTCAAGTCACAAGCAACAATGATCCCAAAAGCTGCAGGATAAAACGTTTATCATGCATGTTGCAATTTATAAGGCAAGAAAAAAAGGAATAAAGGTGCTGATTAGAACATAGCTCATCCAGTTTAGACCCCGAAAAAATATTGATGTAAACACTACACTTCAGAATTTAGAGCTAGTATTTATAGACGAATCCAACCACTCAGGTGTGGAGCCTATGGGTCATTGCAGAGGGGGCGGGGCCCTTAAACTGTCTATAGGCTATATAGCATATGCTGAAGCCTATATAGTAATATAGTATAGTATTTATGGTATAGTATCGGCTGTATGGAGATACAAGACGGGGCGGGACGAAGAGAAATGCCGCTGCAGATTACAAAGGGTGCTATTACAGTGACAGGGACTTATCAGTGAGTGACCTGCTGATGTTTAAGCAGAACAAGTGCTGATAATATCTGTGCGCATATTCCACCGATTAAACAAGTAAAGCAGACTTCATTATCCGGACGGGAAACCAAAGATAGAAGGCAACTACAGTTTGGCATTCAGTGAAGTTGGACGCTCATCCAGCCACACAGCCAAACAGACAATACAATAAAACCCACATTATCAACCCACACACGACAACAAACTTTGGCACTCAACGTGGCCCTCAGGTCAATTTTTACACATCAATTAATTGGAAACATGAAGAAAACATGACAAAATCTGCCATGAAATCATGAAAACTAGAAACATGTCCATAATAATATTTCATCACTGGTATATGTTGAGTTAAATTTGAGATATAATTGACTGTATTCATTTTTGTATACTACAATTTGGCCCTCTGGCAGTGAGAGTTAAATCAATGTGGCCCTTGCTGTGACCAAAGTTGCCCCATCCCTGTTGTAGTGTCCTGTTTAGGGATTCATTTTTTGAAGTGAGGAGGACTACAAACTTGTGAGCTGGTGTGTTTTCTGTAGCTCTGTACTACTCCGCCTACAAACAGTAGATGGCACTGCCATTTTCCATGCTAGTTGTATTGCAATTTTCTGCCTCCGCCACATTCTCCACTTTGTTTGTATACAGGAAACCATGGCGACTGAAACCGAGCATATCATGTCGGAGTTGGAGATGAAACACATTGAGCAGCAAGTTGGTTACACTGCAGTTATTTCAAAGAGGAAAAGGAAAGAAAGGAGAACTCAGAGGAGATGAGGAGATGGAATGTACGGGATTGGAATGGAATGGATGGAATGTTCAACTGGAAAGCATCGTTAGGTCAGACGACTAGTCAGCCCACAGTAAGCACACAGAGGTTCATCATACAAAGAACAACGTTTAGATGTGCTGGACAGGCTACGCACGTTGTCTTCTGATAAGGTACAGGGCTCTGGAAACTACAGCCTAGATTCCACACAGAAGTATAAATCATAGTTACAAGGTTAAGTTCCACTCTATTCAGTAACTGTCAGTATTGAGCAAAGTAGTTTGAACACAAAAGAATTCAAAAAGCCCAACTAAAAGGGTCGAAAATTGCAATTACTTTTTTGTAAGAATGATTTTTCTTCTTTCAGTTTGCCGTTGTTACGAGAGCTTGCTTTCTAATGTATCTATTGACACATATCAAAGCTGCTTGTTCCTTAACAAAGAAGTAATGTTCCTGAGAATATCCTACCTGAGTTCATTAAAAGAAAACTCAAAGATTTTCTTATTTATGAGGAAGCAAATCATGGCCAGTTACTGGGACATTATTATGCATAACCAACCAAGAGAGTTTCAGAGTGAATGTATCTATAAAAAGTTTGAAAGTAAAAATGCACAAGCAGAAGAAAAACACAAGCCAAGAGTTCAGACCTGAGTACATAAGGACAAGTTTGTGTGGAGCAGAGGAGAAAAAAAAAAAAGTCAAGATGCTCAGCGGCGGTACGATCATTACTAATTTAACGTATCTGCCAACGTGGATATTGCCAGGTTGGGAGAGTGATGAATAGGTTACGTGAGGACCCGCGCTGCATGCAACCTCATGCTTGGATTGTTCTGGCTTTGTTATGACTGAAAATATGTGATTCCTGCTGTGTGGCAGTTAATCAGACAATTGATCAGTCCAGTGTGTCTCCTGCGAGTCAATATGACCGTCTGCCTTTTTGATTTGGAGATAACGGCCCCTTTATTGGACACGTGTCATTGCATTAGTGCCGTCTCCTGTCCTTTCCTTTACGTCTCCTCTGTCAAGACAAGCAAGAAAACCTCCCTCCGTCCAGCTCTCCCTCTCATCTCACCAGGGCGACCCTTTCTCCCATCAGGGAGATTTTAGCGGCCATTTTCAGTGCAATTAAATGTTAGCCTTTCTGCCTGCTGGCCATCTTTCCCAGGTGCTCCTGGGAGGTGTGTGAGCGGGGCAGCTAATGGCTACTCCTTAGTCTGAGTCTGACCAGCTGTTCCCTCCACAGACTGCACAGATGCCACTTCCTGCAAATATAACGCTTAAAAGACAGGATGTGTGCGCGCAATGGTTCAGTAGTTCTCTGCGATTATAGAACAGAATAGAATAGAATTACTTCATTGATCCCAAACTGGGGAAATTGTGGAAATTAATTAAGGGTCAGTTAGAAAAGAGATTTCTAATATCTGACAAAAAAAACAGAAACTTTTCTATGATGTATTACAAATGCAAATGATCTGTATTAAGTATCTGAATATTTCTATTAAACGTTATTGAGTTTTTGTGTAAAATACTAGACTTTCTCAACTTTCTAGGCGTCCTAAAATCATTCTAAAAGAAATGAAAAGGAAAAGTTACTCTTTTGTTTGACCGTTGCTTTTTGACCACAGGTGAAATGTTCACACACGTAAGAACATCAAAGCCTTTTTTTTTTCTAACACAGGCTGTTTAAAGCATGAGTTTTAAACCTCACTGTCTGTGTAAAAAAAAAAAAAAAGTAAAACGACAGAATGGTGGTAGAGCAGTAACAACGGTGTAACAGAGACAGGTTGTTATAGCCCTTGTGTTGTGTATGTGAAACTTTTGCTTTTTCTATTTTTACTTGTTTTATTTTTTTTACAAGAAACGCCTTTTCTGCACTTTGACAAATATCACACTGGGACAGCAATATGAGGGTGCTGTGATAAAGGACCTTTTCAGCGGTGTGGTTGCGGCCTCTGTTTATTGTATTTCCTTCATGCTAAAACCTGTTGCAGGCATGCTTTCTATTATAATACAGTAATCTTGATTGAGCAGCCACTGTAAACCTGGTTTCGGTGAACCTGGGCATTATATATACTTTTGTGTTTCCGTCACATTGAATCCTTCCACATGTTGAGGAGATTATGAAAATAGACAGCAAAAAAAAAACAACTTGCATGCTGATGCCAATTACAAACACAAAGAATCAAGAATTCTAGTCAACTAGTCAACTATAGAGTATGAATAGAAATGGCGGGGTCAAATGCATACCACTTACACTCCGGGTATCTGTGTATCAAGGGGAAGATAGATCTGATTTTGATGTTCTGTGTGCTAAAGAGAGCATCAGATTACAGGGGTTGCACATTCTCGAGAGGTGTGAGCTGTGCGGTTCTCTCCGACAACAGATCTTTACTTTATTACAAAGCAGCGATATGAAAGAACAAGAGAATCTGTTCTCTACAACAGGTTTAGCCACAGTCAAATAATTGCTTGGAGCCTCAAGTTGGCCCCTCAACTTACCTGGCAAATTTAATCAATTTGAGTTGCACCCTGGAGATGGGCTCAATTTGGTCTATACAGTGGGACAGTGCAGTCAACACACAGCACATGCTGGTTCTACACACACACACACACACACACACACACACGCACACACACACACACACACACACACACACACACACACAGTGTCTCGCAACTACATGTGCAGACTTGCACACTGAGAAGGATATTACTCGAGATTCTTATTATCCATGTTTCATACCAATTCATGCAATGCACTCAGACAGACAGATGCACACATACCTCATGTTTATTCACCTAATTTGACACACCAGGCTGAAGTGGACTACCCCATGCATCGAAAAAGCAACATTTATATCGAGCAAGCAGGATAAATTAAGTGCCGTCTTACAGAAATCCAACAGAGTCAAATAAGCGTGAATAAACATCACTGAAGTCTCTCGTAAGAAAGAGAAAGAGGCTGCGCTGACATTCAATAGTTGGAGGAGAGTGAAGATGGACACATCTTCTGACCAATACAGCTCTAGCATATATCAGTTAAGATAACCCAATTACTCAGGAGAGAATAAAATGGGTCTTGAGAAAATTGTAAAACATTAGGAGCAATGTCAGAGAAAATCACAGCAAAGCAAACGAGACATTCTAAATAAAACAGGGAAGGTTGTTTTTAAATGACCACGAGATGTGATTATTGGAAGGGTTGATTTGAGTACAGATTTTTTGGTATGGCTTTAGGTCAAGTATAATCAGCAGCTTTTCAGCTTTGGCTCATGGCACTTCGACTGTTCTATCTGCAGGGAAAAGAGAGCCAACTCTCTTAAATCCTCCATATGGTACAGAATAGCGACAATGAGGGAAACTCAGTACAATGAGCTGACTAGAAAGGGTTCCAAAATCAATGATAAAATATCTTTAACCACATTTATCCAACAGAGTATAACTGACATGCTGCGTGATGTAATCACTTCCCATTTCTGCCAATCTGCTTGGGCAAATTTAGCGGTAACAAATTAATTTATGATCATGGAAGAACAGTTACCACTCAAGCTATTCCGTGTGGTGACTCGGAAGTTTTTCTTTTTCAGTCAATGATTAATTAGGAAGGGAATGTTTCAGAGACGTTAAAGAAAACATCAGTGTTAGCCTTTATTAGTGTTATTCCACTATTCCTTTGAGTGTTCTTTCTCATTTACAAAACAGTTGTAATTGGCCATTACGCAGACACTCTGCATCTTCCACATTCACTTAAGTGTACATAGAGCGATCCATTGAAATGCCAAGGCGAATCCAAAAAAGCCATTAGCATGCTAACGGAGATGTTGGTGCTTTTTATTTTTTTATTTTTTTTATGGATGATACAATGTTTAAGCTCATTTGCTCTGGCACTTGCATGCAATTCCACTTTGCAGTGCAACTTTATTTCCAGGGAATTGAGGTCTTCTTATTAAAATCTAATTCTGTGCGGTTGTCTCTGAAGAAAAGACATTTAATGAAACCGGAGTGTGAGGTCTCTTACGAGCATCAGCCTGCATGAAGTGAAGCTGAAGAGATCATTCACGAGGATTTCTTGGCACAAACATATTGAGCGATGTTCAAATGTTCATGTGCATTGTATCGTAATGTATTCTTCCTGAATTATTGTTGCGTGTCTTTATGTTCCCCAAGTATGATTTCTGTACATTTCATTAATAGTCCAGTACAGTGTCGGGATGTTTTACAGTGTAAAAACCAAATAAAAAAATGCAGGTACATTTATAAATAAAACTGTACATAAGATAAATATATTTATAATTCTATATGTGTGTTAGGGTTTCATTTATATCCATTTCAGCAGACACATTTAAGGAATCTTGTGAAAACTAAATGTGTAAAAAAATATTCAGCCACAAACTTTAAAAATCAGTTATAACAAAAGTTTTTTCCCATGTGTGGAAAGCTACCCCACCTTTATTGATTTAATATAAAACTAAGTATACGGTAACAGGTGCAAATGATAAAACGTTTAACTTTTGAGGGTCAAACCCATTCATCAAAACCATTCACAAGATCAGGTCTAAACATTCAGGTGCTTGATAGTAATCCATAACCAGTTTTCCCCCTGTGGTCTCCTCAAGTCCCTTAGATGAAAATATAAAAAACTGACATTCTACAAGTGAAGAGACTTTCAGACTGCTGCCATTCTGTTAGGATAAGGTCATCGTCTTTCATCGATTTACTTCAAAACGCTCGAAAAGGTTCTTCCAGCAAGTCCAGGGTAGAACGAAATGATTCAGAGTCGGCTCTCTGAAATGATACTGTGAAAGCATGAGTCAAGTGTAACTCAAATATCACCTGAACGACAGCGAGGAACACTTCACAGGACAACACTTGGGTGAAGAATAACACCAGTACAGCAGTGCATTCTGGACCATGTTAGGTAGCGAAATATTTCCTTTGAGAATGTCAGACTTCACCGTTGTAAAAGCATCATACTATATTTCACACTACCGCTTTTGGCCTTACCAGGACACTATTAACAGCACATGAACTTTTGTGGAACTTAGCACTTTTCTGCTGGAACCAGGATTTTAAAAAAGTTCCAGGGGCTTAGTTTTAAACGCAAAAAATGTACCTGATCTGGGGTAGAACTATAGGTATGCAAAACAATGCAATTTCCTCATTGACACAACAGGAATATTCCAAATAAAGACATCGAAAAAGTCTGAGTCTATGTTTTTTCTTATTGTAACACAATAAGAAAAAACATTGACTCTACGAGTTATAGCTAATGTGCCTACTTTCAATTTTTCTTTTCATTGCACTTGATTTCTAATCGCACGATTGATCATTCTGATAATAAAACGTAAAACAAAACTTAAAATACTTTTTGAGTCTCCTGTGCATAGGCAGAACTTCTGAAAAAGTACCTGGACTTGGATTGGGCCTTGCATTGCTGAACATTGCTGATTGATGGTGTACAGGTTTGGCTTTGTAAAACATCAACAAGCTCATTTTCCAATTCTTCATGGGTCTTGTGACCTTGTTGAATACACAGACATTAGGGGGCTGGAGGAACACTTTAGGACCTAGCACTAAAATCCCCAGGAACATTTGGTGGAAAGGCGACAAAAGATTGCTCAAGAATAAGCAGTCTTAAGCATGGATGTACTGTTCCTGACCCCATAAAGTTACAGGGCCATGAGTAATCTTTCCTCTGTTCTTAGAACTGACTGATTTAAATTACAACCATGTTTTATGTATGTACAAAGTGCGTACTTTACTTTGATATAAAGTCCTCGCCCATGAGACAGACTCATATTCGTTTGAATCACACTTTGATGCAGTAATGCAAGAAAAGCAGAGTGCACTGGGTAGGATCAAAGATTCATATCGGCGATCCTTTATTTCTTTTATCCACAAATCTTTTAGAATTTATATTTCCTCTTTTATCAGTTTAATCCTTGAAGCAATGAGGAGGCTTTTTCACCTACAACCATACTGAATGTGGGTGGTTCTGTTCATAATTTCAGTGCAGTGTGAATATACCACGCTTTCTTTTAATTAAGCCACCTGGAATACATCTTTCATTAGTTCAACAAGGATACAACAGAGCATACCACTCTGCAGGACACTGTATCAGGTCACTGTGGATGTTCCCTGCATATCATTAGAAGCACAGGAGACAATGACATCCTGGGATTTATTTGACCTAGCGATTTAGACAGCTTTAGAAAGTTTTAAATGCAAGACTGAACACCATCAGTGCTGCCTTTTCTCAAAAATCTGTGCCTGGTTCTTTGAAATCAATACCACATTGGGGAATTTGGCTACAAATGCTGACAATATGGCTGCCCGGGTGGTATTCTCGAACTGATTAGCACAAAATACCAGTTTAGAAGACAAAAAAAAAGTGTTTCAGTGACACCATCTGTCCTCTGTGAGAAGTTTGGGCTGCCATATGTTCATATTTAGGATGTAATACATTCTCGCCTTGTGACTCTGCAAAATCCAGACAACAGCATCAGCTTCCCACTTGGGAGAAGTTGTTCTGGACTTTTATTCTCCATTAAGAAAACAATATTATGTCGGGGTGGGGAGTGCACAGAGAGAAGAGCTGATTTGATTGGCTGATTTGATTCGATTGATGCCAGCCCCAAACACAGCCACCGATAATGAATTCCTAATCAAACCCAGTTTCCAGCTCAGGCAGCGTTGCCAACTGTGCCACAGGTGCAGGTTTCCTGCATGTGCACACGTAGGCACATCCTGTGAACCCTGCACTGTTCCCTACACTGTGTACCATGCACCATTAATTTGTGAAATTGGGGATAATTGTTCTATTTTTCTCATCTCAATGCTTGTTGAGAAAAACTGGGTTTTGCATTAAATGTGTCTTTGCAGGAACATATTTACTCGTAATTTTTGAACAATTGCAACACATCTAACCTAGAAATATACTTTTTCTTTATGCCACACTAGCAAGAGGTTCATAGGTTTCACACTGTTCTCTATATATATTCGTCAAAACAACACAATTCTGATTTGATGAGTTATCATAAATGCCATCATCTGCATCACATAGCGATCAAACCTGCAACATGTCTGCAACATTACCAAGTAATGCTCACTGGTTTCCAAACATATCATTCATTTTGTCCATTTCCTAGTCATAACTACAAACAGAACTCAATTGACAAATACTGTTGCACTGACCTGAACTGTTGCCCATTGTGGACAGTAAATTGATGTTTTCCATCAGGCCAGATGAGCGTGAACTGACGTACATGTTGGTGGAATTGAAATCGGACTGCTTCTCACACAGAAGCATATTCATACTGCCCATCATGTTATTTTGGAAATCCAATGAGCTAGCAGCCTTAAATATCATAGAGTTCTGCAGCCTGGCCACCTAGAGGAAGGAAAGTATACGTCAAGTATTGGGAGAGAAACAGTTGAAAAAAAAAAACAACCAAAACCTCAATTACTGTAAAAGACAAATAGGTAAATGTACCTCCTCAAACACTGGTTGTGCATCTTGTGTAGTTTTCCTCAACAGTGCTGCTGTGTCTATTGCATTAAGATCCAATGATGCCGGAAGCTGAAGAAGATCATGAAAAAAGGGGGTTTCAGCTTTAACATGAATGACCAAAACATAACATAATAATAACATAACAAATACATTGTGTAAACTCGCATCGAGTGTCAAGCAGAGGCTTTATAAGGAGTGCCTGACGAACGACAAAGTTGAAAAATGTATGGGAGTTACAGGTGCAGAAAGACAATAATGAGGGAGAAAAGAAGGCTAAGAGAGGAATGCAAAGGGACAAGTAAGAACCAAAGCAGTTTCCCTTAGATCTGTTCGCTTAACTCAAATCACACAGCTCTTTGTAACTGAGGCCTCAAAGTGCTGTTTGTGTTTCTTCTTCTCTAACAAGGTAAGCTGATTGAGAAAAGTAGTCGTTCATAATTACATTAGCGTCTGCAGCTCTAATGATGTAAAAGTGTGAACTGCAATTAAGATGTTTCTGTAAAAGACTGAGCAGACAGCGTTACTTTGGAATGACTTGTTGAGCTCCACATCGGTTTAAATGAACTGCCTTTCTATGGATTCTCAGATCATATCCAGGAACACAAACACGATGTTTTTCGGAGTCGATGTCTAAATGTTACTCAGTGATAAACCCTGACGTCCTCCCTTGTCCCTGTCTTTATGTTGTTGTTCTTATCACGATCATTCAGCTTCGTCAAGCTGTAAGTGTGAAGGCTTGATGTTCTCTTCCATCCATTTGCTCATGGCACTCAAGAGTTTCTCCCTCCTATCTTGTCTGGCTTCTCCTTTCTCCCCCCCCCCCCCCCCCCCCCCCCTGTCTGAAAATGCCTGTGGGCTTTAATTGTTCAAATGCTCCCGCCGACGAACTTCCTGCCTTATCACTTATTTATTGGATTTGCTGTCCCGTATATTTCCCCTCAAAGATAAACTGGAAGAGAAGTGCGGGCTTTCATCATCCCAAAGGAAACTCAGAGATTTAAAAGAATTCAGGAAAACATTGGTTCTAATAAATAATTCCCACCTGATTGCGTGCATTCGAGTAAAATCACTTGAAGACACGGAGGTGCACATGAGCGTGACAATTTTTAAAAGCTCAGACAGTGTGGGAGAGAAAATGACTTCTCACTTCAAATGGATGAAACAAAAACACATTGAGATAATGGGGAAGGAATGAAGTATTGTGGTAAGGTTCGGCCTTAAAGTGGTTAGCATTTTTTTTTTTTTACTTTCAAAGATACTTCTTCTTCTCTGTACGTCAAGGAGCCAGACAAGCAGAAAATTTAATTTTTAAATGGTTAACCTCAATTTTCTAGCAGAGCCAATTGAGGTTAACTGTGTTTTTGAATTCAATTCACTACAAGCCATGAAGGATTTAAAGTTAGGTAACAGAGCGTGCACCTACAATACCTTTTAAGCTGTAATCAAGCTCATCTAAGGAGATTTTAGCTGGTAATAAAACTGAAATGAATAGTGACGCCTCCGAGACCATCAGTATGAAGCTGAAGAAAATTATTTCATGAAGTTGCTTTAATGTCTGACATCACAGCGTAGGGGTCATTACAAGTGATTAACTGCACACTGCATCCTTATCATTTAATTTACCATAACAAAGATTCTCGATGAGTGATACACTGTTAAAAAACAAGAGGATTGGTGAGCAGAGGGGCTAGAGTTAGTGTGCACACCATGTACTGAGGCTTAAGTCTTAGGTTAGGAGCCGACCTATATATATACCCACTGTCCTATCTCTGAATAAAAGGCATACATAGTCAAAAACAGAAAAAACAGGATGATTGGGGCGCAGATGGCCTAGCTGTTAGGTTGCATCCAACGTACAGAGGCTTGTCTCCAGGCGGGCAACCCGGGTTTAAGTCCAACCTGTGGCTCATTTCCAGTCTGCTGTTGCCCACTCTCTCCCCCAGTTTCCTACTCAATCCACTGTCCTATCGATAAAAGGCTTAAAGCCGAAAAAAAAAAAACATCTTAGACATAAACAGGACAAATGTCCACAAGGGGCGCCGCAATCGAAACAAAGTGAAAGTTCCTCACAGGAGCTTTAAGAGTGCTGTTTATTCCACATGACTCAATTTTAGGTGATTACCTTTCATGACTCTAACACAGAAGATTCTAGATACAACTTGGCATTTTGGAACATCACAAAACCCCTGCAATACCTTGGAAATGTGTTTTTTCTCGGGAGTAAATTTCACAATATGGCACCAGAATATTAACAACTTTTGCATCAACTTCACTTAGAACAGGGCAGCTGAAAGTTCTCCCTCAATGGTTCACTGAGCTTGACAGAAGCACACATCTAACCCCCTCACTAACGAGCCTTAAAAGATCTTTAAGAAACCATTTTGGGTCAGCAAACAGGAAATAACAAGTGTTCAGCAGAGCAAAATAACTATCTATGTTATTGTGGGAAATATGATGTTCATGTATATAGCCATAGCGGTCTCTGGAGTTAATTAAAAATGGAGAATCTGAGATGTTCTTAAAAAAAAATGCCCCAAACATTATAAATGTAAAAAAAAAATATGAATCATTTGAAAGACCTAGTGAAAATGCACCGTGAGATATTCTCCTGTTGCATCAGCCGAAGCAGAGGCATCTCAAGAGTTTCAAACTGTCATGTTTAATGCATGCTCTCTTAGCCCGGACTGTGTGATTTGTAAGGATGCTGGATGAGGTGACCTTGCTGTGTAGGAATTTGGGCTTTATCAGACTCAGACATTATGTCCTGTATTAACAGCGCAGTGTCCTCATTAGGACAATTAGTGAAAACACAGTTTCCAAACGCATGCTCTCTTTATTTTGCATCAAATTAGTCCGATTGTGTCCTCATCATCTTCATGATGCTTATTTCCTTCAACTGTCATTAAACTCAAATCAGAGAAGCTGTGATCGTCATTGGGCGGCTGCGGGGAAAGCTCACCTCCGAAAGCACTTTCCTCTCGTCCAGGTTCTGCAGGAGAACTTGCTGGGTGTTAATCAGCTGCTGTGGAGTGAGGGAGCAGCTGACATTTTGAAATGCCTCCTTTTCAGCTTGGCTGCTAAATTGGACATACTGATCCAGATCTGTCCCCTCACACAGGATGCTCCTCAGGCTGCCTGGCCGTGGGATTCCCGTCATCTGAAAAAAGAAAAAAAAAAAAAAACAACAACAACTCTGGTAGAAGTAGACGAACAAGAGAACTTTGCATTGATTTATTCATGTACTGTGTCGTCTGTGTTGTCGTGCAGGCAGATGTTATGCAAAAATCACATTTCAAAATCAGAAGTTTTCATCAAAATTATTTTTCTGACACACAGTGCTGTTAATATGCAAAAACACTGACAGTGTCACTTGTCGCAGCAGTAATACCGTGCGGTATGAATGGCAGTAGCAGTAGCAGAGGCAGTAGAATGGCTCATAACTTCCTTTTTTTTAGGAAACTTACTTTCAGGGCACAGAGCTGAGTGTGCAACCATTAGAACGCCTCAGACACTGTGGGGATCTTTTAATCAGTGCACATTGTATTTAAGCATCCTTGTCAATGTCAGTGAAGCATAATTATCATCTCGCAGCTCATCTGATATCACTCGGTACATACAGCAGTATCAGTGGGGAAACATTCAGAGACAAGACAGCCTTATTGCAAGTTCATTTACTTCCAAATTACCTGCTGAAGACAGCTTCAAACAGCTCAAATACTTTGGTTTGCTTTGATTAACACTGTCAAGACAAAGAGTCCCACAGGCACGTCTGGCCAGGACATTTTATTCTTAAATGTTCAAGGACAACACTCTTTGAAATTAAATTAAACATTTCAATTCCATTCATTTATAGGAGAAGGTGGCAAAGCAGGCAGAGACTGTTTTTGCAGCTTTTAAAATGCAAGCGGTGTTGAGAAATGATACTCACTTGGTTTAGTTTTATCTGTGCATTCATGAGGCTTCTGACCACTTCTGGCGGCACGGACAAATTCTCGTCCAGATGATTGGAGAAAGTCTCCTTGTCTCTGAGGATAGTCCTCAGGATCACTGGTTGAGCTTAAACATAAAGATCGGAAATTAGTGCAAAGCAAAGACAGCCAACCTGACAACATGAAATGCAGTGTATAGCAGTTTTCTCCTGCAAACAGAAAACTCAAGTCTTAACTGCTAAGTTTAAGCTTCCTTATTTGCTCTATGCATGCATTTCACATTTTGCAGCCAAATCTCAAGCCTTTCTTTCCCTGTCCCCATTCTTTGTCTATCCTCCTGCATTTCCACACTCCTGTTCACAAATGAGGAATGGGTGCATGGAGAAACACATGTGAGAAGTAGGGTCGTTTGGCCTAGTGGACACCTACGCCGACCACGGAGAGAGCCTGTCGTGTAACTAATAGGACAGCAGCTCTTCTGCTGTTGGTCTAACGAAGCACCAGAGAATTTATTCTGTTGTTGAAAGGACAAGGTTAAAGATGAAGTCCCTGTCTTCAAGATCACTGTTGTGCAGCTGCTGATGTCAAAATAAACCCTTTCCTTCCTTGTTTTTTCACTTTTCAACCAGAAACATGAAATGCAGACTTGTTGATTCGGTTTTTAATGTGAGTGTAAATTATCCCTTTTAGATGACAGCTGCAATTAAATCCTTTAATGATGCAAATGAGGGTTGAACACTTGAGTTGCATGTGTGTGTGTGTGCGTGAGAGGGGAATATTTGTTTGCTAAACATGTAGCAGATTATTAAACAACCATATTCACATATTTAGCTGCCCACAGTCAGTCTGCTTTTTAAAAGGGACATCTTTAAAAACCAATTGACATAGCTGGATCCTCACATACTGTGTCGTGTGCTTGTGAGAAGATGAAGGGGGTTATGCAATTTAATTAGAGCATTTAGGCCTTCAATGAATGCAATACATGCAAGTAGGTCGATTAAGGGGATGAGAGGATGGAATGACATATGCTGAGTTAACCAAGAATCACTTAAGATAAATGTTTGGTAATTATGAATTATTCCTAAGGGATGAAACAATACATCCAACTCGCGAACACAATGCGATCCTATACAAAACGATGTGATATAAACACCGTGGGCTCTTCATGATTATTTCGCAATGTTGGGCAATCAGCTTGCAATACACAATGAATGGGCTGCCGTGTTCGTACGTCTATTTAGCTGCTGACGTAAGGGACTTGATGAAGTCAGACAAGAGAGGCCAAAAGCAGATATGGATCGCAAATCTTTTTTATCTTGCATCTTAACGCCAGGAATACATGCATCATGTATGCCTGGTCTTTGAGTCAAATGTGCAACTTGATGCAGAGCTCAAACACTGATTCCTCCTAAAAACATGTTTTTATTCCTCTCTTTTGCAGGACGATCAAGGGGGTCGGATGTGGTCATATTACAGGGGTGTAGAACATGTTGCTTGTAGAACACTTTCGCCTTTCTGATTGAAGTGACCATCGGAGTCTTTTAATCAACTCTGGGTAATAACAAAAAAGGGACAACACAATCGCCTTTGCCATCCCAGTCTTTTGATACCACTCCATTCCCCATTCTTGTCAATGACCTTTCGCGTTCTCTTCTCTGACAGAGAATGCCGTTAATTATGCCCGGGCTTAGATCATTGATGGATTTAATCTTGTACTTTACAAGCCAGCGACCCCAAAATGCAAATGGACCAACATGAAGAACCCCCCCCTCCTCTTCCCCCTTTGTCTTTTTGCAAATTAGGTGGCGTATGAAAATCTGAATATCATCAGGCTAAATGAGCCTAATGCAAAGCAGCAAGTTATCAAGACAAACGATCTGTCACACTGCATGGCAAATTGCATCATAAATAATGGCGCCATTGTTTTTGAGGGATAAAGGGGAATAACAAATCCTCCAAGTTGTCATCCACATGAAGGGGATACTTTCCTTGATGGAGAGTCCTTAATAAAGACATAGCAGAGGGATTGTTGTTGAGGATCACTATTGCATATACCAATTATATCTGGAGCCATTACTCAGAAGCAGTCACACATTTCCTTCAAAAAAGACAGATCTGTAGTTTGACCTTGTTGCTTTACAGGGATTGTGTGTGAAAATGACATGGAAAATAAAGGGCTGTTTGAGGTAAGTGTCTCAAAATTGAGGTGTTTGTATTCTCTAACCATTGCCAGGGTTGGACTGTGACAGGACTGAAGACCACTGTTCAATGTCATCCGCCAGCAGCTGAGCCTTACTGAGAATCGACCCGTTCACCACGAGGGTTTGCAGCTCTATTAACATCCCTGCAACTCTGGTTCACCAAAAAGACAAAAAAAAAAGAAGCTCATTATTCCTTTTAAAATGTAAATTCCATGAAGATATTCAGTTACATTCCCATGTATAACCTTAGAAGACAGTGGAGGAAACATCCCAGTACTCACATGGAGTTGTGGAAGTTGTTGACTTGGCCTGGTGTCTCCCCGGGCGTTGGATAGTTCAAACAGGGATTGTTGATGTTACATATCATCCCTTGAAGCCAGGGCAGCACGCCAGCCGATGGCATGGCTTTATTTGGGTAGTGGCCTGAAGGAATAGGGATGAGCGCATACAGTTTGTTTTTACTTGGCTGCAGTGCTAACACATTGTTGTTTGGAGGTATAGATGCACAGCAGAGGTTAGCAACTTGCCGAATCGTTACACTTCCTCAACATTTTGACAGAAAGATAAGCCTTGAGGAATGACAGAACACATTACACCTTAGCAGTTGTTCTACAGGTGTTTGAAATGAATTGCAAAAAGGTTGTCAAAATGTTTTGATGCATCGATACTTTCTGCCAAATCTCTGCCAAATGCTACTGAATACTTTTTTAAAGGTATCAAAAAGCAATGAAGCTTTTAAAAAAAAACCTACCGCTCTTAAGTCATATTTTAGAGAGAGCACTGTCCAAACTGCAAAAATACATTGGCAACTTTTCTGTACTGAAACGCTGCTCATGTATTATTGCCATTTAGACATTGTGCAGGACTCTGCATGCCATTTCTATTCATTAAAAACAAGAAATGACCCAGTATTACCCAGGACTTTTAAATGTGTATCGAAACAGGTCTTAATATTATTTGATTTTGACAAGTATGATATTTAGGTTTAAAATCCTGACAACCCTAGCTTGTACTTACATTGGCCTTTGTAAATTGGGTTGTTGGTGGTGCGCACCCACACCAGAATGAAGAAGAGAAACAGAGGCCATATCACTTCAACGACCAGACGCACCTGCACAGGGGATAAATCAGGTTTATTTTAATAATTTGTTTGTGGAATACATGTGTATTACTTTCATAATTTGCATGGTGTTTCACGTATGAAATGTATATCTAGTCAAAGATCTGACTTGTAGGTAGATTTATCACCATCTCAAACAGAAACCTCTGAGGTGTTCCTGTTGTGATACTGTTTATGATGGACTAAAGAACCTAATAGATCTGTGTTTCTCTGTGTGTGTGTGTGTGTGTGTGTGTGTGTAGATCATGCAATAGTCCATATTTTCTTTTTAGACTTACTACTAGTCTGGCTCTCACAGGAGTGGAATATCAACCTCTATTTGAGACTTCCTAGCCAAAGCCATCACATACTCCTTATCCCTTCTCACCACGTTTAATCCCCTTCTGGATGAAGAGCACCAACCACCTTCTTCGCTTTAATATACAACTACTTTATTACCTGACAGCAAGAAGCACCCCTTGTGACATGCCTGCCTTTTATTTTAACCTCAGGGAATGGGTGCAGAGAGAAACGTACGGAGCACAAATGGATCACCTCAAGGCTTTCCTTGTTCACAAGGAATGTTCTCATATTCTTCCCCTGTCAGTGTGCCGTGAGGGATGTTCTAGAGACAAAGCATCAGGACCTTGGGGTTTGGAGGTTATTTCTGAATCACCTAAGGTTACAGCAGGTTCAAGAAACACACCTACAAGCTTATTTTTACTACTGCTTTCACATATGTGCAGTGTCGTTATGTATAATTCACAGGAAAGTGCACCTCTGAAAGCAGAAGGACTAGTAACATTTGTTCAACAGGAGACTTCATCATCCTTGAAGTGGAGGAAGTTTTATCCACCAACGGTAGCTTACAGTGAGATATTACAATGCTGCAGCTCATTCTCCTTTGACTCTTCCAACCCCACACTTTATGCCATGTAGGATTTTACGCATCCCTTGGCACACCATCGCTCAACAACCCCACAAGCCCTCTCTGCTAACCTCAGCTGACCCCGTCCGCCTGCACACTCATCCCTCCAAACATGTGTGGGGGAGCGCCCTGTTTAGAGCAGCCACAGATATGTTCAGACAGAGTATCTTATGGCTCATATTAACTGAAATAATAAGAGAAGACATTAATACTGAAGTCATTGTCTTCATAATTAACCTAGAGGGCAGGCAGAGGCGAAGTTAATACAATAATAGCAAGAAAAAATATGTCACAAGGGTAAAGCACATCTTATTTGATTCAGCTGGGTATATATGCAGAGACTGGTTTTTTAGTTTTATAATTTTTTCATGGGAAAATTGCAGAAAAAATCCCATTGCATTTATTTCAAAGAAACCAGATAGAATTTAGAATTCTGTTCCTTAATTCCCTCCAGTGTGCGCGTCAGAGAGGATGTAGCTCTGCTGAGAGGATGAATTATCATAATGTATTCCACAGAAAAAAAGGCATAGAGAGTGGAACACAGAGATCACGGGGACTTTCTCGATGTCTGGCTCCCCAGGCGTTCGCCATCGGACACTGCCGTCTTTGTGAACAGATAATCTCCTCCTATGAAATTATGTGAAATACTGGACCATAAAATCAGTTTCATGCCTGTTATAAAACCTTAAAATGCTTGGTGAGGCATTCGTATAATTGGTCATTAACCTCCACAAGCCCTCCAGAAGCACCATTGTCCTTGCTAACTCCCACCGGTTTTGTCTAATAACGATATTTCATGTTGACTTTCACCAAATATCACACATTCCACGCACAAAACTGCCACTGTCCACTTGCATATTCCAGGGAACAAGCGGGGCCAATATTTTTCCTCACACAAACAGATACCACTCTGATCCTTCTGCCGGTTGATCAAATTAAGAACGGGAATGTTTCTAAGATTCAAATTTGAACAACTGCAAATTACTTTGCCTTGAGTTATTCCAGGGAAGTATGAACTTTGATGAAAGCTGTTTTTTTTTTTTTTTGCAAGGATCTCTTTTGTTCTACTCACGCAACAGAGACACTGCTGTTTCTGGAACCCCTAAAAAAAACAAGTGGGTGGATGTGGCTGCTATTATCACTGTGAGGGTATACATCAGAGGAAACACACTGCAGTCCTTTGTTACATCTATATCTGTCTCTGAAATGACTCATATGGCTAACTAGATTCCATGACAGTTCGTTCTGACCCTTGAGATGCCGTCGCAACACAGGGTGGAACTGTTATCTTCCCTGCGGCACGTGACCTCATGGCCACAACAAGTTATAAATTCCATCATATATGTCATTGGCCAATCATGTTCAGGCTTTTGTCTGTTATAAGAATGAGAACGTAATAAGAGCAAAGGGCCACTGGCTGAGGGACTTTAGCCTCCACAGCAGTTAAAATGTTAAAACAGGTTTTCTAAATCGATGTTGTTTTATGTGGTTTGCACACACTAAATTTTGAAATATAAAAAGATTTAAATTTGGGCTTTTTTTTGCCTTCGACTAATGTCACATACTATGGGGATATATCCGTCACATGTAGGTTGCCAACGGGATTTTCAATGTCTTCATGTGCACAAATGAAGAGTTTCCCATTGAGATAATTTGTGTTTATTTCTACAGGTAACAAACAATTCAGATATGTCGGGAAACTAACTTCTCAAAGCATTTTTTTTTTTTTTTTTTTTTTTTTTAAATGAATTGAATTGTAAGTTTGTGTGAAGGTAGTGTCACTTGAATAACATCATAAGTGTAAGCACTGAACGCAGTCCAACTGTTTGAAAGCAGGTGGAGCATCAGCTTAAGTCTAACTCTTGACAGTAGTCTAGGGGCAAAGATCGCTTAAGCGCACTTAAAAAAAAAGTTTGACGTAAATTGATGTATTTGTTGTTTAAGTTGGATGGTTAAGAATTTCTAACTTTTGTGGACTGCACTCAAAGTTTTGTGAAGCACTGCCGAGGACAGGAAGTGATAGCGAGTTTGTAAGAAGAGCCAGAAAGAGCGTTTGCCCTTCAGACAAAGCATTCAACATTCGTCACTCCCTATCCCCTTCTATTAGGCCGCAGACTGCCTTTGTTAGAAGTAAAATACAGGCAATGTGACAAAAAGTGCACAAGAGATAGATCTCTAAAAATTGAAGGTGACACTTCAAATTGGTCAGCATTAAGCTAAGATTGTTCTTGTTCTCTAGTGGGAGAGTTGAGAGCAGCTCACCGGTATTTCTATAGGAGACGGTTTTCATTGTAAATCCCTCCTATTATCTACACCCCCCCCCCACACCATGAATAACTTACTTGCCCTTGATAAAACAACCCTGGGACCATATCCTCGTTTTCTCTCCTTTGCTGACCAATTTGGGCAGATCTACGCTGATTTGTGAGAGGAGGGGTTCGTGAGCACAAGTGTACCTTTTGTCTCTTCCGGAGAGTGAAGTTCTTCCACAGGAGCAGAGTGAACTGCGTCAGGAGACCCATTACAGCTTATCCTGGCAATATCCTGCCAAAGCGTAGCTATGGCAACTGGCCCACTTAATAAACCCTGGAGGGAATAAAAGGCAGAGTTTGGTTTTAATACAGAGGAGCAATGCATCTTGGGGGAGTGCCACTAATCATTCACTTCCCCCGGCCTTGGGGCTTATGGTGCAGCACCTGTTCTAAGAATTATTATCACCTGCACTCAGCACATCTCAGGATGGGGCAATGTGTGAGCACGGGGAGGTTACGCAGCTCGGATCCAGAGGTAGAATCTTTATTCATGTGGTTGTTTTACTTAATGTACTGCATATAAAGCTATTAGCACAAGCCAAAATCTCTTTTCTTTCCTCTGAAAGGGGGATGAGGCAATGTAAACTGTGCTCCTTGTCTCATTAACCACCACTGTGCTACAAATTCTCCACCAATTAATGAATCCCTTTTTTTTTGGAGCAGGGTAATGCCAAAGACAAAAACTTAACAGGCAACTGCTTCACCTTTTTATGCACCAAAGATTGCTGTAAAATATTTATCGGAAGTTCTATCAACCACTGAACACTGATTACACAGATGATAAAGAAGTGGCTCTGAATGGCATTCTTACCCTGCTACAAGTGTGACCTTTATTAAAGACTGCACAACTGACAGTCTCTCTTTTGATGATAGTTCATTCCATGCCTCTATTCATTACTACAACAAAGTTAGAAATGTTAATTAAATACTTTAAGGGCTTTTTAAGGCTACAAAGCATTAAAAAAATAAACTAGCTGTCAATACAGGAATGCAACAAGCAGTGTAACCTAGCTGTGTTTAAAACATGTTGTAAAGCATGCCCACTGATATTCTGCAGAGAATCCAGAAATTACAGGAGGTGAACAAGGCGGGGCAGGTGAGGATAGAGATGGGCTTTTTAGCCCAAGGCTAGTCCTGACAAATGTGCCACCTATTAACGCTCCATTTCCTCTTTCTGTACTGGTTCCATCTTCCCTCTGTGTGTTTACATTATTTACTGCTTACTTCATGGATGTTTTATTTACTGCCATGGGAAAGTTGAGTCTCCCATGCTAACAAATGGCTAAATAAGCACTCTAATCTATAGCACTATATTGGTTTGGATGAATAAGACCACTGGTTTGTTTTTTTTGCAATACCAATAATATTGAATAATGCAACAACTGCTGTTGTCAAAATAATCAAAATGTACTATGTTTTGTTAAATAGAACACAGGTTGACACAGGATGTGAGGCGTACAATCATCTCATCTCCTCGTTGATTGAGGTTCACAATAAATTGCAATTTCATCATGATCACAATACATTCAATTCACTTTACACGCATCCCAATGTGTCGAATGAATGTGTAATTTTAACCTTTGGCTGTAGGCCTGGGCATGATGGCCAAACTTTTTAAAACCGTTTTAATGGCGTCAGATGAAGCTCAAGCTAGCGTTGTGTTACCCTCGGATTTATTGGTACCAACTTACTGGTGAAGAACATAAAAATGTTCTTGAATTTGTTTTGGATTCAGGAGGGATACGTGCCCTTCATTGTGTAAAACATGAAGAAGAGCAAATAGGCACAGAAACTGAGTTATAGCTAATATGAACAGTCAAATCACACTCTATACAGTTATCTTAGTTATTTTACTTTTGAGCAATGCAATCCCTATACCTCACCTACTCCTGGACCTACTCTCCAATGGTCTTTCTTAATAATAATTTATACTTTATTAATCCTGTGAGGGGAAATTCGGTTTTATACTCTGTTTAATGAACATAAAAACACACATAGGCTGAAATACACATACATGCAGAAACGCATTAATGAGAGATGTCAGAGTGAGAGGGCTGCCACAGCGAGCGCTCCAGAGCAATTCTGGTGTTCAGTGCCATGCTCAAGGGCGTCTCGGCAGTGGTCAGGCACCTCTGCAGCTACCAGGCCAATTTCCAGACTTGGTCTGTGCCAGGACTTGAACATGCGACCCTCTGGTTCCCAACCCAAGTCCCTACAGACTGAGCTACTGCCTGAAGGGTACTTCACTCATTACTTACTCTAGCTTTCATCCCCTGACTTTCTTAGTAAAAACTTGGGAGGAGATGGTGGTTATGGGAGTGTACAATCGTAAAATGACCCGGGCAGAGCACAAATAGAGGCCTTGTGTACGCATGACCACTCGGCTCCATCAGTGCTTGTATAATTGAGTATGTACTTCATTCACTTGCACGGCTCTCAAGTCTCGTCTTTTGAAAAATGTAATGCGTAAAAAAAAAGAAGGACAGCTTGGTACCACCTCCACTCTGAAATCCCATCAAGCATGAAGGGTAAACAACATCTCTAGAAAGTGCTCAAGCCATACGTCTGAAATGTACGCGAGAAGTTGTGCGCACAAAAGAGATGTGTATGCTAAAAGATAGTGTGTGTGTATGTGTGTGTGGGCGAGTTTTGTGGAAAAGCCCATCTCGAGGACTCTTTTTCAATTCAACATCAAAAGAAGAGATAACAAGTAACAAGAGAGAGGGTATGATTGTGATTTGCATTGCAGCCGCAGTCCTCCAGAGAGAAAAAAAAAACAAACATGCAGTGTGAAGACTGTTTTCCAGATCATCATTTTAATCTATGACTAGTAGAAGCACAGAGAATAATTCAAATCGTTTTTTTTGGTTGTTGTTTTTTTTTTTTTTGCAACTTTTTGGGATTGTTTTTCTCAAGACTGTGGCCACTAGGCACTGGCATCAGCATTTCATTGTGTCATTAGTTGCAATGAAAGTCCCATGAGAGCACAGAGGAAGGGAGAAAATGTAGAAAAAAGGAAAGTATTGAGAGAATATAAGAGTTGATGCATGCTGTGGACTCAGGGACCAGTGAGAGCAGAGTGCATTATTTCGGCCGCTTGGATGATCGAAAGAGTAAACAGATATTTGTCATGGAGCATGGGAGCACAGGACGACAGAGAATGCTGGCGATATCTGTTAAGAGGAGGGGGGGCACTACAGCCCTCTGAAGGGTATAATGGTCCCTGTGCTCCTTCATCCAATCTGTCTTTCCAACTCAATCTCTATTATGAGCTCCTCTTAAGCCTGGCTGCAGCAGGAGCTCCTACCACAGACTGGGAGAAGATAGGCTCAAGGCCGTGTTTATCTATTGCTATCTTTGTTTTAATTACAGGTAGGACGTTATGACGAAGCTAAACACAATCCACAATGGATGGTAATTTTAGTTATCTTCTGCATGCCCATTTTTCTTATTTAATTGTTGTGCAATTTGCAACATGCATAGAAGTTAGAAAAGTTCCCGTGATCAGTCAAACTTTGTTGAATAGCTGCTCCCTATCTCACTGCTGCAGCCACTTCTACTATTGAATTCAAAAGGACAAAGTTAGTGTATTAATACATTTCAGGGCCTTAGGTCCATTTTTGTCTCGGGGGGGAAATCCTCCACTTAATCCTTCACATAGGAGGAGATGTTTTAACTTAGAGATTTGCCTTTTTTTCTGACACTTAAACTTACTTTGATAAGTTTCATCTGGTGAGGAAACAGACTGAAATGAATACTGATGCCTCTATGTGACCGACAAATGCAAACGAGACTATCGGATGTTGATTATTTCTGTATTTGTATTTTAATCATTGTCATGACTGCCAATGGATCAATGTCAGACTAAGATTTTACAATTTTGACAGAAAAGATTCACAGTGAGCGACAGACTTTTAGTCTGTGAGGTAGACACAATGCAGTCCATCGCCTCCGGTATTCACTGCACACCTGCCAATGTGCATTTGTGTATTTACGAGCGCTGGTACATAAATGATCCAGCCTGATGCGGCATTTCTGACCAGTCTGTCTTGTGCTCAACTGTGCAACCTGTTTGACATACAAATGCACTATAAACTGAATTGTAAATGTATGAATTCATGCAGGATTTTCCCACTATTGTGAGAGACAGACTTGCAGGAACTGAATATTTTGTGCGCAATTCCATCAATCCTGTGCTGAACTTGAGGCCCTGCAATTAAATACAGTAAATCAGAAGAATGCAAACTTCAAACAAATGCTGTCAAATAATACGCTTTATCTGTACCTATATAAAGAATATGTTTTCACAGTGATTAAGAATGCATTTCTCTTTTAATAACACGTCCTATCAAAAAATATGCGTTAAATATGACAAACTCAGCCCAACAGGTTTTAAAGCTGTCTTTGAAAAGTTGTCTGCTCCTGGCTTACCTCTTTACAGAGGACTGGAGGTTACATTTAAGGAGGTTACAAATGCTGACCTACTTTCATGGCTGAAGAAAATATGTAAACAGCCATAGAAACTTTTCAGACCCCTCAATAATCCAATTCCTCTGTGTGTTCACTTGATATGTTCCACCACAAAAAAAACATTTCTGAAATGTAGCTCAATGCACAGCTTCTGCTAATGTGAGCGAGTGAATCACAGCGCACTGGCTCTGAACATGCAAATCTGTGCATCTGTTTCTTCAATTCAAGACTGGTGATCTACAGTTTTGTTTAGCACACCTGTATCAGTGCATTGCCACTGTATTGTTTTTTTTTTTTTTGCATTGCTTACATTTCCATTGGCTGCTACAGTTGAAGCAATGCAGCCACAGATTCAGTTGCAGCTTTTTCGCAAGTTTCAGCCACAATCTGCTGGGTTTCATAGTCACAACATCTGCAGGCTTTCTACAGCATCCACTGCACTATCTACAGCCATTGGTACTGTGGCGTACAGCTGACTTATTCTGGCTATCAGCACCCTGCTCTCCCTGGGGCCCCCTTTCTAGCCTGTCCCTGTGCCAGCTCTGCCAAGCTGATAGGAAAGAGTTTATTGACCCAAAGACGGATCTTGATTATCTTTTTAGACCCTCTCACACTGAATTCTCGGCAATTTAAGTACATTAAGTTTCTCTGGACTACACTCCTGAGTCTTAAGAGGAAGTTCATTTCATACCTCAGCCTTCTTCGACTTTCTTCTTGTTTTCTTGTTTCTCGTTTGCTCAGACTTATTTACCTGCTACCCTGACAGCGCAGTACAACTAAAGGTACTTATTTGGCTGTTCAATTAGATTATGCTGTATCACTGCGGTGTCAGCGGCACCTGCACTTGTTGCAGTGGTGTCAGTTTTATGGACAACAATGAAGGATTCAATTTAGGCAGTTTGCGTTAAGAATCTGTGTTGCTTTATGATAGAATATCATTTAAATAATAATGAGTCTATAACATGAAGATTCATCAGGTTGATTGGTCCCAAAAGATTTATCACAAATGGAAGTTACTTGTGTGATTTAAAGCCTTAAATGTGCACTTAGTATGAGAGTGTTTATGCAATAAAGGCCACATACTGTAGCACAGACCTAAAACCTGATTAAAGTCAGGTTTAAAAGAAAGCAAAGAAATAATGTTTGCCGTTTAACGCAGCCACCAGCACGATGTGAGAACATTTAAAAACCAATACAGTGACCATAGCTGCTGGGAGGCTGGGCCTGTTTGACATTTAAGGTGGCATAATATTTGTTACCAAAGTGTGTCAGGAAGTAAATTCTAAAATATTCTTTTAAACACCTTTAAAAAAAAAACATTTATATCTTCATTAGGTCAGAAACAAGCAAATAAAAGACAGCAAGTGCAAGGCATATAAAACAAAAATAGAAATAAAAAAGGAGATTTCATGGAACTTTATGTTCTTAAACTGTGTTTCTACTGTGTGAGAGTTTTAAATACTTCTTTACATCTCAGAGGCTTTAAACCTGTGATATTGGCGCCTGTCAGAGAGATATCACATATATTAAGTCGGTCATTACAGGTAATTAGTTTTAGAGAAGCGATATTTCTCAGCCTCTTGTTTCAGTGCTTCCTGGGGCAACCTGTCAATCTTTTTTAGCAGCTAATTACTCATTCATTAGAAACAAATGAAAATGATAGTAAAAAAAAAAAAAAAAGATAGGCCAAATTGCTCGCACTTAATCAGTCATTAAGACATGTCATTCAAGAAGAAACTTTTTTTTTTTCTTCCCCACATACAGTATACAGTACAGAGGGAAGCCACGTGAGACACAGACTTGTAAAAAGGTAATCATTAGCTTTGGGGAAATGTTGCTTCGCTGAGGCTAAAGTTCAGCCTTTCCACTCTGACTCAGCAAACAAGCCGGGAGAATATGAGCGTTCAAACTTCCTGATCAATAACTATAGACAGAAACCAAACAAACAAGTTTTTAATTTTCCTCTGTTATTATGTAAAAAAAAAAGGTGTCCATTAAAGTCGTATTTTTCCTTATCAGCTATTTTATTTCCAGAGACTAATTCATTAAACACTTCCAAATAAGAGAAGCCGTTCTTAGGCTGCTCTTTTTTAATTTTTTTAAATCCGTCTGACTAGACAGAGGAAAACAAGAGACTAGTGTGTGGATACCCAAGGCAGGTCCAGGGCCTGAGTTAGCCCTGGGAGTATGGAGCAAGCTAAACAATAACAACAACAACAACAGAAGAAGAAGAAAGACAGCATCACAGCAGGCCTGGCAACAAAAACACATGTCCTTTCAGAGGAAACTACCGATGACTGTCAAAAAACAACCTACCTCTGAGATGTTTGCTCTTCACCCATCAGCACATCGTCAGGCCTAAAGATGGATTGGGACAGTTTTAACTCGCAGCCTTTATGAGTCAGGCAAAACAGTGTGCTTTAACAATCTCTTCCTCCTCTCTCTCTCTCTCTCTCTCTCTCTCTCTCTGTCACGCACACGTGCACACACACACACACACACACACAAACAGTCCCTGCCTCCTCTTATGGTTGCTATCTCCTTTTACCTAGAGTCATAAAGTATGCAAATGACCTCTGCTGAGCCTGTCGCAGTGACTGTAGCCACAGTAATACCGCAGCCGGGGACGCACACAGGTGGTGTACATTACACAGCATGTTCCCTTAAGCTTGGCCCTGTAGCAGGACGCATATGTCTGCTTCTTGTAGTCCTGTCTCAGTCACCCGAGGAGGCGAGGGAGGTGAAGAAAGAGCACTGCCCTACATTTGGCTGGCCTTGTTTTTGCGGTGTGATTCTTTTTTTTTTTTGTCTCGCTGGGTAGTTTTGGAGTAAACTTTGTTTGCAGTCGCCTGTTGAATTAGCGCAAATTATTCATGAGCTAATTAGTCTTGAAGCTTACTTTCTTGCTTAGCGTGGTGTTAACTAGAGAGGTTAGGGACCAGATGGATCATGGGAAGATTATTTATTACTATGAGACATAGCCTATCTTAAAATGTTGACAAACTAAATGTGTCACATGGGGTAAGTGTGGTGTCAGTGGGGTTTTATTTGGGACCATATAATTTGGTAACAAAGGGGTTAAAAGTTTATTATGTGAGGTGATAAAGAATAATACCACAGGTGCAGCGGGATATTTAATTATGTAAATGAGGTGGGTGTTTAGACAGGAAGTACACAAGGAGGAGGAAACTTCAAACGGGAAGAGACTTCTGAGTATATCAGGATGTGTGATTCCGGAAAACAATATAGATATAATTTACAACAGACCACAGCAACATCAGGGACTGAACTCCACTATTCATTTTCTAAAGGAAATAATTAAATTAACTTTAATGACATTGTTGTGCAGAAAAAAACTTTGAATTACAAACTTCCTGATCTAGTAAAAAAAAAAGGTTTAGTTGTAAAACTCAAGGGAGTGTGTGAAGAAAGTCCTCAAAGCTAAGACGTATAAATGTGACTTTATGTTGTGGTTTTGCTCAAACTCTAGTCCCCCGTGTCCTAACAAACTACCACAAAAACACGTCTGTCCCTTTCAATCACAGTGGGGTCACTGTGACTTGCTCATGAGGTGTAGGTTCATAGTCTCAATTCATTACACACACACACACACTCACAGAACTCAGGTGAAACCGCCACTGCCCAAAAGTAATTGCTTCAACTAATGAAGTGCTGCCGCTCACAGGCACCAGCATGCTAGAGTACACCGGCTATTCCCCGGTCACCTACCCGGTATTTTGTGAAGCTGTACTAAACAAAATACAAGGTGCACATTTGCAAAACCACTGAACACAACCTGAACCTGACCTCAGGGGAAAGGTCAAGGGCCACACACTGAGCACAAGGGCTGCAGTTAATGTTTCCTTTAGTAATCGAGAAATCTATCAGTTGTTTCTGGAGATTAATCGAGTAATCGGATAAGAAAGATTGACCGGTCAGCCATCTTTTTTTCCCAATAAATATCTTGCTATTTTCAAGAGCTATGATAATATACCAAAAGAAAATTAGACAGGTCTCTTAAAAAAATAACTAACTTAGTTTGCCTTTTTAAAATTCAACAAGTTTTCTTGTATTTTTATAATAATTATTATTGTTTTTTTTATTGATGGTTATATCAATTTTTGACTGTCTACTGCTGTTACATTACACATTCAACTGCTGTAAGACTTATTAAGGATTATCTTATCTTGTTTTATTACTAGGACTTTCTCTCTTCCGTTAGCTCGCCCACTGACGATCTGTCTCCCTCCCTCTGTTATAAATACACACTAATAATAATCTATACAGATCATCATCCGGTGACCATCTTAAACAGAAAAGTATCCTCTGTGTTATGAAAAACTGTTAACACCATACATCCTGTTTTTTTGCACTTTAAGAGCAGCGTGCCTCGTGCCTGTGTCAAATAAGATATTAAAAGTCAGCGAGTGAATAGAAGCTGTCTTGGCATTGTAAACATTCGGTGAAATATCTCGAATACAATCTAATAGAATGCGGTATAAGAAAAGGAAAGAGTTGTAACTTCTTCAGGCTCAGCCAAACTTAATATCCTGCCGATGCGTCTGAGTCAAACCATAAAGGATATGTGTGTCAGTCGCTGTGATTGTATCAAAGAAGAAAACTCACTCTCTGTAGCAACCGGAGAGCAGAGACGTTGATCAGGACAGAGAAACACAGGCGCTCATGCACTAAAAATAAAACGGCCGCACATTCAGAAGCCTACATAAATTCTAATTATAAAGTATTTGGTGCCTTTCGACATTGCGGATTTGAACGAAGCCTCTGCTTGAGGCGTTTTAGAAATCAGGGTACTCGACTGATCCGAGGAATCGTTTAAGCCCAACTTAGCACCTTGTTGCTCTTTGAGGAAAATAAAGGAAATCTGTAAATCAAAAAAGATAATGGATTTCTGACCACCCCTCATACACATCAATCCACTGATCTGAATGTAGACTTGGACCCCCTTGACCTTCTTTGACCTCACTTAGTGATGTTAGAAGAGAAATGGCCTTCCACCTGATGGGCTCTGAGAGTGACAAATTAAGTAATAGGTCATATTTTCATGCTAGATGCTCTCGCACCCGTTAGCCTCTTCTGTCAGAGTGTAGTTTTAGTAAGAATGACACAATGACATTTATTGAGTCAATTAAGACCTTTACATTTCTTGCAGGTGCACTCAAATGTATTCACATAACAACAACTAGTTTGGCTCAAACACCTGGACTTCAAAATACACAGCAGAAGGGTTTAAAACTAACTTTCTTGTCTGATGGGGCCACCGCCAATGGCAGGTGTTGATTTTGGAACCTGCACAGCAGTGTTTACTGTTTTTTTGGTCATTTATTCATGTTCAGTGAAATGATTACATAATGAAATCACTATTCTTTATAACTAATTATTTAGATTATAGTTTCCATGTTAGAGCTGAACTCGTATCGGTTCATTATTTTCTGTCTCTGGGAATGTCTGTGTAGAATGATGGAACAGTGATTTCATATTTTGTAAAAGGAAAGCAGAAACTTATTTACAAGCGAACAAGTGTTTCTGCAGACTAGATGAATGGTTAAAAAGAACTGAGCCATTTAAATCAAACATCAAATTATTTCCCAGTTTTCAGATGTTGAAAACCAAGAAGGAGAGTCTGAAGTCAGCTTTTTCGACATTTCACTAAACTAAATCCAACAAAGCTTTTGAAGTAACAACTGATGCTCAAACTCACACCTTCAACCTATTGCATCACTCGTATCGTTATGTAGCACTAATGTAAAGTAAATTACCCCCTTTCCACTCACTAGAGCAGTGGTTCTCAAACTATGGTACGCGTACCACCGGTGGTACATGGGCTCCCTGTCGTGGTACGCAAAGAAATCTCCACAATATAAAAAACAAACCCGTTCAGCATAAAACAACTTTTTTTTTTGTCGTACTTATCTGTCTTGTATCTATTGGGTTGTCTTTATATCAAATGTGTTTTCCCCTCTAAATTAATCTAGTTTTTGCAACAAACAACTTAATAATCTGCTCAATTTATGCTCGCGCACAGACATGAACGACAACAGGAGTACGCCTCGCGTTTTTGAAAAGTTCCACTCGATATTCCGTTATAGTTCAGTACTGAAGCAACAGCAAGCAGCTGTAGGCCTACATTAACAGATATTCTGTTATTTATTGGAGTTCAGCACACAATCCGCAGCAAGCAGCTGTACATCAACATTTTAAAAACGGAGCCAGGAGCAGCTTCAGTTTTGATGCATGTACGGACAGTTTTGAACCCAGAGACTTAAATAATAAAGCGGCGCTGTTTGCACCGAGTCCTGCGGAGTGCGCGCCTGCACTCTCACGCGCTCTCTCTCTCTCTCTCTCTCTCTCTCTCGCTCTCTCTCTCTCTCTCTCTCCACCGCTACCTCTCGCTCTCTCAGGCAAAAATACATTTTATGAATAAATTTAAGATTAAATGAGAATAGCTCGGAAATATACTTGGGCCCAGGTATTGTGTTTGTGTGGGAAACACTAGGGACTAAATATTTCCAAACAGGTTGTTCGTATAAAGTTTTTTTTTTTTATTGTTCTGCACTTTTGTGTGTGCAAGTTCTAGCGCTGGCCCTTAGTAGGCCTACAGTGCGGCTGCCAGCAGTCAATAATAAATAATATTCTTTTTATGAATTCATTTGCCTCTTGCATGAAATGTGTGTTGAAATAGGCCTACAGTGTATTTTAACGTCTACCATAATGGTGGTACTTGGAGAGCCAAATATTTTCAGAGGTGGTACGCAGTCTAAAAGGTTTGAGAACCACTGCACGAGAGTCTTCGCAAAACTTTCTACATTTTCTTGCCTGCTCAGGGGAACTCTAGTACTGAAAAGTTCACTGACTAATTTATGTGCATCAAAGTTCAAGTTTCGACTAGAATCTTGAATGCTTGCGTTTCTATGAATTCAAAAAAAAAAGAAATATCAGCAAGGATATCCAAAGTGATGCCTATAGAGAGAGAATCAGATGTAATACAACAGAGATTTCCCTGAGCGGCAGCTAGCTGGTTAGCTAGCTCGTGTCCTTCTGCCCTTACTTTGTTCAATTTCTCTGTCCCCGATGATGAGGTGAGAAGGAAACACACAGGTGCTTGTTAACCATGTTCATCAGGACAGACTGGACACTGGGCAGAGATAAACATCCCGATACAGTCACAGCTGGCATTTTGACTTTTCATTCTGTCTTGTGTCTTAGTCTTAGCATGTGGAGAGTTGTCCTGGGTAAAATAAACCCAGAAAAGTTGAGAAAAACAAATAACAGTCTTCCTCGACAGATGCTGCTGCCTCTTCCTGACTGCTGGCCATGGGTACAATTGTGTTTGTTTTGACTTCAGCCAGCACAGCCCACACAGACTGTGCAGAGGCAGAACAACACTTTTTTTTTTTTT